CTCACTCAGCAACTCCCTAGAAACTGTTAAATATCTAAATATGAGCCCTCATCACATCGAGTTTGCCGCACGTGTTCATTTCTCCCATTGCCCCTTGGTTGAGCCGTGGGCAGTTGTGATTGTCAGCCAGGTGGCCCGGGTGGCTCGAAGGTCGGGCTACCGATATGGCACTGTCGCTGGGTTTCTGACTCGGGATCTAAGGCAGCTGAGCTGCCTTGCAATGAAGCTGGGTTCTCAAACGTAGCGAGTTGACAGTCTCAGCCCGGTCACTGTTTACCCCACACAAAAAAAAAAACACTTACATGAAACTCGGTACATAAACTTAATTGGGATAAATTCCAGCTCTTGAGAATTACAATATTTGACATTGCTGTGTTTCCTAGGTTACCTCGTCCAACTGAAAAGGGAAAATGACGCCGAGAAGTGGGCTAACCCGTGGCAACGTCGCCACGGGCACCACGGCCAACAAACGGTGCACAGGCGGCAAATTCCGAGTGAGAGTTGGGTCCGCTAAGTTTTTGTTAAAATCGTCGGAGAGACCGTGTCCGGCGTGGCTCTTGCACTTAATTTGAGATGAATCTGTATTTGTGTGGAAAGCAGGGCAGGCCTCGGGTTGGCGAGCCCTCTCGGGAGGGCCAGAGCTGTGCCCGGCTCCACGTGTGGGCTTGTTAATGCTTCCCTAGCAAATTGAAACGTTTTGTGCCTTTACCCCCCCCCCCCTCCCTAGCCACTTCTTGATGGAGGAGTTGTAAATCTTTATATTGAGCCCAATGTCCCTTTCACGACCCCACTGTGAACTCTCAAAAGTGAGAACGAACCGGAAGCCAACGAGGTATTGGGGGAGGATGAGATTGCCGAGTGAAGTGTCGGTAGAAGGAGTTCGAGTTAGGACCGTAGCTAAAGTTATAAGCTAATCGGTCTGGAACTCTTTCCCCCACCCAGCCTCCATACACGACCGCTTCCTTGTCCCCGTTGATGTTCACGGCACCGCGTGTTCGCAGGCCACCCTCCACGCCCATTCCAGCATGGTGAGTCGAGTCGGGCGATCTGTAAATTAAGGAACGCTCTGCCTGAGGCTCGCGTGGCCGGGGTCACGGCCACCACTGCTGTCGCCACCATTGCACGAGGGCATTTTTTTTATTTGTCTTTGGCAGAGATGTATTCGTAGTCTTGAATCTGCCAACTAAATTCTCGTCAATGTTATTGCCACCAATGGGGGGGGGGCCCTGTTTACCAAAATCGGAGCCGCCATTGCGAGGATAAGGTTCCTAGGTAGTCGTTGAAACGTTGGACTAGTGAGGTCTGCCGTTGCCTCTGTCCACCCAGGAGTGAAGCTGTACAACTCGTGGTTGCCAGCTGGTGGTGGAGTAAAGTGTGGGTAACTCCCACGTCTTCCAAATCCAGTCTGGAACAGGACATTTCTAAATTTGGTAGAGGGGAAGGTGTCTCCACGCACGCACACAGCGGTGTTCTGGGGCGGGCTTCCCCTCTACTCCTTCAAGGCCATGATTTGTTAAACACTGCCGGGAGGGGAAGTAAGGCAAGCACAGACTTGTGTGTAAACCCTCCCTCGACAATTGACGGTGGAGTTGAGACAACTGCCAGTCACTAGGCACGATGGGGCGTCTCGCTGTGTGGTGTGGACGCAGGCACACAGGCAGGAGGGCGGAATATGGGCCGACCCCCGAATCCCAGGCCCCCTCTCCCAGCAATCCCGTGTGTTACGCGCAACCCGAGGGCGTGGCTGCCAGGCCCTGCTGTACCCATTCACACTCGCAAACTGATTTTACCGTCGTACGACGATTTCGTGCGCATCAGCCCTTAAAACGGGGAAAAAATATTCACGCCGGGGCGTTTGTGAATGTACGTGTATAAAGTCGGGTGTAAAAAAAATAAGAAAAAATGAAAAAAGGTAAAAATGTAAAAAAAAGCTCCCTGAAGTTTATGTTTCCCTTCAGGCTATTTTTTTATGGTGTTAGTTTTGTACGTTGTCATCGCTTGCGCTTATCAAGGGAGGTGGGGGTGAAGCTCGCGGAGGGCGGTGGCGGTGGCGCTCGTGGTGGTGGCCGCCACCACCACGAGCGCCGTCGCTCCGCTCTGTTGGCCCACGTCGAGGGCCGCGGCAAGACTGACGGCTCCTTCGCGTCCGAGGCGGTCTCCGCGAGACTGCCGCGAAATCGCGGGGGGCCTGGCCCTTAACCCCCTCTCCTCGTCGGACGCCGCTCCTCACTGGAGGGGGAGGTGGTGGGAGCGCCCCTCGGTGGAGGCACGCCGGCGGAGAGAGACGGGGTAACGGTTGGTAGGCGGGTACGTTTTATTTTGTTTAAACATCTGTAGCACTAAAACAGAAAGCCCATCGCAGTTATTATCGACTGGTCCCCGCAGGGCTGAGGGGCCGAATTCTCTCGAGGCCGTGACTCTGCGTGTCTTGGAGGGCAGGGGCTCGGCGTCAGCTCTGGGGGGCCCAGGTTGCAGCTGCAGAAGAGAGTTGGGGGGGGGGGGTGGGGGGCGCTGGCAAGGCAGAATTTGGCTTGCGGATCGGACACCATTTACGTGAGACTGTCCAAGTGGGTGGGCAGAGACTCATCGATCCGGGTATTACAATGGATTGTTATGCTCATGCATGCGTCGGATCGTGTGTAATCAACTTAAAATTTTTGAAAATGATAAGCTGCTGTGACAATTGGGATTGAAATTAACAAAACAAGTGGGACTGGAAACGGGGAAATGACACAAACAAGTCGGTGAAAACACGGCTGCAGTTTGATGGTTTGTGACCTCACAATCTCGATTTGTGAAATTTGGGGGGTGAATCATTACTGCCAACCAAACGACCTTGTCAAGTCTGTCACCAAGCGTTACGGCCAAGACCGGGTTGAGCCAATACTCAACCTTGTGGTTTGGCTTGGGCAAGGTTGAGCAATGGCCCAATAGTCAAAAGGACCAGCAACAAACAGCACTGTCAATTTGGGCCAAAGAGGAAGTAGCCAAGCATTGCCAATTTGACTGTTCATGAACAGAAACCTCCGCTGCAGCTGCACCCAGTCGGCAGTTCTTGGGTTGTGTCTGTCCTTGGGCTATCTGTAATAAGCTTGTGTTTGTGTTGCACAGTTTCCGAAGGCAAAAATGTGAATGAGTCCAGTCCATGTTGGGCAGGCGACGGCGCTGACGCATAGCGGCGAGTGGGAGAGTCCTTCGACCCTCTCCACGGCTCACGGTGGCTTCCAGATCTCATCGTCCCTCAAGCCCGGTCGTCACTCCGGGCGGGCAGGGCGATCATTCCGGAGTTAACGTCCAGCGCTCGTGGTTGGGATGCGTTTGTAGAAATTGTCGGTGGGAAAAAACGTTAAAGTTTCGATGGCGTGGGTGCAGTACAACAGGCTTCAGCTGTCGGGTAAAACTTTATCAACACCTACATCTCTACCTCTCCACTAAATTGACCCGCAATAATTTTGCTTGTAAGTTCGAGTCGTCGTCGTTGTGACCAGAGCCACTGATGCCGCCACACCTCGCTGTACCAACGCGCGCTCCTCTCCGCCAGATCCCGCGGCTGTACATCTACAGTCGCTAACAGTAACAGCCCACGCTCTGTGGTACGGTTAGAGCCATGATTCTAAACACAAAGAAGACTTTCTGTCAGTGACTTGTAATCGTCATTGATACACTGATTGTAATGGACATGAATTCGAAGGGTGTGGGGGGGGGTAACGTTTCCACCACTCGTGCAAAGTCCGCAATGAGTGGTCGGTCTGTTCCTGTGGCGCTTTCGCAGAATTTCACCTCGGCTCCACGCCAGCGCCGAGTCTGCAGCTGGCTCCCCGCACTGTTAGCCCCGGACTCCGAGCACGGGTGGCGTGCATGGCCCCACGTGTATGTGAGCGTGCGTGTCCATCCGTGCATGGCGGTGGACGGGAGGTGCGGGGAGCGATGCTCTTTGTTCCGGTCAAGCATCGGCACACCAACAGCGACACGGTGACATGGCTACCATTGGAAATGACCAAACCTGCTGTCCATCCAGCTCCCGACAATAGCGCTACCCCCAACCCTACCTCTGGCCCTGAGCGCAGCCCACGTTGTGTTCACTGTTGGTGTTGACGGCACAGCCGCCGTGTTGAACTTCTGAGTTTTCCCTTGGAGGGTGGGGGGTGGATTGACGTGAACCGTGGTTATTGTCGTCGTGGTGGTGGTGTGGCTCGTGGAGGAGCGAGGCGCGATGCCGATAACGACGCTTCTGTCCGTGCGATGATGACCGCGTCGTGACCCTGACCAAACCGAAGCGAACCCTCCCGGCTCTGTCCCGGAGTGAGAAACTCAAATAAACGCGTTGAAGTAAAAACGGACGCATCCGCTGCTTTTTCATGCGTGCGCTCAGTCTCTCGGTGACCGTTGAGTTAAACCTGGTGGGAAACTTCTGGTCTTGTGCGCCAAACGCGGCTCACAGCTACATTTCATAACGCCCCCGGCCCCCCTGCATTTTTCACGACCCACAGCCATAAAGCCTACAATTGCAAAGCGGCCACAAATATTTACCGTCGCTACCAGCCTCTTAGCTGCACTAATCGGGTAAATACAACTAAAGAGGAAAATATTTTTGCCCTAACAACACTTGGTTTTAAGCAGTTGCGATTACTGCCAGGGGCCCCTTTGGGTGACCAAGGTGGGTCCGTGTTTCACATGTGGCCCGCTAAAGGAGGCCACGTTAAATAATAAGTTAAATGAAGACACGTGACTCAACAGCTTTGGCCTAATAGCTGCACACCCAGTGAGGCTCTGAACAGCTCATTCAAAGCTACGTTACACAGCGCACGAACGCTCCCGTACGTTCCAATTACCGTAATCACTGCCGTGATAGGCGTTCTTCTGGAATGTTAATACGTTTCAATAAGGTGGTTGCATCTTATCAAATAACTTGTGGCCGACACCCAACCCAAGTGTGTAATTACAAGAGCTGATCTCATGCTCCTTTAAACTTTAGAGTGAAAACCCTGCTCGCAAAAAGGTATTCTCACCACAAACACCACGATGGTTTTATTTTCCCTCAGCAAAAACCGGTTTGACCATGACCTCCACAAGACTCGGGCTCTCCTCGAGCTATTAACAAGACTTTCACCTTTTGATTTAAAGCTTTCGTGACTGCAGGGATTCATTTTCTTGGTTCTTTCGGTAAAGTCACGTATAAGGGAAACCAAAATATAAAACACAAATTCTCACGACGTTTCGACTGCAACACAAGCAATCATCATCAGGTGTGAAAACCACAGCAATAAATGTTTTATTTATTATTTTATTGTTTCCCTTCTACGTGACTACCGAAAGAACCAAGAATAGGACTTTCACCCTCTGGTGGTCAACACAAGCATTGCAGTAGTCCATTGTCTTTAAACGCACGTTTAACTTAAGAGACGATGTTAATAAACATCCTTCAGGAGACTACTGTCCTCCTCTGCACACGAACACCCGGACGGGTACATCGATCTTTCCGAACATCCTTGTGTGTTTGGACACATCGACGGGACAAGGCGCAAAAGGAGGCCCAAGGAAAACACGAATTGGCATCATCATGAGAGCATTCCACAGAGATGGAGCACACAGACCGCAGTGGAGGAGGGGACACACACGGCCGGAAATTCGCCACGAGATTCTGCAGCCACCACGGGCCAATCTGTCGGCATCACCAAGCCAATAACGTCAGGTGGTGCAGTCAAAAATAGTTTATATGTTCTCCCCCTGTTCCGCATGGGTTTACTCCTATAGCTAAACACCCACACGCAGTATAACTGGTATTGGCCAAACATCCCAGTGCTTAAAACAATACCTGCAAATTATTCAACTGGGATTTCGATAATCATCGGTCGCTACTGCAAACACTTGGCCGGATCCTCCTGAAAAAGTGTTGAGACCCAGTGAGGCTTTCCTGGGTAAATGTGTGAGAATAGTAAGAAGTCGATGTTTACATACGGGTTTATTAATATAGACTTGAAGTCGCCAATCAACCCCTGAACATGGCCAGTGCTGACCGGCCAATGCAGTGAGCTGCGAACCATCACCACCCCCACCCCAATTAAATCCCCATCAGCCAGGGCAACCGCGACTGGACGCCTGCAAGCGAGGACCGGTAACCCCACACCGGCCACGGTGACCCAACACCTCCGCCCCAAATCCTCGCAAGATTCAGGCGCTGCCATGCAGCACCATGGCGTCGTGCAGCCAGCTGGGCAAGCGGGCTTTGCTCACTGACTGCCGGATGCAAGTGCAGCCTCATGTTCCCAACACCTTCCGGAAAACTCGGCCCAAGTAGCTGCGTGGTAGATGCATTAGCCAGGCTGTGTGCTCGGCTGCCCAACACGAGTTGTAACCTCAGTTAAGGAGAACAGATTTGAATGTCGCTGTCGAGCGTGCCATCATTGCATCCCTGGCTCGGCAGTGCAGTGGCAACACCAGAGTGCTAACGCACTGCCCTTGATTACTGTAAAGGCTTTGACTCTCATAAATACGTTTCAAACGTGTTGGTCCAGCTCATGACAAACAGCCTGGGTGTGTTTGTGTTAACCTTCAATACGTGTCGGTCACTGGGTTCATCATCATCATCATCATCCTTTTACCGTACAGTAACGACGTCACCTGATGAAGATCGCTTGCGTTGTGATCGAAACGTCGTGATTGTTTTTTTTGTTTTAATATAATTTTATTGTATTTCTACATACGTGACTTTACCGAAAAAAAACAATGAGTAACGACGTCGTTATGCTCGAGCAAACGCCAATCGTGTAAAGGTTGGGAACTCTGTGATAGCATCACGAGAGGGAGCTCTCGGTCGGGGTTACAGACTCGGTCTGCTCTGTCAAACGCTTGCTACTCATCCTCCTGCTGCCCCTCTTGCTCCTTCATCACGCTCCTGCTGTTGATACTACTGCTCGCTCTGCTCTTCCTGCTGCTGCTCCTCTTGCTGCTGCTGCTGCTCTTCCTGCTGCTCCTCTTGCTGCTGCTGCTGCTGCTCGTGTTGCTGAGCGATGCGCACCTCCTGCTGCGCGTCGCGCTGCAGCTGCTCCATGCGCTCGAGCGTCAGCGACTTGAGGGGCAGCAGCTTGGGCTTGCACATGGCGAGACTCGGGGAGCCCTCCACGGACAGCTGGCCTGCTCCGGCACAGCCAGACAGCGCCACACGCACGGTGCCACACCACGACACGGACACGAAACCGCGGATAACTCTCGGCACCGGATGACACGGGGGGATTAAGCCACGAGGGTTCCAAACCGGTACTGTGCCAGCAAATCGGATGATCGTGCAGGAGGCGGATAAATCCCTCTCTAGCAATGGCTTCCACTATCTATGGCAAGCAGAGTGAGGTGCTGTGAATGGACGCGATGCGCCGTAGAGCCCCCACACACCGCTGGCCCGACTGCAGACACGACTAGAGGGGGGGAGTGGGGTCCCTCTGCCCAGGGGGATGAGCGGCTGAGCGCTCCCCCGCGGGCCTCTCCTCACCTTGCTTGGGCAGCACCTCCTTGAACATCCCCCTGCGAAACGCGCCTCCGTCTCCTCCGCTGCTGCACCGCCAAGCGATAGCACTGCGTGGTGTGAGAGTGCCTGGTGAAGTGTTGATGGCTCTCCTTCTGCAGCACTGGTCCCTGTGGTGGTGGTTGTTGTTGTATCGCTGTGGTATTGGTGGTGTGATTGTGTTGTTGTTGTGGTATTGGTGGTGTGGTGGTGTTGTTGTTGTGGTATTGGTGGTGTGTTTGTGTTGTGGTTGTGGTATTGGTGGTGGTTGTGTTGTGGTTGTGGTGTTGTTGTGGTATTGGTGGTGTGGTTGTGTTGGTGTTGTTGTTGTTGTGGTATTGGTGGTGTGGTTGTATTGTGGTTGTGGTGTTGTTGTTGTGATATTGGTGGTGGTTCTTACCGTTGTCTCGCGGCTACCAACGTCTCTCGCGCGCGCGCACGGATTGGCCAACACCCACCACGTGACGGGGAGGGTACGTGGCGGCTTCGCCGCGTGATTAGTGGAGATGATCCGGAACTCCCCCCCCTCCCGCCTGGCGCGCCCCGTTGCCGTGGAGACGGTGGCGCGCGCCGTCCCCGAGGGAACAGCGGCCACGTGACGCGGCCAAAGCGCGGGAAATGGATTCGGATGATGGTGACGTCACCGAGCGACAAGTTTCGTGGGCGGCAAAAGAGCTCCCTATTTATTACCTCCCCCTCGCAATGTTAAAGTAAAAATATGTAATCGGTGACGTTTCGGGCAATTGCCCTTCTTCATGGCATGTAGAGAGGCCAGTAGATAGACAGAGTGGACGATAAAAGTTGAAAACTGCATTTGGGGCCTGAGGAGAATGACATTTAAAACATGTTTCCTGATGAACAGTTTTTAAATTGGCGTATGAATTACCGGTAGCTACGGGCAGTAGGCAGTGATGAATATAGAGTTACGTGGCTTGTCAAAGTTGATCTTTCCGAGTGAGTTTCCCCAAGTCACCCCCTGGGTTCACGTCGCACAAACGACGCCAACTCCCCTGAGTGCAAGCGAGTGGAGTTGGCGATGTCCGCCCACGTCTCGCGTTTATTATTAGATTAGCGTCGTCCCCTTACAGGTATGGGCGAGGAGCAGGGGTGGGGGGCACGTGGAGACAGCTCGACATGGTGGACGCGATCCACACGGCGACTCGGGCTGAGGGGCGCCAGCGAGACCGAGAACCGCTTTGTCGGAAGAAGTCAACGCTGATCGCCTGGTGCCTCCTCCATGGGAATGTGGAATTGCCTCCATTGGCCCAGGCTTCTCAGTGGAGACTGCTACTATTTATACTCTTTGGTTTTTTCGGTAAAGTCACGTAGATAAAATAAAAGAAAACAACTAAATTAAATCACGACGTTCCGGATGCAACACAAGCTTCCGTCTTCAGGTGGAAGAGTCACAGCAGAATAGCTGTACCTGTTCCACCTGAAGACGGAAGCTTGTGTTGCATCCGAAACGTCGTGATTTTATTTAGATGTTTTATTTTATTTTACCTACGTGACTTTACCGAAAAAAACCAAAGAGTATGAATCCTTGCAGTCACAAAAGCTTCAAATCTAGAATTACTACTATTTATTTAACCAGGTAAGGCCCACTGAACTACATAGCTATTAAATTTTGATTTAAAGCTTTCGTGACTGCAGGGATTCATATTCTTGGTTCTTTCGGTAAAGTCACGTAGAAGGGAAACAATAAAATAATAATAAAAATATAAACCAATAAAATTCTCACGACTTTTCGACTGCAACACAAGAAATCATTATCAGGTGTGAAAACCACAGCAAGAAATTTTGAAAAAAAATAACCACCACTTTTGGCACAGAATGACCTGGCACAGAGTGACCTGGCACAGAGTGACCTGGCACACGGTGACCTGGCACAGAATGACCTGGCACAGAGTGACCTGGCACACGGTGACCTGGCACAGAGTGACCTGGCACAGAGTGACCTGGCACACGGTGACCTGGCACAGAGTGACCTGGCACAGAGTGACCTGGCACAGAGTGACCTGGCACACGGTGACCTGGCACAGAGTGACCTGGCACACGGTGACCTGGCACAAAGTGACCTGGCACACGGTGACCTGGCACAGAGTGACCTGGCACAGAGTGACCTGGCACACGGTGACCTGGCACACGGTGACCTGGCACAGAGTGACCTGGCACACGGTGACCTGGCACAGAGTGACCTGGCACACGGTGACCTGGCACAGAGTGACCTGGCACAGAGTGACCTGGCACAGAGTGACCTGGAACACGGTGACCTGGCACAGAGTGACCTGGAACACGGTGACCTGGCACACGGTGACCTGGCACAGAGTGACCTGGCACACGGTGACCTGGCACACGGTGACCTGGCACAGAGTGACCTGGCACAGAGTGACCTGGCACAGAGTGACCTGGCACACGGTGACCTGGCACAGAGTGACCTGGCACAGAGTGACCTGGCACAGAGTGACCTGGCACACGGTGACCTGGCACAGAGTGACCTGGCACAGAGTGACCTGGCACACGGTGACCTGGCACACGGTGACCTGGCACACGGTGACCTGGCACAGAGTGACCTGGCACAGAGTGACCTGGCACACGGTGACCTGGCACACGGTGACCTGGCACAGAGTGACCTGGCACAGAGTGACCTGGCACACGGTGACCTGGCACACGGTGACCTGGCACACGGTGACCTGGCACAGAGTGACCTGGCACAGAGTGACCTGGCACACGGTGACCTGGCACAGAGTGACCTGGCACAGAGTGACCTGGCACAGAGTGACCTGGCACACGGTGACCTGGCACAGAGTGACCTGGCACAGAGTGACCTGGCACACGGTGACCTGGCACAGAGTGACCTGGCACAGAGTGACCTGGCACAGAGTGACCTGGCACATGGTGACTTGGTACAGAGTGACCTGGCACAGAGTGACCTGGCACACGGTGACCTGGCACAGAGTGACCTGGCACATGGTGACTTGGTACAGAGTGACGTGGCACAGGGTTATGGACACACACACACACACTGGAATCGCTCCCCACCCTGCATCATGTCGTCGCTCAGTCTCAAGATTTGTCGATTTGACAAAATGTGATTGGGGAACCCAAAAAAGTAACTAAAATCTACAGCAACAATCACCGAGTTGGTAACACTGACCCCCTTTGTCTCTTCCCGTGCCCCCCACCCCACACCTCCCAGCCTGACCCCGTAACTCCGATTTGGGCTTCCTCTAGGTCGGCTTCGTGTTGCTGAGCCTCTCAATCTTCTGAAGCCGAGGACGATGACGACTTCTCACGTGGTGGAAGAGGCTGCAGATAGAAATCAACCTGAGCAGAAGGAGCACACACATGTGTACACACATCGTGTTAGGTGTATGGACACAACTGCACGCACACAATAGTGACAACCGCCGTTCACCACTTAGTGGCAGTGCCGTCACCACAGTGCTTGTGCCATGCACTTTGAGGCCATGTGAAGTGTCGAAAGCACATTGTGTGAAGTTGCTGTGTTTTATCTGCCTGGCGCTCTGCTCATTGTTGTGAGCGTCACAACTCTCCCCTCCGTTATTGCTGGAGTTCGACTGCCTCGAACTGCCCAGTCACCCAGTCGCGTGCTTCACGAGCCTCCTCCATAGAGGCCAATCTTGACACTGCTTTGGTCGATCTTCGGCAAGTCCACTCAGCTCTACACCCACCTCTTCTCGAGCCAACTCCCGGCCACGCAGCTTTACCCCGGCCTGCCCACCATCATGAAGGTCCTTAATGATTGTGAGCAGAGGGTAAGGGACCAATATCCCTGGCATACTGATGGTATGATAGGGCTTGACCAGGTCAATAAAGCATTGATGTAATTCCTGTTGAAATTCCCTACACCTCTGCTGTAGCAGATGGACAGAAAATATTGTCCGTCCAGAACCAACCCATTCTGAAACCACATTGCGGCCCCGCAAGCTTCCTCTCGGCGTGCCTGGTAAGGGCAGTGGCGGTCACCGTGATTTCGTTATCTCCGTGAATGATTTAACTCATGTCTCAGCACTGCGATCTGCGGAATGCGTCCGTGTTCCTACCCAGGCGGATAGGCACTCACGTGTTAGCGTGCATGTGTAGGAAGCAGTGGTGCAGTGATTAGTGCACTGCACTATGAACCAGGTGACCCGGGTTCGATTCCCACTCACAGCTAACACCGCTGATGAATATCTAAAATGGTCCAAGGCCTCCTCTAGGTCGAATCACTTTAAAAATTAGTCCATACTATGGTGTGTAAACATCAGCACTGGGAAAGCAAAGACGGCCGGGCGTGGTGCTGGCCACCCGCCCCCTTCAGCATCAATGCCGGCCTTCGTAGGTGATACCCACTCGCAGCACTTGCCCCAACAGCCTGTGCGGGCTCCCTGAGGGACTGTGTGTGCGTGTGCATGCCTCGCTGGGCTCGCTGTCCGTGACGATGGCATCCGTGGTGGCCGTGAGGTGGCCCGCGGCCGACGCGCTCAGCGTGTAAACGCCGGGCAGCAGCAGTCGGAAGTAGTCCCCGTCCGTTCCTGCGGGGACACACGACATCGTGACCACCCCGGGGAGAACTCCCACACCATGGGTCTGTGTCCCTGTGTGGGGGTCCATGTCCCGCTCCCTATATCCCTGTGTCTGTCTCGCTATCCTAGCGATGGTTATTGTGATTACAATACTACGTATTCATGTATGTTGAACTTTTTTCGCGCCGTAGGTAGCCAAAAGTTGCAGTGAATGTAGTGATGATGTTGTGGTGGTTGTCGTTTTATCTGTGACTAGCTTTGCCCGTCCAAGGACGGGTGTATTGCGGTAAATCTGAAACTTGCAAGCGAAAAGCAGACCGCGACGTGATGTTAATTGTATCAACCCGTGTGCAATTTGTAAGGGCGCGGTGGCACAGACCTATTTCATTTTAAGGTTATAATCCCTTGTTCATCATGACGTTCTTTTAACTTTGATGTCTCAACAGCGTTACGGAGATCACGTGACGTGATGAGGGTTCTGCCTTTGTTAGTGAGAGTTGTGAGTTGACACCGAGGAGGGGGGAGGAGGCGCCTCGCCCCCCCATGTGGAGTGACGTCACCCACTAATTATTCATGAGGGGCAGGTCCATGTGGAGGACGTCACCTGTTCATGATTATTAATGAGGGGGGCTGGTCGACGTGGAGTGACGTCACGCGCGTTACACACTGACATTCTGAAGCGGTGGTTGTGGTGTTTGTGTGTCTCACCTGCTGTGATGTCATGAGCGATCCCGGCCACGGAGATTTGGGCCCCGGGCAGCGCGACCCCCTCCACTCCCCGCACCACCCCCTTCACTCCGCGGTGGACCTGCACCGCCACCAACGCCAAAGCGTCCAGTCAGCGACCATCAGGGATCATCATTGATCATTCGTGATCATCGTCGATCATTGTTAATCATCGTCGACGGTAGCCTCGCGGCCCACCTGTGTTCATGTCTGAGCGATGGTGGTGGGGTGGGGGTGCGAGTCGTGCAGGTAGTGCGGGTGGTGTGGGTGGTGTGGATAGAGCAGGTGGTGCGGGTGGTGCAGGTGGTGTGGGTGTTGCAGGTAACGCAAGTGGTGTGAGTGCTACCAGTAGTGGTACCAGTCGTGGTACCAGTGGTGTGGGTGGTACCAGTCGTGGTACCAGTGGTGTGAGTGGTACCAGTAGTGGTACCAGTCGTGGTACCAGTGGTGTGGGTGGTACCAGTCGTGGTACCAGTGGTGTGGGTGGTACCAGTCGTGGTACCAGTCGTGGTACCAGTGGTGTGGGTGGTACCAGTCGTGGTACCAGTGGTGTGGGTGGTACCAGTAGTGGTACCAGTCGTGGTACCAGTGGTGTGGGTGGTACCAGTCGTGGTACCAGTGGTGTGGGTGGTACCAGTCGTGGTACCAGTGGTGAGGGCGGTGCGGGTGGTGGTGCCCACCTGCTCGATGAAGGAGAGCAGCGCCTCGCGGTTGGCCTGCCACTCGCGTGCCAACTCCTGCGCTTGGGGGAACTTCTCACAGCTCAGCTCCAGTGTCACCTCAAAGCAGTTCGAGTGGAGGTAGTTAAAGTCCTGCATACCTGGCACAGGTGAGTGAGTACCCCTAAGTACCTGGCACAGGTGAGTACCCCCTAAGTACCTGGCACAGGTGAGTACCTCCTGCGTACCTGGCACAGGTGAGTACCCCCTAAGTACCTGGCACAGGTGAGTACCTCCTGAGTACCTGGCACAGGTGAGTACCTCCTGAGTACCTGGCACAGGTGAGTACCTCCTGAGTACCTGGCACAGGTGATATGTGCTTCATGGTATAGTGATGATTAAGATAGTGATGGTGTTGATAATGTGTCGGTTTCTTGATAACGTGTATGTGATGTGGTTGAAGATGATAATGGTGATGTTCATCATCAAGTTTTGTTGATGGTAATGATGACGATGTTAATGATGTTGATTGTGATGCTGATGTTGGTGATGTGGTTGATGTCGTTCATCATAATGGTGGTGATGTTGATGGTGGTGGTGATAGCGATCCTTACCCCCGCTTAGCGAGTACCAGCTGGCGCCGTTGGTGATGCCGTCAGGAAAGTAATCCCCGCAGTTGGTCCCCGTGTGCATCCACCCGTGCGCGTAGGAATACGTGATGGCGAGCTGCGTGAAACGGCACGGCCTCAAACGTGTGGACACGGAGCTGTGCAGTTGCATGTGCGGCTGTGTGTGAGCTTGTGGGGAGCGGTGGCGTAGTGGTTAGCGCACCACGCTACAAAAAACGGCGACCAATGATAGTGAGGAATATTTGAACTGGTTTTGAGCCTCCATTAGGTTGACTCAGCCTTAAATTGGTACCTAGTGTGTAAACATCAACTTTGGGAAGACAAAGGCGGCCGGACGTGTGTGGCGCTGACCACCCCCACCACCTAGTAGGTGCCACGCCGTGATGGCCTTCACAGGGGTGCTGCTGCTGCTGCTCGCTAACAGCACTTGCCCCACAGCCCATGAAGGCTATCGGGGGGGATTTTTGTCTCTGCGCTCACGTGTCGGAAGAGCGGGTCGTCGGGGGTGCCCGCGTAGTGGTGGAGCCGTGAGGGCAGCGGCTGGCGCCCGCGCCGCGACTTGTCGAACGGGTAGTTGGCCACCACGGCACCGCCGTGCAGGTTCGCCGACAGCACGAAGTTGTGCTGTCGCAACCAGCGGATGACGGCACGCGTCTCCGGCTGCACCTGGACGGAAAGCAGACGGGGGGTGAGGGGGGAGCGGGAACCACGCGGTCAGCCCCCTCCGTGCCCGCCTGCCGACATTCAGTAAAACGTGTGTGTGGACGGCGAGAGAGATTGTTGTCAGAACTCGACCGGGAAGCCAATGGGGGTCCTCAGGGTGAAAGGGCGTGAGGCCTCCCCACGCACGCGGATCCCGGAGGCTCGTGGCCACAGCAAACGCCACCACGCTGATGAGTCCTGATGAGGGTGAATACACGCCTGCACATCCGTGCACCTGTTCCCCTGGACACCTCCACACTTGTCCATACTGCACACCTGTGGACCCAATTACTTATCGACCTTGACCCAAAAGGTCATCTCGACCTCACAGTCCAAAGTCACAACTCACGTGACCGGGTCATGCCCCCCCCCCACCCTCCCGTGACTGCAACCTCTCGACCTCGTGACCTCCCGACGAGGCGCCCTCGCCACGGTCCCGTGATCTCTTGACCCCGGAGCCCCTCGGAGGCGCGCACCTGGGCGTGCCAGCCGCTGGGGAGTGCGAGGTGGTGGTTGGGCCCCCCCCCGCGCTCGTGCTGGTAGAAGACGGCCGTGAGGTCGGGGAAGTCGCGGTTGAGGTCCACGCCGCGTGCGTTCCCTCGCCCGTCCGTGTACCAGTGGGCCTCGGCGCCCTGGTTCTGTGGGGTCGCACGCGGTAACGGGGGAGCGTGGATGTTTTAACGGCGATGGAGCCTCGCGTGCCACGGGTCAGGCACGACGTTCGATCCTCACGCCAGCATGAAGTACGCGAGGCAGGAGCGCGCTGCGCTACGAACCCGGAAACCCCCGAGTTCGATTCCTGCTCACGGCCAATGCCAGTGACGATTATCTGAATTGGCAACTCCACCCCCCGCTCCCTCCCCCATTCACCTGTGCGGCCGCCACCTCGTATCCGTCGGGGTTCATGCTGGGCAGCACGTGGATGCGCGTGGAGCGCAACAGGCGCTCGACGCGCGCCGCGCCCCGCCGGTGCTCGCTGCACAGGTGGTGCAGCAGGTGCAGCAGCAGCTCGCGGCCCAGCGCCTCATTGCCATGCATGTTGCCCACGTACTTGAACTCCGGCTCGCCTGAGGCGGGGGGGGGGGCACAGACGGAGGTAATTAAATGGCGCGTTGATGGAGGTGAAGAGTCGAGCGTCACCGACGTAGCAGTCAGGGTGTCCAGAGGAGAGCTTGGGTCAGGGCGAGGAAGACATCCATCGTCGTGGGAGGAGTGAGAGGAGGGCGCGAGGAGATGTTTGGGCAAAGCGTGAGGGATGCCTCGGCGATGGCTGCGGCGATGGCTGCGGCGAGCCTCGTGGTGAGATGCGTGCCGCAGGAGGTGCCGAGCTTCAGTGACGCCCGGGGGTCGCTGTGACCGGAGGCCACTGCCGCTGCCGGGATGGCGGAGGAGGACTTCCAAAGGTGGCGAAGGCTTCCTGCGCCGGTTTGGACGCGACGTCTGACGTAGGAGGAGGCGTGCGGCGCTAGAACGGGGCCCTGCGTGCCGCTCCCCCCGGTGGCTCCGCGAGAGGAAGTTCCCAGCGCCTCCCGGGTGGCTCGGCGTGGATGGCACCGGCGGGGAGCCGGCGTGAGTCGCGAGCCAGGCGGCGGCGGCGGTGGTGGGGAGCGGTGGTGTAGCGGGTAGCGCGCTGCGCTATGAACCCAGCGACCCGAGTTCGATCTCCCGCTCATGGCCAACACCTAAGTCGACTCAGTCTCAAATGAGTACCTGGTGCGGTGTGTAAACATCCCTACTGGGGAGACAAAGGCGGCCGGGCGTGGTTCTGGCCACCCACGCCCTCGTGTGCCGTACCGGCCTTCATAGGTGCTACTCGCTAACATCACTTGATCCAACAGTCTGTTAAGGCCACACGGAGGTGGTTGTGGTGATGGCTGTGGTGGTGGTGGTGGCTGTGCTGCACGTGGGTGCCTGTAACCAGGGCCGGGTTGAGGCTATGAGGGGCCCAAGGCGAATAGGAGAGCCTAGTATGTATGACATATTGGGGAAAAAAAGTATGAAATCATCAAACACATTTACTTATTTATCGACGTAAAATTAACAAATGTATCAAGGTAAATTCATAAAACACTAATCGCTCATTAGCTTTCGCTGTGACAAAGTCATGAATGATGTCACCATAATGCAAAGACAAAAAACACAAAACTCGAGCCCTTTCAAAATGTCACGAGAATTACCAGCAGTCAGTCAAACCGGTCTGCCTGTGTGTTTGGAACGAATATGCTGTCTCCTTTTAGTGCTACGGTGTTAGGATGAAGGCGTTGGACTTTTTTGATCGTCCGTACGGGAATACTTCTCTTTAAAAGGCCTCTATTGATTGAAATGTTTTTACGTAAAGTCAATATTATGGCTAAACAAAAAGTTATGAAAACCAAACACGAGGGAAGATGGAGGGGTGGGGGGTAGGGGGTTTGGCAATAATCCAGATGCGGTTCAACACTCACACATTCAACACTCACATTCACCACTCACACATTCAACACTCACATTCACCACTCACACATTCATCACTCACACATTCAACACTCACACATTCAACACTCACACATTCAACACTCACATTCATCACTCACATTCATCACTCACACATTCATCACTCACACATTCAACACTCACACATTCAACACTCACATTCATCACTCACACATTCATCACTCACATTAAACACTCACACATTCAACACACACACATTAAACACTCACACATTCACCACACACACATTCAACACTCACACATTCACCACACACACATTCAACACTCACAATCAACACTCACACACATTCATCACTCACACATTCATCATTCACATTAAACACTCACACATTCACCACACACACATTCACCACACACATTCAAAACTCACACATTCACCACTCACATTCAACACTCACACACATTCATCACTCACACATTCATCACTCACATTAAACACACACACATTCAACACTCACACATTCAACACTCACACACATTCAACATTCACCACTCACACATTCAACACACACATTCATCACTCACACATTCAACACTCACATTCATCACTCACACATTCAACACTCACATTAATCACTCACACATTCAACACTCACATTCAACACTCACACATTCAACACTCACATTCACCACTCACCCATTCACCACTCACACATTCATCACTCACACATTCAACACTCACATTAATCACTCACACATTCAACACTCACATTAACCACTCACAGAATCAACACTCACATTCACCACTCACACATTCATCACTCACACATTCAACACTCACACATTCAACACTCACATTCATCACTCACATATTCATCACTCACACATTCAACACTCACACATTCAACACTCACATTCATCACTCACACATTCATCACTCACATTAAACACTCACACATTCAACACACACACATTAAACACTCACACATTCACCACACACACATTCAACACTCACACATTCACCACACACACATTCAACACTCACACATTCACCACACACACATTCATCACTCACACATTCATCATTCACATTAAACACTCACACATTCACCACACACACATTCACCACACACATTCAACACTCACACATTCACCACTCACATTCAACACTCACACACATTCATCACTCACACATTCATCACTCACATTAAACACTCACATTCATCACTCACATATTCAACACTCACACATTCAACACTCACACATTCAACACTCACACACATTCAACACTCACAATCAACACTCACATTCAACACTCACACATCCAACACTCACACATTCAACACTCACACATTCAACACACACACATTAAACACTCACATTCAACACTCACACATTCAACACTCACACACATTCAACATTCACACACATTCAACACTCACAATCAACACACACATTCAACACTCACACATTCAACACTCACATTCAACACACACATTCACCACTCACATTCAACACACACATTCAACACATACACACATTCAACACTCACATTCAACACTCCCATATTGAACACACTTTTTAAACACACACACATTCAACACTCACAATCAACACTCACACACATTCAACACTCACACATTCAACACACACATTCACCACACACACATTCAACACTCACACACATTCAACACTCACACATTCAACACTCACATATTCAAAACACATTAAATACAAAGACCCCCCGTATAGCCTTAATAGACTGTAGGGGCAAGTGCTGTTAGCGAGCACCTGTGAAGGCCGGCACGGCACACTAGGGGGTGTGTGACCAGCACCACGCCCGGCCGCCTTTGTCTCTCTTATCCACTCACACTCCGACCGGGACGCGCATGCCCACCGCAGCACGGAGCCACATCAGCAGCCGCAATATCAACAACGTAAACACCAACAACGTCGCTACGACATCAAAACAACCAAAGTCAACAACTACAAAATATCCACAACAACACCAACCACTCTATGAGCAACAACTTAATCGTCCAGAGCTCTGCGTCTCGCGGTGAGGGAGGTCGGGGGTCGGTATTGGGGTCACCGGTCAGTGGTAGGATTCGGGATTCAGGGTTCGGTTTACGGGGTCAGGGTTTCGCGTTCGGGGTCAGGGGACTAGGTTACTGTTCGGGGGTCAGGGATTGTCCGAGTTCGGGTCAGGTTATGCGTTGGAAATCCCAGTTCAGGCTTCAGGGTCAAAGGGTCAAGGTCCGTGATCTGCTGTGTCGGTGCAGTCGGGACCCCCCCCCCCAACTCCCGTCACCCACCGACTTCGTGGCTGCCCGGATTGTCGCTCAACTCCATCACGTAGAGGTGGCGGCCCTGCGCGCTCTGCCCGATGGAGTAGAGGCGCGAAACGTCGGGACAGCGCGAGGCCACGGCCCTGAGCGCCCGCACCATCGCCTCGTAGTCGTGGTGGACGAACGACGGAGACCACGACGACGCCGAGTTGGAGAGGTTGTGGTGGTTGTTGTGGTTGTGGTGGTGGTTGTGGTGGTCGCCCGCGTCCTCGGACAATGGCACCGCGCGCACGGAGCTGAGCCACGCGACAAGCAGCAGCAGGTGCAGCAGGTGCAGGGGTCGCGCCGCGGAGGCGATGAGGCTCTGGGCAGCGGCACGTGGAGCCATCTCCTGCCGAGCTTCCACGCGGCGGCCGCAGGAAGAGGGCCGACTGGGCACGGAGGACCACGCAGAGGAGGATTCTGGCCGGGGTCGAGCTACTCGCTCCTCGTGTTTCAGTGATGGAGAAGAGGTCGCTTGTGGTGACGGTGGTGGTGACGATGGAGGTGGTGGTAGTGGTTGTGAACGTTGATGGTAATTGATGATGATTGCGGTTACTATTTGATTATTATAACCGTGCGTTTTACTTAACGATGAGTGGAGTAACTAAATATAATGATGACGGTTGTAGTTTGTGATGATGTCTGCTGACGCTGAGGACGGTGATGTGACGCTGACGGCGGTGATGTGACGCTGGCTCCGTGATCTCTCCCCCCCCTCGCGTCAGCTCGGACCCCGCTCCTCCCCCTCCACACGCGCCCGACAATCATTGACTAAGCCCGGGAGATTCATTAACGAGCGACAGGGGTCGACACAGGGGGCCCCAGTGGGGTCCACACAGGGGGCCCCAGTGGGGTCCCCTCGGGGCTCCGAGGCGGCGGGGCTGGGTTGGGCTCCGGGCGAGGCAGGATGGGGAGCGGTGGCGCAGAGCGCAGCGCTGCCCTTCGAGCCCGGCGACCTGGGTTCGATTGCTGTGCCACGGCTGACGTCAGTGGCGATTGACATCTCAGGGTGACTCCGCCTCGAAATGCAGCGCGCCCGGTGGGTGCAGTTGTGAGTGCAGGCATCAGCGCAGCGGCCTGCAGAGTACACAGAAGAGGGGGGGGGGTTAAGGTGCCTGGCGGGATAGGGGGCTCTGTGAATGGGTAGGGGTGCTGGGGTCTGGAGTTCCTGGAGCCCCACACTGCAGGGGGTCTCTGCAGGGGTCCCGGGTCCCCGAACCGGTCGTGGCCTCATTCCTGTGGCGACCTCGACCCGCGCCGCCTCACGGGGGCCGCAGCCCCCACCTCACCACTCACTCACCTCGTTATTTATTTATTCGTCATCGTCGAATTGTTTCCGTCATCATCGCCGCGAAGTTTGGCTCTCGGCGCTGCGAGCGTGAGACCGGTTGAGCCGGCACGGCCGCTGAGCCACCGACCCCGCGGTTCGCGTCCGTGCGCTGCGCCTCGCTGCCCCGAGTGCGGGCAGCTCTGTGGCTTCGTGCAAACATCGCTTCTCTCTCCCTCTCTCTCTGCCTTTCACGGGGTGTGGTCGTCTCCGTCCACAACAACGCTCACAGCAACAAGCGGGGCGCCGGGCGGATAAAGTGCAGAGTTGGCACAGTGGGGACACACGGCCGGTGGCATCCGCCAGTCGCCTGAGTCGACCCGCGGCACCTGTTGGGCCTGTCCCGTGACCTCCAGCCAGCGAGCCTTCGACACTTCGCGTCGCCTCAAAGTGCACCTAGCATGGCACGAGCGCCGTAGTGACGTCACCGCCACTATCAGAATTATAATCTTTAGTCATCCTGGAGAAATCCGATGAGCTATGAAGCTCTTTTTCAGATATATCCAGTAGGGGCGGGTTCGAAAGTAGCAATGCAAACAACACGAAAGGAGTGAGACGCCAGCAGCGTGCTCTGTACACGAGGGGGTGACGCCTCAAAAGCTCCGCACAAATGGATTCACGAATCCATCGATGCGTTGCCATCTGCTGGCCACCTCACAGAGCAGTCTCAACAGCGAGGTACGAACCGGGCCTCGACGCTGCTTCGCTTCTGAGACTTCACACGGCGGGGGGGTTGGGCGCATTCAGGGCGAATTGGAGATGAACAGAGGTCCACCGTGGCTCCTCGTCAACGTTTCATGATGTAACACAATATCGCCACAGTGCACGTGCTCTACAGTGAAGTTGGCATCGATCAAAACCCCTGGAATGTGCCCGACCTCGGAGGCTAAGCAGGGCGTGAGCCTGGACGGTGCTCGGACGGGCGAACGTCGTGGGTGACAGGCGCTGTGCCGCCTGCCGCTCCTGCCTGCACCACCGTCGTCACCCAGGCACGCACGAGCCAAATCATTCACCCTCTCAGCCTGCCACTCAGTGGCGCAGCACGGCGAGATCCCTGGGAGGCCGTGATCCCCTTCTCACAGCCCGGCGTCCGGGCTGGAGGTGCAGTCGTACCGCCTGCACTCCGGATAGCTACGCCACTGCACTCACTCACCAGACCACTCAGCGAACACAACGTGAACTGCTTTGCATGAAAACATTTTAATGAAAATCGATGGGTTTGGTCCATTGACGACCCACCTGTTCCTTCTGCACGGGATAGGATGTTGTTTTCTTCGCACACGTGGGGTTTCTCAGGGTGCTCCGGTTTTCTCTCAAACATACAAACAACTTATTCAATGGCCGAAAATTTTCTTAATATATCGAGGGGACCGCAGAGCTGGGGCATTCGTTGTAAGCGAATTATTCCTCGCCGCCTGGTTCCTGCCTTCGCCTGGTTCCTGCCTTCGCCTGGTCCCTTCCTTCGCCTGGTTCCTGCCTTCGCCTGGTTCCCGTCTTCGCCTGGTCCCCGCCTTCGCCTGGTCCCTGCCTTCGCCGCTCGCCTGTGGCTCCTCGTCGACAATCGCGAGTGACGCGGATTGCACAAACGACGCCGCCGTAGCAGCTCGGTGCACAACATCCACATTGTTGTTGTTGACGATGTGAAGACGTGAAATCCGCAGTGACGATCCATATCGGAAACAATGCGACTGACATCGGGGATGGATTCGCGGCACGATTTCGGGACGATGTCGGCATGAAGGCGACATCGCCCGCGGCGCTCGGAACCAACCAGAGGAGCGCGGGAGCCCGGGGCCCCTGACGAACCGAGGCGTTGCGCCTCGCGGAATGTTTGACAGTGTTTAATGCAAATAAATAAACTGTACAAAGTGGCGAAAAACTCACTCCCCGCGTTCGTCGCTAACGCTGCCTTCTAACACACACCATATACAACGGGCTGACGTTTCGGGCAATGGCCCTTCTTCAGAGTAGAAAGGGCAGAGAGGTAAACCGACTGACTCGCGGTTGAAGGTGGCACTTGCCACTGTCCGTGGGACCGCCCAGAAAACTGGGAGCGTTTTAGGAAGACGACCAAACTTGAGGGTCGAGGGGACTCGGGGAAGGACCTCGATCCCTCGAGCAGCGCAACCAAAACTCGAGCGTGGAGCTCACAGGCGACTTCAAGGTGGCGTCGCAGGCTAGGCAGCTACGCCGGCAGGTACCAGGGACTAGGCACGAGGTACCAGAGGCAAGGTTCCAGAGGTGAGGTACCACCGCAAATTGGTACCCCGAGTGTGGCTGCCCTGTCCAGCCCCGCCACTCCAGGACCCACCGAGTACCTCGAGTTGGGGCAAGCCCTGCACAGTGGTCAGGCTGCAGCTGCAGGGGATTCGTGGTGCAGCAGTTGGCACAGCGGCGCTCGAGGAGAAAGCCCGGAACAAACCCGAGTTCGACTCCCGGCCACGGCCCGCATGGACGGCGAGCGACATCTGAACCGGTGACATCTACGAAGCCTCATCGGCTAGCGTGACGAAGTTTGTTCAAACAACCGCTGCTGCCCCATGACGGTGGACATAACTTTCATCCAGCAGTGAAGTGCGTGACGATGATCGCACGCCCCCGGCTCGCGCAGCCGAGACGCCCGCCGCATGCGAGGAATGCGAGGCGAAGACATTCGCGGGGAGCTGCGTCATCGCTGCCAGCGCGGCCCCCAATAATCCGAGGGGGGAGGCAGGTGTCGGCAGGGTGGCGGCGGGGGGGGCTCGCGGAGCCCACAGATGAACCCCCCATAGAGAACACTCACAAGTGCCCCCCCCCCCCCCCCCCACTAGTAATATTTATCCAGGCGGCTCAGCTCCTCGCAGCAGCAGTCGGAAGGTCGTGAGTTCAACTCAAGGTTTGGTGTGGGTGGGTTGACTCGGCCCATCATCATCATCATTCTTCTCTCCCTCCGCGGTAAATAGTAACACTTTGTGGGGATATCAACGGTGGTTGTCCTATGGATAGACTCGCCCCCACCATAGGATTGTGGAATTCTTACAACTGGCTCTGCAGGCCTGTAAAGCAGATGTACTCCACTTACTGCCTCAATGCTCAATGCAGGGAAGTTTGGCTTCCCGTGGCAGCACAGAACCCGGAGACAGCGCCGCTGGATAGATACGAGAGGGGGTAGCACTCACAGGTCCGCACAGACTGGTTTGCAAACCCACTGGGGCTCCACTGTCGTTAGCCTGACCACCTTGCAGCCTTAGGAGGGTTTGGGAGTTTCACAAATCTTTCCGTGATCCACCATCACCTCCACAGTGCTGAATCACAGGTGTGCACTACCACACCTGTCTAAACACCAGTGTACACTGAGTAAGAAGTAGGTGGGTAGGGGTGGGTGAGTAGGTGAGTAGGCAAGTGTGTGTGTGAGTAGGCGAGTTGGTAACTGGGTGAGTGGGTGTCTGAGTTGGTGAGTGGGTGTATGTGTGTAGGCGAGTGGGCGAGTGTGTGACTGGATGAGTGAATGGATGAGTGTGTGCGCGAGTCGGCGAGTTGGTCAGTGGGTGAGTGGCTGTGTGACCGGGTGAGTGGGTGTGTGACTGGTTAAGTGGTTGAGTGGGCGAGTAGGTGAGTGGGTGTGCGAGTAGGTGAGTGGGTGAGTGGGTGTGTGTGTAGGTGAGTGGGTGTGTGAGTCGACGAGTTGGTCACTGGGTGAGTGGATGTCCGAGTTTATGAGTGGCTGTGTGACTGGGTGTGTGACTCGGTGTGTGACTGGATGTGTGACTGGGTGTGTGACTGGATGTGTATGGGTTGCAGAAGGGAGCCACTGGAAAATCTCGCGCCGTGCGTCCACGCAGACCCTGCAGCGCCACCAACGCCGCCGCCACCACCGCCGCCTCCAACCCCCACTCTCGCCAAATTCCACAGCACGGCCAAGCAGCTGCCACCATTCATCTGAGGTCACAGACACCAGGACACTTATTTTTCCTGTTGCTGGCACCACATTTTTATTCGTATCGTCATCACCACGATCATCGTTTACGCTCCGATTCGCAAAAAAAGGGGAACAGAAACAGTGGTAACCGCGTGGTCGCTGTCGTTATTATTATTACTACACAGAACGTATGTACAGGTAATGTACACGGGACGAGTCCCCCAGATCCCACACGCCACGCCGCCCTGCACCTTGGGGTCACAACGCTGCACCCCAGGCCACACCGCTTTGCACTGATGGAAAGTCAACCTCCGAGGCCTGCCCAGGGCAGGGCATGAGCACTGTGGATGAGGGGCATCAGGGGCAGCAGAGGGGCATCAGGGGCAGCAGAGGGGCATCAGGGGCAGCAGAGGGGCATCAGGGGCAGCAGTGGGGATCAGGGGCAGCCTGAGACAACCTTGGCAGCAATGGGCAGTGGAGTGAGATCTGGGTCAACAGCACCAACAACCTGTACATCATCGTAGCCAACATCGCCATCATCGTCACGAACGCCATCGTCGTCAGAGCTGTTGTTGTAGTCATCGCCAAAATCGTCAACGTCATCAGTGAACGTTTATATTTCCGTCAAAACAACGGAACCCACACGTTCATAAATCAGGATGGGAGATCCGTAAAAAGGTTTAGCGAACAATTAATTCAAGGAATGCTAAACAAAAAACAATCATCATCATCGTCGTCATCCGGGATGAAGAGGATAGTGAACGCTTAGAACGAGTATAAAAACAAAAATCAGAGTTTGGTTGTGAACATCGCACGAGGGGTGATCGGAGACGCGGTAGGGGGAGACGCAGGGGGGAGACTCTGGGAGACATTAGGAGCTGGGGGGAGACTCGGAGAGGCACGGAGGGTGAGCAAAGACACGGGGAGACACTGACGTGGAAGATCCAGACTCGGTACTTCGGCCCATCAAAAGCTCCGGGTCCAGGTTTTGTAAATTCCCCACGATGGCAGCTGCCCAAGGGAAGTACGCGAGGCACCACACGTCACTCACAGCGCACCACACATGCACAATGCACGTCACTCACAGCGCACCACACATGCACAACGCACGTCACTCACAGCGCACCACACACGCACAACGCACGTCACTCACAGCGCACCACACACGCACAACGCACGTCACTCACAGCGCACCACACACGCACAACGCACGTCACTCACAGCGCACCACACACGCACAATGCCGTCACTCACAGTGCACCATACACGCACAACGCACGTCACTCACAACGCACGTCACTCACAGCGCACCACACACGCACAATGCCGTCACTCACAGTGCACCATACACGCACAACGCACGTCACTCACAGTGCACCATACACGCACAACGCACGTCACTCACAAAATTCATACTGCTTGGCACACACCACCCACCTCACCACCGACCACATACACCACTCACCATATGCCTCACACCCCACCCAGTCACCCACCACACAGAGCGCCACACGCACCACACATCAAAGCTCACACAATCCACAGCATCGCATACAACTCACACCACCGCCCACACACACACGGACGTTGCAAGAATATTACACCTCCATAGCTTAAATTCGACCCAGTCCATCTTGGTTGGCGACACAGAACATATTCCCGCACAAGGCACACCACATCCATTATACCTCTGGCTATGGATGTGTTGTCTACTCGCCACACGCCACCTACTCCAGTCCGTGAGTGACACGAAAAATATTGGGCAAGAAATTACTCCCCGCTTACACCCAATAGACATTCACGCACGCACACACTCGCAATCGTTTGTCTCGGCCTAACCCCGGCAGCTGCTGACAGGAGGAGGAGGGCAGCACACCGTGCCACACACACCCACTCGCACACCGCCATGGAACGCGCACGTCGCCATGGAACACACACGCCACCATGCAACACATACGCACACCTCCACACCGCCCCTACTCGCCAAACCGAGTGGGAGATCCCAGCTCCACCAGCCAGCTGCAATGCCACCGCCACCGCCGCCGCCGCCGCCACCACGGCTGCCCGTCGCGTGAGCCAGTCCGGCACGGGGGGCAGGGGACGGCGCGGAGGGGTCAGATGGGGCGGCCCAGGAGGACGGCGTCTTTGCAGAAGCCCTCGGCCATTGGGACCTCGAAGAATCCGAGTTTGGTGTAGAACTCCGTGTTGCCCTTGTCGCTCGCCTTTACTTCGCAAAACGCACCCTGCGATCCTGCGCACGTGTACGCGTGCGTGTGAGAGTGTGTGTGTGTACGTGTGTGCCAGAGCGTGTGTGTGAGAGTGTGTGTGCGTGTGAGAGTGTGTGTGTGTACGTGTGTGCCAGAGCGTGTGTGTAAGAGTGTGCGTGCGTGTGAGAGTGTGTGTGTGTACGTGTGTGCCAGAGCGTGTGTGTAAGGGTGTGTGTGCGTGTGAGAGTGTGTGTGTGTACGTGTGTGCCAGAGCGTGTGTGTAAGAGTGTGCGTGCGTGTGAGAGTGTGTGTGTGTACGTGTGTGCCAGAGCGTGTGTGTAAGGGTGTGTGTGCGTGTAAGGGTGTGTGTGCGTGTGAGAGTGTGAGAGTGTGTGTGCGAGAGTGAGAATGTACGTGTTTGAGAGCATGTGTGTGCATGAGAGTGTGCGCATGTGAGCGTGTGTGTGAGCGTGTGTGTGTGAACAATTGTATTATTAATGTTTTAGTCCAGATCTTGCCATGGCAGACGTAGCACACGATCCGAGATGGCGATGCCCTGGCACAACTGCACATGAGAAACGGTGGTGCTTCGAGCCTTTCATGAGCACAAGTGCCAAGTCTAACCTTGGGGTGTGGGGTGGTCAATTACAACAAATACAGCAGCAGCATTGTCTGAGATTACAAGAATGATAATAATTACGCTCGTTAACCCAGGAGAGCCTCGCCGAGTCTCAAGACTCACTTTCAGGAGGGTCCTGCCAATTTCTCGCAGCAGTAGGGGGGGGGGGGGGCAATGTCGCTGCTGCGTGTGATCCCCAATGAGTGACGTGGAGGTGTTTTGTCAGCACTGCAATGTTCGCAGCGAACGCCGCCTGGGCTCGCGTGCTGCCCGGCAGCAGTGGTAGCGAGCGAGCGAGCGGTACCGTTGGCCTTGAGGGACGAGAGCAGGCAGCCCATCATGCTCTTGGCGACGCTGGGGTCGGTGACCCGGCTGTGGATGTCCACGCGCACCAGCGACGGGAAGCGCGAAACCAGCGTCTCCGGGGGCACCCGCGCTTCCTCGTGGAAGCTTAGCATCACCTCCTGGGCGGGAGGGGGGTGGGGGGCGGGGTGGTGGGGGCAGGGGGTGGGGTGGAGATGAAGTGGGAGGCGAGTTGGAGGGAGCACGGCAAGTCGGGAGGGCGACAGGGATGGAGCACAATCAGCGATGCCACCGTGGCCAATGCCGCTGGTGCCACCTCCGGCACCGCCACCGTGGTCGCCAGCGCCTCGCTACCAAAGCTTTCGACCATCCCCCCGTCATATCCAGCAGCTGCTGCTGCACAACAGAAGATGTGGGAGCACTCACACTTTACCCCAGCACACGCGAGGAGATTGACAGATAGCAGGTCCGGCGTGCTGCTGACCGTTACACGGCTGTGGTGGCAGCGTCCCAACAGGGCGACACGCGAGCGGCGTCATCATCGTCGTGCTCGTACCAGCGAGAGGGAGAGCGCGTCGTCCCCGGTGGCGGCGGGCCGCGTGTACTTGTCCTGCATGGCCGGCAGCCAGGCCACCTCGCAGCGGCTGAAGAAGGACTTGGCGTCGACGGAGCCCAGCGCGTAGCCGCACACGCCCTCCTCGTCCTCCAGCACGAAGCAATACTCGGGGCTCAGCGACAGCAGGCTGCCCACCAGCCTGCTCGCGACACACAGGACACGCGCGCGAAGTCACGTGCGGCACGGGCGACTTGTAACGCGTCAGGTTCGTCTCTTCGAACCGCGCGACACGCACGGCGCACGCTACGCAACACACACGCACGCCACGTTTCACACAACGCACGCGAAGCACGGGAAGTTACGCACGGCCGACACGACGCGTTATAGAAATCTAAAACGGCGGTTTTCAAAGCCAAGACGAGCGTTCACGTTTGACTGTTGGCTGGAGTGCCGGCGGGAGCGCCACACGAAGCTCACCGGTCTCCGATGAGGTCGGGGTTGTCCGGGAAGAGCTGCGTGCCGTCCAAGCCGTCGGCGTACGTCTCCCGGCACACCTTGTAGGCGGCGGCCTGGCAAAGACGCGACAGGAACGCTCGCGTCTCTCTGCCCGCCCCCCACCCCCGTCTACACGGCCAAGCCTCGCCAAGTTTCAAGATGCTCTTACAGAGGGTCCTGCCATATTGGGCAAATTTCCTTGTAAAATAACAGCAGCGTGGCTAAACACGAGAGGAAGCCGCAGAACCCGGAGCAAACCCACCACGTACATCAAGGGGACAACACCGAGTTACAATTCCGCAGCCCCGTGAGGCCAGCAAGTCCCACGCAACTTCCTGCGATCCACCAACCCTCTTCGTTGGTAGTCACATGACCACTCGCATCCGGTCCACTGCCCAGATCTACGCCGAGCGCCGAGGAAAAGGCGATTCCTGCACAAACACCGGCACCGGTCAGACGGCACCGCTGAGGTGGGGGTGGGGAAGAAGAGAAGGGGGGGGGGGCTCACCTCGTCCTGCGGGAGGTACGGCCGAATCGTGTACACCTTGGCCGTGGGGGGCAGTGGCGGCGGCTGGAAGAAGAGGTCGTTGGCGCCGTCGATGGGCAGCATGCGCTGGGCGGGCGACGCGACACGAAGGGAAATCAGTGCGACCCTACAGCGCGGGAACTTCCGCCGCGACTTGACGCGCCGTGCTGACCGGTGACCCACCCTGCCCCGGTCTGGCAGGGGCAAGGTGGGTCACCTGCCATTAAGACGTGGGGGGCGTGGGGGGCGTGGGGGGCGTGGCGGGCGTGGAGAAGTGGGGATGTGGGGGGCGTGGGGAGGTGGGGGGGGTGGGGAGGTGGGGGTTGGGGGTCGTGGTGGGAGGCCATAGAGGAGAGAGGTGCCGTAGTTGAGGCTGGATGAGGCAGCAGGGGTAAGGAAATGGAGGGCAAGGGAAGTGAATATTGAAGGCTGGACACCGGCACGCAGTGGCCAACTCCCCTTCGAATGACATCACCGGATCTTGAACGCACAGCGTGAAGCGGACAGTGTGGAGCATTGTACGCTGAACACACCCGGCGATATCAACCAGTACGACGAAGGTGAACGAGAGATGATTATGTTGATTACGAGGATGTAGCGAGACGAGTGTTGGCAATGTGTTGCGCCGCTCACCTGCAGCTCGCCGGCGAGACCACCGCGGAACACCCACGGCTCCTGGTCTCCGCTCAGGAACTGCGAGTGGGTCTGGCTGCGGCACCCTGTCACGGCACACGGCACACGGCACGCGCAGTCACAACCAGGAGACGGCGTGCACCGCCGGTCCATAGGCGCAACGCGTGAGCAATCGTGGCGAAGGGCGAAACCAAAAAATGTTCGTACACACGCTCACACACACACGCTCACACACACACGCTCACACACACACGCTCACACACACACGCTCACACACACACGCTCACACACACACGCTCACACACACACGCTCACACACACACGCTCACACACACACGCTCACACACACACGCTCACACACACACGCTCACACACAAGCTCACACACATACGCTCACACACACGTTCACAACACAATATAAGAATATGTTTGACCCTTTCTGGCAATAAAGCAGGTGTTAAGATGTTAAAACACCAAACTGAAACCTTTTGCAAAGAATCATATCTGCCTTAACCACACATACTTGTGGTGAACATGCAATCAAAAGGTATGCTCTGATAGTATCTGCATATACTATCAGAGGAGGTCGTCCCATGATGTAGCTGCTCACCGCATGCTCTCAATGTCCTGATAGTGGCACTCCTCTTTGTGCTGTTCACCTTTTGAAGTCCTCTGGTCTAACACTGTTTGAGACTAGGCTCTAAAGAAAGCTGTCTTTAAATTTCGATTTAAAGCTTTCGTGACTGCAAGCATTCATCTTCTTTGGTTCTTTCGGTAAGGTCACGTAGAATGAGAATAAAATAATACAATAACACTAAAATTCTCACGACGTTTCGGCCACAACGCAGGTGAAAGGTACAGACCTGTCGTCCCGACAGGTCTGTACCTTTCACCTGAAGACGGCCGCTTGCGTTGTGGCCGAAACGTCGTGAGAATTTTATTGTGTTATTTTATTCTCATTCTATGTGACCTTACCGAAAGAACCAAAGAAGGAAAAAGCTGTCTTTGTATACATATACTATCAGAGCATGTTTTTTTCATGTTCACCACAAGTATATGCGCTTAATGCAGATGTGATTCCTTGCAAAAGGTGTCAGTTTGGTGTTTTAACATCTTAACACCTGTTTAACTTCCAGAAAGGGTAAAACCTAATTTCATATTTTGATACTGGCAAGAGCGGTCCCATGATATCACACACGTTCATACACACACTCACACCCACAAAGACACACTCACACGCTCACAGACAAAGGCATCCCACACTGCACTACCCCACACTGTGCTGGGTCATGCCGTGTTTGCAGATTTCCCGTGGGATTTTGCGGAAGCTTCTTTCACTTTCATTGCTCTTTGTGAGTGGAAACCGGGCGTCTGTTCTTCAAACGCACCGAGAAGAAGAGGCCGGTTCGGGGTCGAGGGACCGAACCGGGTCACCGGCTCACAGGCCTCGACAGCCGCCCCCTTACCAACTCTCCTACCTTCGTCCGACCCCTGAACTCTGGCCCACAACCCCGGGAAAGCTGCCTGCGCGAGTGAGCTCGTGCCCGCCGCCTCCTCGCCGGGCACCTGGGGAGAGACAGGGAGGGAGCGCACCACCGCAAGAACCCCCCCCCCCCCACCAACCCCGCCGCCCACACGGGTCGCCACCCGAGCCCCACCGGTGCCCAACGTGCCGCCACTCTACCCACAAACCACTCTCTCGCTCGCAACGCCTCTCTAGAGCCAAGTCCTGGTGAACTTCGCTTGGCCAGGAATGGAGAGCACCGGGCCGCGCTGGCGGGCCGGGTGAGAGCGTGGCGAGAGGGATCGGTGCGAGCTGGGTGGCCGTGCCCGCGGGGGAGATGCGCCCGTGTAGTTTGACCTCTGCACATCACTGGCACGGTGCGCAATCTAAAAAGCGCGCAGAGGAACGCCGCCCCCTACTGGCAGACCAATGCCCACTTGCAGGCGGGTACCGCCCACATCCTGTGCCACACAAGGACCCGCGCAACTCTTTGAAAAACCTGGCTCCATGCCCCCTCTATCGATCACCTCTATAACGCCCTCTCCTCCAGGAAGCACCCCCCACACCCAAAGAGACAGCCCCCCCCACAGGTAGGACCCCACGTGGACGGCACACCGCCGCGTTGTGCCCACCCAGCCACTTGACGAACGACTTGACCATGGAGACGATGCCCTTGATGTCCCAGATGTAGGGGTAGAGGTCGTAGAGGACGCTGCGGTTGGCGATGCTGGAGAGGCGTGTGAACATCTGCGTCACGCGGTTACACAGCTCCTCGAAGGCGAGGGCGCGGGCTCGCCAGTCCTCCTCCTGTGAGAGTGAGGGAGAGAGGGGGGTGAGCGTGGGGAGAGAGGGGGGAGGGTGAAGGGGGGTGAGCGTGGGGAGAGAAGGGGGAGGGTGAGGAGAGGGGGAAGGGTGAGTGCAGGGAGAGAGAGGGGAAGTGAGCGCAGGGACAGCATGTGCACTGACATGGCAACACGACTATGGAGTCATCAACACAGCTGAAAATACAACACGACAGATGCACAAACAACAACACAGCCACACAGCACAGGCACTGCATCACAGCCATAACGTTACATGAACAGCAACGTAGCCGCACACAACTAAATGCACAGCAACGTGGACACGCGCACACAGCAACGCACAGAAACACGGAGACCCACGCACACAGCTGCACACAGCTACACGGATATACAGCCACACATACATAAACAGCACCACACACAGCACCAAAATCACAGATCCCCGTATTAACCTTAAGAGACTGTAATGGAACGCCTATTAAGGCCGGCCCGCCACACATGGCACAAGGTACTCATTTGAGGTTGAGTCGACCTAGTAGAGGCCCAAGACCGGTTCAGATAATCGTCACCGATATTGGCCGTGAGCAGGAATCGAACTCGGGGCGCCGGGTTCGTAGCCCAGCGTGCTAAGCACTACACTACCACTCCCCACAGCACCTCCCATACTACAGTACACGGCACCGCACACGGCACCACGGACGGCTGTACTCACGCGCTCTTTGTTGGGCTCGGCGACGCTCCGGCTGCAGCCCACGGCGCTGCTGTTGACCTTGAGCCAGTGGAATTCGCGCAGCAGCTGAGCTGCGCGTGGCCCGTGCTCGTAAGGGAGGTAGAAGAGGTCGGCGAGGAGGTCCAGGTCGTCGGCCGTCACCGGATCTACGGCCGAGGACTTTCCCCCGCTCCCCGCCGCCGTGCCGGCGCCGCCGCACGGGATCACATCGTCCGTCTGCATGGGCCACGCCTCGGCCTGCATGCTCCTCCCATCCTCTTCCTCCTCGACAACGACGGCATCGATGTTGCCACGCAGGAAGGCCGGTGTTCCGACCTGGAGAGCGAGGAGAGAGGGACGCACGGGGAGCTTCGTGGGGTGAACGCTACGGACAGGATGCCAACGTTGCCAATGATGCGGCGAGTGAGCATGACTCCAACGAGAGGACAGGCCCGTTCATACTGCCCCCCCGCCACCACACCCTTCACTCTAGTCTGGAACTCCCTTCCCTCCATCCGTCCGTGCATTTGACTCAGGCTTAGGACCTTTGCCTCTGACTGCCTCTCTCTTTAAAAGCAAAATGGACAGCAACTTAAAATATGGTGACATTCGGATACTCACTCGCTCGCTTGCCCCTCGCTCCCTTTCTCGCCCGCTCATTCACCCAATCACCCGCTCGCTCACTCGTCCACTCACCCCCTCACTCACCTCCTCACTCACCCCCTCGCTGACGCCATGCGTCGGGCTGCCCTCCACCACTCCCTCACGCTCCGTATCAATCGGGCTCATCTCCCGGTCGGGCGGCGTGGCGGGCGCGGTGCCGCCGGGCCCCTCCTCGGTGCCGCCGGACACCTCCACGGTGCCACCGGGCCCCCCGTCCGTGGCCACGGGGCCACCCGCGGCGCCGTCTAGGTCGGTGTCCATCGGCCGGGGCTCGCTGGCGGTCACGGTGTCCCCGCAGTCCGGCTTCTCGCACGCCGCCGTCTCCATGGGCTCCTCCACCACCGTTTTCGCGCCAGCGCTGTCGTCGACGGCACCGCCGCTGCCACCGCCATCATCGACATCGTCTCCCCCTTTAACGAGGTCTCCGCCTTCCTCTTCCACCTCCTCGTCAACGCCCAAGTGCGGCTTGGGGTCGATCGTGGAGTCCGGGGAAGCTGTTGGCGAGATACGGGTAGACACAGATCAAAGCGCAGAGATACACGGAGACACACAAAGGGAGGGAGACAAAGGGAGAGAAGGGACACGTGGGAAGTGAGTGATGGAGAGCGATGAGGAGACAAGCGGATGGTATTATAAAACTAGAACTATAATCGGAGGGAGGGCCCCCACCTGGCAGGGTGGTGGAGGATGAGGACATGATGGGCTGCTGGTAGATGGAGGTGCTAACGGTTGCCATGGAGGCAGCCGGGAGGGACACGGTGATGACGTTGCTGAGGCTGGTTTTGGGTCCACTCCCTGTCACCTGTCTCCCTGTGGGGGCAGGGGGGATGGAGGGGGAGGGAGGGAAGAGCAGAGGATGGGAGGGGGGTCACGACCATGGCTGTTACAGTAGTATTGCTTGCATAACTGGTAGCCGAGTGAAAACAAACGGCAAAAGGTGGTTAATGCCGGGTTAGCCGCACGTATAGAAACATCCAGACCAATAAATGTAGCGCATTTACCTTTGGAACAAATAAATGTGGGAGAATCAACCACGTGGTGCCTTAGGCCGCTGTGCTGTTTGTACGTCCACACAAGCCTCCGGCGTGCCATGGGAATCGGTCAGAAACCAGTAACCAATTCTGAAAGCGGTTGCCGGTTTAGCAGGTTACCATTTTTCAACCATAGCCGCGACTCGGCCAGCACTTGCCAGGAGAGTCGGCTCTCGGGCAGGTGTAGCGAGTTGGTGAATCTCCCTTCCTTAACCGGCAGGCTACACGAGTCCGGTGAGACACGAGAAACGTCATCGCCTCTTTGGCAAGGGTGGCTTGGGTTATATCCAATCCAGAGCTAACAATAATACAAACAAATGTTTGAATAAGGTTACTTGAGTGAGAGGGTTACCTGCCTGCTGGGTGGGCGGGGGTGTTGTGTGTGTCTGCCAGGTAAGGGTGTCACCTGGCTGATAGGTGAGCTGACAAACAAGTGGAGGGCTCAACTGGCTGAAAGGTGATTGGACAGGTTAGCTCTGACAGGTGAGTGGAGAGGTGAGCTGAAAGGCGAGTGGACAGGTGAGCGGACGGGTGAGGGGAGGGCTCACTGGGCTGCTGGGCGGCGAAGTCGTGGAGCCACTCGACGAGAGCGAGCTTGAGCGCCGTGCGGGGGCTGTAGAGGACGTCGGTCTCCAGCTCCTCGTCGCTGCCCTCGTTCTCCAGCTTGATCTGCACCGACACCGTGCTGTCCTCGCTGCCTGCTACACACACACACGCGCACAAAGACACCACGTGTAACCCACGCAGGATGTTGGGCCAAGTCCTGTCAAATAAACATTTTTACGTGTTTAAGTTCCCTTTGGAGAGCGTTGAGATCAGACGCGAGGCGTAGGCCTCTTATCGTGTGAAGTGCTCCGAGACGGCGTGAAGGAGGGCAGCTTTCTCGCACAAATCACGGTCGTTAAATTGGAGTTTGTCGATTCGAATGAGCCAGCAGCAATTCTGATGTAACTTGGGAGGCAGCGAGCAGCCCAACTGAAGCTCCCTGGCACTTCCTAATATGAGGCAACTTCTCAGATCCACCACAAGTTCAGGATCGACTGATTCTTGGCACGTCAACTAGGAGTGTAAGAGGTCAGCAATTCCTGTAAATATGAAGGCATGAGATGCCGAACAGCTCCATAAGCAGCGATTAGAATTATTTTAAATCAATGCAGAATTTTGCAGGAACGTAGCCAGTAGCGCGATTTCATCACCTTAGATATCATAATCAGAATCTTTATTTATACTGGAGGAATCAAACGAGCGAGGTCTTTTGCACAGATGTCCAGTCGGGGCAGGTCAGAACATTACAACAATACAAATTAATAACAGGGGTGGCAAAGTATATAATGGGGAGCAAGATAGCACTCTGGCTGCAGTGTGTGCGCACCACCACAACAACCGTCACTTCCGACTAGCACGGTTGGCTACGTACGGTGCGAAAGAAGTTCAACATGCGTACAACCGTCACAACCGCAACAACAACCACAACGCCAACCGCCAAAACTGACCCATGACGGCATCCTTGCGCACGCCGTGCATGTTCGAATGGTACCACGTGGCAAGCGTGTGCACCGCCACGAAGTTGGCCTCGAACTCGCAGTTGGGGTTGGTGAGAAGGCCGTTGAGCCGGGGGATGAGCTCCGAGGAGCGACCCTTGAAGGGCCCCAGGAAGAGGCGCTTCTGGTCGTAGTCGTTGGCGTGGATGTTGTCCCAGATGACGGGTCGGCGCTTCAGCACCTTGGACACTTCCTCCACCGACTCCAGGGAGATGTCCTTGGACACCACCTTGGGTCCTGCGGTGGCGACACGTGAGTAAGAGGCGCACATCTGAACCGGTGTAAATTACATATTACTATGGTGGGGACCGGTCCATCCATCTGGTTTCCCTATTCACCTCAAAAGGATTATGGACGTTAGTGGGATCAATAATACTAAACCACAAGGATCAGCCAATCTAAATCTCAACCAGTACGTTGTTAATTTACTTTTGTTTTATTTCTGTGATTGTCCTTGTTAACCCAGGAAAGCCTCACTGAGTCTCAAAACATTTTTTTCAGGAGGGTCCTGCTAAGTTCTTGCAGTAGGGGATAACGGTGGAATGTAATGACAACTGAGAATTTTTTAATAGGTAATTATTCAGCATTGCGATGTTTGGTACAGTACTTTAACAGTTGCACTGTATGATTATTCTAGCCACGCCAGGAAACTGGAGAACCTGGAGAAAACCAACGGAGAAGAGGGGTGAACAGACAAACTCCAGGTGGAAAGGCACCCCCGAAAGAGTCGGCAATCGAACCCAGGCCCTTCTTGCCGTGAGGCCCAAGTGTTACCGCTGCACCACCGCCACCCTGCCACCAATGAAGCCCTCCGTTTAAAACCGTGTGCGAGGGTCTCGGGCGCGTACGCACCTGTCCACAGGACGTCGATGTTGGGTAGCAGCTTCTCGCCCACCGTCTGCAGGTACGGAGACTGCGCGGGATTGGGGTAGCACAGGGAGCCGCAGTATTCTGCACGCCCCACCAAGACAAAGAGCCACTCGCTATCAACAGGGAGGGCAGGAGGACGCGTGGCTCGGGTCAGACACACCGAGAGCCTGGGTTCAAATTTGGGTTCCAGCCACCCGTCGTGTGCGACATCGTGAGATGACGTCACGCGTGACAACGTCAAGGGGGAAGCAAGGCGCGCCCATGGCATATGACGTGTTCGCCTTGGCTAAAAGGACTCATGCATTAAGCGCAGTTTTTTTTGTTTTCAGTTACCTTTTCATCAAATTGGTCTGTTTTCTCTCGGTTAAAGTCCTTAAAAGCAACACAACTAACCACAAAATTTAATTGATATTGAACAATCTTTACGAGAGGTATTGCGACTACCCCGCCCCCCGCTACACACGGCAGACGGCTGGGGCTGGAATCACGCCAAGGCGGGAGCGAGGGGCGGGCGCACGCACTCACCCGTCGGGCAAAACATGAAGGAGGCGGGCTCGCCGAGGTGCTGGTAGACCTCGTTAGTGACGGACACCTGCGCGTAGGCAAACGAGGTGAACACCTCCTTGTCGGCAGGGCACATGTTCTGGTCGATGTCATCGAAGAGAAGGGCAAATCCACGGCAGCCAAACTGAGAGACCTACGTGGAGGGGGAGGGGCAAGAGAAATACGGGGGGAGGGGGGGATGAATGAGAATGTCCCGTCTCATGGTTCAATGATGATTCTTAAGCCTGCAATACACGAACCCAATCGCACACGTGATAATTGATATTTTTATATGGATACAAATGATATGCAAATAATAAACTAAACAATTTTAAACGAGTAAACGTTTTTTTATTTTACCAGGTAAGGCCTACTAATGACGCTGGATGTTGGGCATCAAAGGGCAGTGAAGCAATACCCATGCTTCCAGGCACATGTCCCCCCCAGTCTTCACCGACCCACGTGGGCCAACGTGGAGAAGTACGGCAAAATAACCCCCGACCCCACGACCCGCGCGACCGTAGGGAGATCCTTGTCCAGCAACGTGCTGACAAAAGGGGCCACACGTGGACATGAACAGTGAACAATTAATTGGGCACACGAGACGGTACGAGCGCACCTGCTCCAGCTTGCGCTTGAGTGTCACCACCTCCTTGGGGTTGGAGAAGGACATGTCGAGGCCCGGCGAGATGGCGTACACAAACTCCACGTCGTGCTCGCGCGCTGCCGCGATCAGAGACATCAGCTGATCTGTGAGAGGGGAGGGGGGGGGGGTCGCACGACCCGACCTCCGTTAGCCACTCATGGCTCACACCACCGGCGGCGCAAAAGAACCAGCGAAAACTAGCCAGCCTCTATGGAGAACCGCACAAGAGCCCTGCACGAGACTCGCTCTGTGGACTTCTCCGATGTACTTTCGGGTTGTACGATGTCCGACGTTTCGTTAAATGTGCTGGGAGCTCCTTAAGGAACTGAATGGAGCAGGTCACTTCAGTCGATTACATGAGGAGTTTCCAGCTGCTGCTGGTGTTCCCAGTTGTTGACGCCGATTGGCTCAGCTCTGAGAAATGTATTCAGGTTCCTGAAAACGCCTCTCAGCACGTGGAGTGAAATGTCAGATATCGTGACAGTGTAGAGAAGAGTAGGGTGAAATAAGAGGGGAGAGGCATGACAGTGTGTGGAGTGGAGTGGAGTGCAACGAGAGGGGAGAGGTAGGAGAGCGCATTGAGGGTTGTTGCAGGAGGTTCATCTGGGCATTTTAATATACGCATATCTAACCAACACCATACTGCCAAATAAAAACAACTGCAATGTAATCCTCCTTTATTTATCTAGGACACCCTTTGATCTCAAATCCATTTTTCAACAGGGTCCCGAATTTGGATGCCGGACAAATTCCTTTTGTAAGTAATTTAAACGATTAAACCTCAGCTCTCCGGATGTCCACGTGCCCAGACCCCGCCCCATACCAATCATCTCTCCACCTGAACACACGCGCAAGCGTTAAGGACGAACCGCGGTCACGAGGAACAAGCGACCATTTCCAAACACCACAGCACCCGCCGGCAGCCGAGAGTCTCGGTGACTCTGACACCATAGCTGCCGCGGCCGCCACCACAACACCTACCGGCCTCCTCCACGGAGTACATCTCGCGCCAGAACATGCGGTGCTTGCTGTCATCCTTGGGCGCGTACATGTAGGTGTTGAGGCCCCAGCGCTGCATCCTGCCGGACGAAAGCACATCCGCTATGATGAGATGCGCCGCTCACTTGCCCTCAAAATAACGTGGGTGGAAATACCGTGTCCCGCGTGTAACGGGTGTCATCTTTGGGAGAGGCCTAAAATCTTTAAAATATTGGAAATCTTTTCAAAATCGCACTCATTAAGCTCAACATTTTACAAGGGTGCAAAGCGTTGCTGCCTTGTGATTATCTGCATCTCCATGGTGCGTTTCCATTCTCTCTCCATGCTGGAGGGGGCAGTCCCAGTTTAGTTCTGTACTGTAACTACTGTAGCATTGGATTGTACGTTCCAATGGCACCACAACAGGCAACCAAACACCGGCAATCAATGCAAACCAAGGATCCAGAAACCAGGCACCAGCAAGTAAACACGAGCGATGTATACAAGAGAACAGGAAACTGAGCACCAGCAACTAGCAACGAATCACCAGCAACTAAGCATCAACAAAAATGCAAATAACAGCATCAGTAATCTATGCAACCAGGAATTAGAAACCAGCAAAAAAAACAATTAGCACCTCAGCATCAGCAACCGAGCACCAGCATTCGAAGCAACCAGCAACTGACAACCAGACACCAGCAGCCAAGCGCTGGCAATGAATGCAGTGAGGCAATGTGCTCGGGGTGGCTCGGATGAGTGCATGGCGCCACGTTCCTCACCGCTTGAAGAGGTTCTTCCTCTGCTCCATGGTCCATGGTCTCCCGTAGAATCCTGATAGGGGAGACAGAGAGAAGGGGACCCCAGCCAGGGAGCCCAGAGGAGGGGTTCGTGAGAGGTTGCTCGCTACTTAGGGAAGAGGCAGGGGTCTGGAATGCTGCACCCCTGAAGTCGGTTCATCATGATGATGATGACGTGCTATGGAGGAACAGAGACAATGTGATGATGCGCGGTTTTGATATTTGGTACAGAGCTTCGGAAGATGTGGAATGAATGTATATGCCAGTAATTAATGATTGCTGGCTAATTGTCACAAAGGACTTACATTTGTAGGGTTATGATTGCAATTGTTGTCACCGCATTATTGTTTTTCATGTTAGTATTAAAAAATAAATGTATTCTCCTCCAACAAGCTGACACAAATTACTTGGTGCTGCTGCTGCGTTGGTAGTGATGCACAAACACAACGAACACGAAACTCCACACATTCATCAGTTGCAGTAATAATGACGATGCCTTAAAAAGAACCCACATGTGCTCAGGTCATTGCCCGAAGCGCCGCCGAATATACACATCTCCTTTTGCGTTAACACGAGAGGCGGTTATTGTGAGTGCAAGTTCACGTCCACAACAACGAAAACATCGACAGGGAAGAACAACAGCATCGACAACAAGAACCACAAAAACAGAACAAATACAGGAACAAACAACTACAAGTACTTTAACAACATCAACAGCCATGCCATGAGCATCAACAATAAACACAATCACAACAACTATGGCAACACAATTATCCACAAAGTCAAAAACATGAAATTAAAAAAAAGTGTCAGCACCCAAATCAACAACCACAGAATCCACAGCAACAACAACTCGCCATTCAACAACGGCGCCACCAAAGACCGTGATTGCATTCACAACGCAATCAACACTGTAACGACGGCTTTACAATTCATAGTTTGACCCAAACAAGAAAAACAAGCACTATAGATTTAAAAACCACCACTAAATAAATAAATTATATTGCGAACAAAAGCAGCAACTACGACACCGCTGAGGCCTTGCCACAGCGGCGCTCGGCTAGTTGCCACGCCAAGACCGACGTGGGGGGAGCCCGCAGGCAGGGAAAGGCCGAAGGGGGTTTCGGCCAGGCGAGATATCAAGATACAATGCAAATATATAAACCGTAAACCCCAGCTAGGTTGATGCAGCGTGCAGTGTGTAAAGTTCGTGCGTTTATTGTTGTGCATTTCGCGTGTTATTGACGCAATGTAATAAGCAGCGGTTCGTCAGTCCTCGGAGTGCAGGCGTTGGAGAACCACACAAGACTCTGGGGCATTTGTTCAGTCTCTCGACTTGAGGTTAAGCGATCTCTTTAGAGTCATCACGAACAACATCATCCTCATCATCCTCACTCCCACCGCCATCATCACGATCGACATCACCATTATTGCCACCACCACCACATGACAGTCATATATAAGTGCTTCTGCTGCCAGCACCAAACAACTCACCACATTCGGTCTTAAAAGAACATTAAATATATTAAATATAATCGGCGACGCTTCGGGCAATGGCCCTTCTACACATCACATCCCCACAAAACAATGTATCACTACCATCATCACGACCGTCACCGCTTTCATCACCCTTAGAATGAGCATCATCATCATTATAACTCCATTCAACGTTTCATCATTGGCAGCAGCATCACCCACATCATCACTATCATAACAATTATCATCACTACGTTCATCAGAACGTACTCATCAGCACAATCATCATCGCCACCATCACCATCCTCCGCCTGCTCGGAGCAGATACATCAGATACCGCTTTTGTCGTAATTACACAGCGGGTTTCTCTCAACGCCACAGTAATGTGGAATTTTCAACACAATCCCATGACTTTTCGATCGGCCCTTCCCGAGTGGTGGCTCTAAATCACTGCACAGTGATTGATTATATTTTTCTCAGGCAATTAAGGCGATATTCATGTTCAGCGGAACACTTCCCAGAGATAATGAACATCGGCACGGAGATGGGTCGATCAATTCCGCTCGTTTCGCAGACGCCAGATGGATGTTGCCACCGCCAGGGGATGGCGACAGCTTGTTAGGGCCTTCATCTAGCAGTGGATCGGCCACGACTAGCGACGACTAACGACGACTATTGCCAATGCATCAATCGTGGGCGATAACGACGCGGATCGAACTAACGGCTACCGATGAACGAAGCTGACGGATGAATCGAGTTTCGGTGTTAACCGCGCCGATCGGTGCAGCAGTGGACAGAGCACGCCGTGTGTGTGTGCGCCTACCCTCCACCACCCCGCACGAGAATTTCCTCTTGGAGCCGCCGCCGACGCCGCCGCCGTGCGCCGCTCCTCCCTGCGCCATGGGGGGCCCGTGCGCCTCGTGGGGGGGGTCCCCCTCCTGCTGCACCATCTCCGCGCCGCCGGCCTGGGACGCGAGCTCCGAGTGTGGGGCTCCGAGTGGGGGGCTCCGAGTGGGGGGGGGGGGCGCCGCGGGGATTCCGAGCGAGCGATGTGGAGCGGGCGCGCGCGGACTCACTCGCGATTCCCTTTCCTCGCGATCCACGCGGTCCCGTCGATTCCCGGCCTAATTGATCGTCGATTAGGGTCGCCGATTCGTAATTGCGTTGGTAAATCGGTTAAGTTTGTCGAGAACGGTCGCTTAATCGATTTCTTGCGATTAACGGGGTTTTTAAAGGTCGTCCATAGAGTAATAAGATTGCTCGATTCGCACTTGTAGAGGATCCAGGACTCAATTGTAGTAATCGATCACCATACGTAGCGATTAATAGCCAAATCGATTCCTATTTTTGCAAAGCGTACAGTTGGTCAATCAATGAGAGCGGAGCGAGTCAATAGCGGAGGAGGCTGATTGATCTGCATCGCTTCCTTCCCATTCTTCCAATCGTCGGTTCCAAGGGGCGCAGCGCAAGTCCGCACGACCCTTTACCGATTGCTCGATTCGCCTGCACACTCGGGGCCGGATCGCTGACTCGGCTTGGCGTCGGTCGTTGTCTCCTTCCTCCGAGTGCAATGGAGCACGGCAGACAAAGGTTCCCCAGGTAGCCTTCACCGGACTGCTGGGGCAACTGGGGCAAGTGCAGCTACCGAGTTGCAACCTATGAAGGGCGGAGCGATGCCAGCCCCACGCCCGGCTGCGTTCGTCTCCCCGGTGCTGATGTTTACCACACCGCCGCACCGGGTAACACGCGTTTGAGGCTGAGTCGACCTAGGGGAGGCCCGCGACTGGTTCAGATATTCGTCGCTGCCGTCGAGCTGGGATCGGGGATCGAGCTGGGATCGGCGGGTTCGTAGCGCAGCGCGCTAACCACTGCGCCACCGCTCCTCGCCGGCACCGCTCTGCACGCAGCCACACCGCGGCTCTGGGGGTGGTGGACGCCGCTCCGCACGTGTCCGAGTGGGGACTCGGACACAGCTGCGAAACGTCGGCGTCTCCTCACCACTGACGGCGTCTGGAGATCTTCATCCAGCAGTGCATAGAGCATGACGATGTTGATTACTCAAATTAAGTCAATGTCAGCGACTTTTCCATGCCATTGGAATGTGGAATTTCCACCACTGGCTCACGACCGGATCGAGGCACTTTGAGAGGATCACAGTTTATGGGAAATTCGACAAAAATACCCTCTAGAGGGGCTCTCTCTCCAGCAGGGGCGTTAGTGGGCGGTTGCAGGGCATCGCCTTTACCTTGGCAATGGTGTGGAACGGTGGCGTGGTGGCTAACGCGCATCCTGGGGGGGCCCTGCCCGCACGTTCACAGGGATGCCGCTGGAGCTACGCACTTTTAATATTAAAACTCATTTATTTAAATCAATTTTTTGTGTTTAGTTTGTTATCCTTCCCCCGCACCTCCGATTAGCACGGTTGGCTACGTACGGTGCGAAAGAAGTTCGACCTGTACATAGGTATGATGAAAACAACACCCATGAACGCGACACGGCGCGAGCAGGCCTTCGTCCAGCAGTGGAATGACAAGAGGCTAAACATTTACAAAATGTTACAACATATATTTGTTTATACTCTTTCATCTTCTTTGGTTCTTTCGGTAAAGTCACGTAGAATGAGAATAAAATAATAAATTGATAAAATAAAATAACACAATAATATTCTCACGACAGCGCTGTCCTACCAGACAGTCTCGTCCCTTCACCTGATGAAGGCCGCTTGTGTTGTGGCCGAAACGTCGTCCTACCAGACAGTCTCGTCCCTTCACCTGATGAAGGCCGCTTGTGTTGTGGCCGAAACGTCGTGAGAATATTATTGTGTTATTTTATTTTATCAATTTATTATTTTATTCTCATTCTACGTGACTTTACCGAAAGAACCAAAGAAGATGAATCATTGCAGTCACGAAAGCTTTAAATCGAAATTTATACTCTTTCAGTTTATTTATTTTGGTATAGCCCTGTGAGCCATTCGGCTCCTGAATCCGATGCAACCACAACAAACCAAAAAACAAAAAACACGAACAAGACGGTCGCTTGTGTTGCGATCTATAAATCTTCTACCTACGTGATGAATTTACCGAAAGAACCAAAGAGTATGGATTAGTGCAGTCACGAAAGCTTCAAAGCACTGCCACCCGCAGTGCGCCCCGCCAAGTCAGATGCCGGGAGCTCAGCAGGGCATTGCAACACCACCACCACCACCACACGTTGTACCATACTCAGATGTTCGCCCACATCTCTTGCGGTTCCTTCACAGCCATCTTCATTTAAACGAACCATCATCATCATCATCACACACTGGTCAATAACTCCCTTGTCATATTTGCAGTTCACGTGCTCTCTCCGTAGTCGCGTGGATTTTTCTCCGGGTCCTCCGGAGTTTACCTCCACATTGAGAATAAACAACATCGTCACGCGTTTAGAGTGTTTGGCTGATGTCAATTTCCACACGATGGTAAGCCACCTCGTTGGTCTGACATTTGTGGCCAGATCGCTTCTGAAAAAGAGCTATACAGCTCAGTGGGCATTACCTGGTCAAATAAACATAGCTTAGTTTTAACTCCAGTGCAGTAAGTGCCACCCTGGAGGGGATATACCCTGGAGAGGGGTCCTATATAGAAGGGGACCCCATAGAAGGGGACCCCTACAGCGAGGACCATGGAGAAGGGGATGTTGAAGAGGGGAGACCCCCTAGAGGGGAGACCCCCTAGAGAGGGGGGGGGAGACCCCCTAGAGGGGGGGGAGACCCCCTAGAGGGGGGGAGACCCCCTAGAGGGGGGGGAGACCCCCTAGAGGGGGGGGGGGAGACCCCCTAGAGGGGGGGGGAGACCCCCTAGAGGGGAGACGTTGGACCGGGAGGGGGATGCAGCGAGCCCGCAGTGGTGGAGAGAATCACCCGCGCTTATCCGCTTTAGGAAATGTGAGGTGCATAACCCGCCTGGTCTTTCTCGTTATGCGGGGCGGCGATGTAGATTTCCCAGCCGGGATAAGCGAACCCGTCGCGAGGGCCCCCTAGCGGCCAGGCCGGGTCCCCTCGCACGTGTGCGGCGGTCGGCGGAGTCCAGCACCAGCGGCGGTAGCAGCAGCAACAACCCCATGTGCGTGGGCAGCAGAGGGCTGCCCTTCCCCTGCCCTTGCTACTGCCGGCCATGGGGGTCTTTCCAAGGGGGCAGAGACCCCGGCGAGGGGGTATCGAAGGGACCTGGTTGGCCGCGCTCCTCGCCCTGGCGCTGTGCGACTCCCTGTGGCCGGGGCTCGCCCGCTGTGAGGTGAGGAAAGGGGATCCGGGAGAGGGGATGTAGTCGAAATGATTCCATAGAGGGGACCTAGAGAGGGGATCTTGTACATAGGACCCTATAGAGGGGATCCTAGAGAGGGGATAGTGTAGAGAGGGCCCCGTCAAAGGGACTATCGAGGGGAACGGAGAGGACATCTCTCGAGAGGGGGGTCCCTCGAGAGGAGGGGGGGGGGGTCGCAAGATCATCGTAGAGAAGGTAACCCCGGGAGGGGATCCCACAGAGGGGACCTTAGAGAGAGGATACGAGGGGGTGTAACCTAGGGAAGGGATCCTCTAGAAGGGTCCCTAGAGAGGGAATCCTAGGGAGGGGGTCCCACAGAGGGGACCCGAGAGAGGGGATACTACAGATGGGATCCTAGGTCAGGGTAACGTCGAGGGATCCCTATAGAGGGGAGCCGAAAGACGGGATATTGAAAAGAGAACCCCTTTTAGGGAACCATAGAGGACCCTGCAGAGGGGATCCTAGAGAGGGTGACAAGGATCCTACAGAAAGGACCCCATAGAGGGGACCCTACAAAGGGGAGACCCCACAAAGGGGAGACCCCATATAGGAGACCCATCCCGGATTGCTGATGTTAACGCAACAGCAGCACCGCTGACAATTCGTATACAGTACAGTGCTACTGTACATCCCACAGACTAAAGCCCTAACCCTAATCCTAGACCTGGCCCTACACCTTAACCCTAGCCCCCAACCCAACTCAAACCTCAACCCTAGCCCCAACCCACACCTTGACCCTAGCCCCCGACCCACACCTTAACCCTAGCCCCAACCCACACCTTGACCCTAGCCCCAACCCACACCTTAACCCTAGCCCCAACCCACACCTTAACCCTAGCCCCCAACCCACACCTTAACCCTAGCCCCAACCCACACCTTGACCCTAGCCCCAACCCACACCTTGACCCTAGCCCCAACCCACACCTTAACCCTAGCCCTAACCTACACCTTGACCCTAGCCCCCAACCCACACCTTAACCCTAGCCCCCAACCCACACCTTGACCCTAGCCTCAACCCACCCCTTGACCCTAGCCCCAACCCACACCTTAACCCCAACCTACACCTTAACCCTAGCCCCAACCTACACCTTAACCCTAGCCCCAACCCACACCTTAACCCTAGCCCCAACCTACACCTTAACCCTAGCCCCCAACCCATACCTTAACCCTAGCCCCCAACCTACACCTTAACCCTAGCCCCAACCTACACCTTAACCCTAGCCCCAACCTACACCTTAACCTTAGCCCCCAACCCAACTCAAACCTTAACCCTAGCCCCAACCAACACCTTAACCCTAGCTCCAACCTACACCTTAACCCTAGCCCCAACCAACACCTTAACCCTAGCCCCAACCTACACCTTAACCCTAGCCCCCAACCCACACCTTAACCCTAGCCCCAACCAACACCTTAACCCTAGCCCCAACCAACACCGTAACCCTAGCCCCAACTTACACCTTAACCCTAGCCCCAAATCAAACCTTAACCCTAGCCCCAACCCACACCTTAACCCTAGCCCCAACCAACACCTTAACCCTAGCCCCAACCCACACCTTAACCCTAGCCCCAACCTACACCTTAACCCTAGCCCCAACCCACACCTTAACCCTAGCCCCAACCAACACCTTAACCCTAGCCCCAACCCACACCTTAACCCTAGCCCCAACCCACACCTTAACCCTAGCCCCAACCCACACCTTAACCCTAGCCCCAACCCACCCCTTAATCCTAGCCCCAACCTACACCTTAACCCTAGCCCCCAACCCACACCTTAACCCTAGCCCCAACCTACACCTTAACCCTAGCCCTAACCAACACCTTAACCCTAGCCCCAACCTACACCTTAACCCTAGCCCCCAACCCACACCTTAACCCTAGCCCCAACCTACACCTTAACCCTAGCCCTAACCAACACCTTAACCCTAGCCCCAACCCACACCTTAACCCTAGCCCCCAACCCACACCTTGACCCTAGCCCCAACCCACACCTTAACCCTAGCCCCAACCAACACCTTAACCCTCGCCCCAACCCACACCTTAACCCTAGCCCCAACCTACACCTTAACCCTAGCCCCAACCCACACCTTAACCCTAGCCCCCAACCCACACCTTGACCCTAGCCCCCAACCCACACCTTAACCCTAGCCCCAACCTACACCTTAACCCTAGCCCCAACCCACACCTTAACCCTAGCCCCAACCCACACCTTGACCCTAACTGTTAACCCTGACCTTGACCCTCAATGCTAACCCTGTGACCTTCACTGCTGATCAACAACCCGAGCTCTAGCCCCCACCCTCCGACTCCGACAAGGAGACCCAACCCTGCCACGAGCCCACGCCCTGGCAGGGTTGACCCCAATACCCTCACGCTCTCCCTGCACCCACGACCTGCTCCCACCCCTTGCACCCACCGCCTGCACCCACCCTCTACACCCACCCTCTGCATCCACCCCCTGCTCCCTCGCCGCCCTCCCATCCCCTGCTCCCACCCCGCCCTCCCATCCCCTGCTCCCACCCTCTGCTCCCACCGTCTCCACCCACCCCGTGCACCCCGCAGGCCAGGGACGTGTGTCTGGGTCTCAACGAGCAGCAGTACTACTGTGATAGTGGCCACTGCTGCGGAGACAACGGCTGCTGCACCTACTACTACGAGCTGTGGTGTGAGTACCTACTACTACTACGAGCTGTGGTGTGAGTACCTACTACTACTACGAGCTGTGGTGTGAGTACCTACTACTACTACGAGCTGTGGTGTGAGTACCTACTACTACGAGCTGTGGTGTGAGTACCTACTACTACGAGCTGTGGTGTGAGTACCTACTACTACGAGCTGTGGTGTGAGTACCTACTACTACTACTGAGCTGTGGTGTGAGTACCTACTACTACGAGCTGTGGTGTGAGTACCTACTACTACTACGAGCTGTGGTGTGAGTACCTACTACTACGAGCTGTGGTGTGAGTACCTACTACTACTACGAGCTGTGGTGTGAGTACCTACTACTACTACGAGCTGTGGTGTGAGTACCTACTACTACGAGCTGTGGTGTGAGTACCTACTACTACGAGCTGTGGTGTGAGTACCTACTACTACGAGCTGTGGTGTGAGTACCTACTACTACTACGAGCTGTGGTGTGAGTACCTACTACTACGAGCTGTGGTGTGAGTACCTACTACTACTACGAGCTGTGGTGTGAGTACCTACTACTACTACGAGCTGTGGTGTGAGTACCTACTACTACGAGCTGTGGTGTGAGTACCTACTACTACTACGAGCTGTGGTGTGAGTACCTACTACTACGAGCTGTGGTGTGAGTACCTACTACTACTACTACGAGCTGTGGTGTGAGTACCTACTACTACGAGCTGTGGTGTGAGTACCTACTACTACTACGAGCTGTGGTGTGAGTACCTACTACTACTACGAGCTGTGGTGTGAGTACCTACTACTACGAGCTGTGGTGTGAGTACCTACTACTACTACGAGCTGTGGTGTGAGTACCTACTACTACGAGCTGTGGTGTGAGTACCTACTACTACTACTACGAGCTGTGGTGTGAGTACCTACTACTACTACGAGCTGTGGTGAGTACCTACTACTACTACGAGCTGTGGTGTGAGTACCTACTACTACGAGCTGCGTTGTGAGTACCTACTACTACTACGAGCTGTGGTGTGAGTACCTACTACTACTGAGCTGTGGTGTGAATACCTACTACTACTGAGCTGCGTTGTGATTACCTAATACTACTACGAGCTGTGGTATGAGTACCTACTACTACTACTGAGCTGTGGTGTGAGTACCTACTACTACTACTCAGCTGCGTTGTGAGTACCTACTACTACTGAGCTGCGTTGTGAGTACCTACTACTACGAGCTGTGGTATGAGTACCTACTACTACTGAGCTGCGTTGTACCTACTACCACTACTACTGAGCTGCGTTGTGAGTACCTACTACTACTACGAGCTGTGGTGTGAGTACCTACTACTACTGAGCTGTGGTGTGAGTACCTACTACTACTGAGCTGCGTTGTGAGTACCTACTACTACTGAGCTGCGTTGTGAGTACCTACTACTACTGAGCTGTGGTGTGAGTACCTACTACTACTGAGCTGTGGTGTGAGTACCTACTACTACTGAGCTGCGTTGTGAGTACCTACTACTACTGAGCTGTGGTGTGAGTACCTACTACTACTACTGAGCTGTGGTGTGAGTACCTACTACTACTACTGAGCTGTGGTGTGAGTACCTACTACTACTACTGAGCTGCGTTGTGGGTACCTACTACTACTGAGCTGTGGTGTGAGTACCTACTACTACTACTGAGCTGCGTTGTGAGTACCTACTACTACTGAGCTGTGGTGTGAGTACCTACTACTACTACTGAGCTGCGTTGTGAGTACCTACTACTACTGAGCTGCGTTGTGAGTACCTACTACTACTACTGAGCTGCGTTGTGAGTACCTACTACTACTACGAGCTGTGGTGTGAGTACCTACTACTACGAGCTGTGGTGTGAGTACCTACTACTACGAGCTGTGGTGTGAGTACCTACTACTACTACGAGCTGTGGTGTGAGTACCTGCTACTACTACTACGAGCTGTGGTGTGAGTACCTACTACTACTACGAGCTGTGGTGTGAGTACCTACTACTACTACAAGCTGTGGTGTGAGTACCTACTACTACTACTGAGCTGCGTTGTGAGTACCTACTACTACTGAGCTGCGTTGTGAGTACCTACTACTACTTAGCTGCGTTGTACCTACTACTACTACTGAGCTGTGGTGTGAGTACCTACTACTACTACTGAGCTGCGTTGTGAGTACCTACTACTACTGAGCTGCGTTGTGAGTAACTACTACTACTGAGCTGCGTTGTGAGTACCTACTACTACTACTACGAGCTGTGGTGTGAGTACCTACTACTACGAGCTGTGGTGTGAGTACCTACTACTACGAGCTGTGGTGTGAGTACCTACTACTACTACGAGCTGTGGTGTGAGTACCTGCTACTACTACGAGCTGTGGTGTGAGTACCTACTACTACTACGAGCTGTGGTGTGAGTACCTACTATTACTACAAGCTGTGGTGTGAGTACCTACTACTACTACTGAGCTGCGTTGTGAGTACCTACCACTACTGAGCTGCGTTGTGAGTACCTACTACTACTGAGCTGCGTTGTACCTACTACTACTACTGAGCTGCGTTGTGAGTACCTACTACTACTACTACTGAGCTGCGTTGTGAGTACCTACTACTACTACTGAGCTGCGTTGTGAGTACCTACTACTACTGAGCTGCGTTGTAAGTACCTACTACTACTGAGCTGCGTAGTGAGTACCTACTACTACTGAGCTGCGTTGTACCTACTACTACTACGAGCTTACACAGGGAACCCTAGAGGGGATGTTATAGAAAGGATCCTCTAGAGCAGACCCTAGAGAGAGTGTTGAGAGAATACCCGAGAGAGGAGACCATAGAGAATATGCATTGCATGTGAAAATAATAATTGTGTACAATGCAGAATAGATTTTTGAGATAATTAGAAAACAGATTCAGCAGTGGTCGGATAACACGATGTCTCGCTTGAGATTGCTTCGAGCGTCTTGAGGGCGAGATCCGGGAAGGCGTTGGGCTCTCTTCACCGCCATGCCCCCAGGGTTCTGGCTGCTGTGGACGCTGGTCGTGGTGCTGAGCTGCTGCTGCGCTTACCGGCACCGGCGCTCGAAGCTGCGCTCGCACCAGCGTGCCAGGCAACGTCGCATCGACATGCTCGCCTACCGGGGGGCCTGCAACTACCCGGGCCCCCCACTCGACATACGTGAGTGGCGCAGAGGAGGGGGCGGGTGGCACGGGCATGGTCACACACAGACACACAGACAAAGATCCCCCGTATAGCCTGAACAAACTGTTGGGCCAAGGGCTGTTAGCGAGTAGCACTTATGAAGGCCGGCACGGAACATGAGGGGGTGGGTGGCCAGCACTACGCCCGGCAGCCTTTGTCTCCAAAGTGGTGATGTCCACTAAACATCGCACCAGGTACTCATTTTAGGCGACACACACGGACACACACAAATGGGGGTACGTGCAAGAATACAACAGCCACCATTCGACACGGTGACGTCACAACGGCACCTGTGCCAGACTAGGTGCACCGTGAGGCTACGCGAAGTGTCAAGGCCCGCTTGTAGGAGGTGACAGAACAGACCCAGGTGCCATGGGTTGACTTAAATGACTGGCAAATGCACCGGCTGTGCTCCCCACTGTGCCAGTAGTGACACAGACACAGGGGCACACGCATGCGTACACATAGGCTCAATCAGAAACGTGCGCACACATGCGCTATCACCCCCACGCATGTCTGCATTTTAACCAGATGAGAGCCTTAAACAGGTTAAGTTATTCGAGAACCCCTCCAGAGGGTATTTGGCCTACTCTTGCATGCTGACCAAGTACGCCTTGGTAGAATAGGCGGGAGTGGTGAATGTTGTTGTTGATGATGTTATTGGGTGACATTGTTGATGTGGTTGTGATGTTGATTATGTTGCTGTTCATGTTGTTGTTGTTGATGTTGTTGTTGATGTTGTTGTTGATGTTGTTGTTGATGTTGTTGATGTTTCATCTGTCCAGGCCTCATGGCCGTATGCAAGCTGCCACCCTACGAGGAGGCCATCCTGACCCAGGCCGACACGTCACCGCCGCCCCCCTACAGCGAACTGGGCCCCCAGCGGGGGGGGGGGCTCGATGTGGGCCCCCCCCGCACGGCCAGCTCCGACTCCAGCCTGGGGGGGGCCATTGTCATACTTCACCATGCAGACAGCTCTCCCGAACCCCACACGGACCCCAGCGACTACCGCCCCTCTGCTTCCCCTCCTCCCGCTCCTCCGCCTCCTTCTCCTCCTTCTACGGCCGCCACCACCGCCACTTGGAGCGCGACCTCCGAGGATGAGGGGGGCTGTCAACCCCCGGTGATGAGGGGTCCAGAAGAGGAGCACGGCGAGCAGGGTGCAGGACAAGGTGCTGGCGGAGAAGTGTGCGGTGTGGAGCCGAGCCGTGATAAGGAAGTAGCAGTGACCCTGACCTCGACCCCGACCCCAGCCTCAACCCCAAACCCGAGCGTGACCCCGAACGTGACCCCGAACGTGACCCCGAACGTGACCCCGAGCGTGACCCAAAGCGTGGCCCCAAGGCCCGGTTCCGGCAAGAAGCGAGCGCGCTTCTGTCCTCGTCTCGACGTCACCGTGGAGATCGCCGATGGAGAGGAGAGCAGGACCACGACACACCAGGAGGAACTGCCTGATAACCATGGCAACGACGATGATCGTGATGACGGAGGAGGGGGAGAGTTTGGGTGTGGCGACGATGATGATGACGATGGTGAAGAAACGGATCATTTTCGTCACCGCCGATTGACCGGAGATTCTGGGATCGACGTGCGACCTCCTGACCCTGTGTGTGACGATGATGATGGTGATGACGAGGTCATGGAGAAGGATGAAGAGGTGGCACTCACGCATGGGAGACTCGCCACAGACCTGGGCGCCAAGGCCCACAATGGGGGGCAGGCGAGCGCCCCCCAAAGCAGCCAGCTGGCGAGGACCCCTTGACAGCCCCCTACCAACGATAAGCCGGTCCTGCGCCAACTCTTGGACTGCAGGGCCCCCCACAAAACCTGATCTGGGCCTCACAATCGGAAGGTTGCGAGTTCAAACCCTGGCTGGAATTCTAATCTGGGGCCCCCCACAACCACCCCACCATCATTATCTCAAAGGGGGTCGGTAAATTTAATAGCGGCACTCGTGCAGTGGCTGTGGTACAGAGGCTCCCATCATATGAATGTGGAATGCGCTGGCTCGAGGCCACTATCCGTTCTCGTGCGGGGGCCGTGCCGCCGCGTGTTGTTTGGCGCGATGTCCGACGTTTCGCTCTGCGTGCCGAATTAATGAGCACTCGCATTCTCCCTAGAGCATTCGCCGTAGTGAGTTCTCGACCCCGATCGCTCTGTCTGGACCACGGAACGTCAACGCTCGGGGCTCCCGAAGCTGCTCCCGGCACGTGGAGCGGAACGTCAGACGACGCGCCCGACAACGCGTAGCGGCACGATCCTTGGAAACGCGGAGAGGAGTGGGGGGTGAACTGCGGGCCGCGGTCACCCACTCCTGCCTCCCGACCCCCCCACACTCGCAGCCCCTCCCTATGAGATGCGGCTGATAAACTCGGCAGCTGGAGATGCGGTCGCCGTGGAAATGAAAAGTGTTCTGTCATTGCATGTTAACGCTTCATAAGGTGTGGTGGGCAAGTATCTCAAGAGGAGGGTGGCCCATAAAAATAGAAGGGACACTATATAACAACAATAACAATAATATTATTACTATAGTCATTTATTTATCTACGCACTTTGATCCTTGGCAATCCAGGAGAGGCTCGCTGTGCATCAGGAGGGTCCTGCCCCTGGGGATGTTGGGCCTCTTCCTCTGTCTGGAGCACACCCCCCCTCCCACGCCCCGTGTCTACGTACGAGGGGGCAACGTTCCCACGGTCCGCACGGATGGGTTCCACGTGCCCACTTGCTATACTGCCATATCGTGGTCACCTTGCCCACGGTTTCCAGTGAGGGTGCCATCCTCTCCCTTTTGGGTTTTTTTTAATGGGTCCCTATTAAAAAATAATTCAGGACGGCCCTCCCCCCGCCCACTCCCCTCTAAAGTTTATAAATCTGCCTCTTCCTGCATCCCACGTTCACATTGTTGTACAACACCACCATCAACTCCTAGGGCCTCCTCCCCTGTGGCCCACTACTTGGGGGGGGGGCCTCGGAACGGCGTGCAGCAGGTAGGGCCGTGGGTGCAGCACCACCCCGCACTCGCCGGCCAGGTCCGGGAGCAGGAGGGCGCCCCCCACCCCGGATCGGGGGGCCTCAAAGCGGAACCTCTGCAGCAGAGCGGCAGACATGAGCAGCAGCTGCAGGCGTGCGAGGGGTTCCCCCAGGCACACGCGGGGCCCCCCCCCGAACGGCAGGAAGGAGGAACCCTCGGGGGCCCCCGCTTGCAGCCGCCCCCCCTCCCAGTGCAGGAAGCGGCCTAGTGGGGAGCGGCGGAGGGCGACATGGGGAGAGGAGAGAGAGGATTAGCAGGGTTTGGGGTTCGGGGGGGGGGGCACTGAAATTTGGGTCACGTGACCCAATGGGAGGGGGCGGCAGTCGAGTTTGGATCACGTGACCCATATTGGGGGGGGGGGGGGAGGTCCTGGGAAATCTTGGTAGGCCACGCGGTCAGTTTATGGCTTCCTCGCGAGGGACATGATTCTGCGTGGGGTTGAGTTGAGAGTTGTGCAGTGACTGGGAGCCCGCCCGCCCGAGAGACATCCCAGGCACACCGATCCGAAGGATGCCCACTCCCGGGTTGCTGGCTCGGTGGCACGTGACGAGTAGCCACGGCGTGAGGTATGCCGGATGTGATGTGCCTTGGTTACACACCCATGGGTGGTGGCGATATAACGATGGCGATGCTGATGGTACAATAAAGCGGTGGATTTATATTTTCACGGTGATACATTGAGGGGGAGGAGGCAGTTGCCACAGCACAGCAACGGTTCGCACGCTGGACATGCGATCCAGAGGTCGCCGGTTGCTCGGCAGCTGAAACAATGGAGCAAGGTTCCTACTGCCTCTGTCTACCCAGCAGCAGCTGTAGACATGGGTTCACCACAGCCGATTGGCCAGGGTGGAGTGAGTGGACCAAAATTATTTATTTGGCTCCGCGCGGGGACTGGGCCGCCGTGCCGGCTGCCCGCCAGGGCCGCGGGCCACTGCATTCCTCACGGAGATCAAACGGCAGAGGGGCACCTGACGGCCCGGGCAATGGGACCGGGAGATAGGAAATGGGAGATGGGAAACTGGACCAGACAATGGGAGATGAGAGACGGAAGACAACAATCGGAGATGGAAGGTAGGAGACGGGAGCAGGAGTGGAACCTGGGTCAAAGCGCTCCGGGTCGGGCCACGCCGTCTCGTCGTGGTGGATGGACCACATGTTCACGAGCACGCGCGTTCCCTTGGCAACCGCGAAATTCCCCACCCTGCGGGGAGTGGGGGTGCACAGAGTAGGGGCAAGGCGAGAGGAGGGGTGAGCAAGACATCGGGTCCCCATGCCCCCCATGTTCCCTGCCCCCCTAATTCCCATTTCCCCCCACACCCCCGCAATTAGCACCGTTGGCTACATACGGTGCGAAAGAAGTTCCAACGCACATACACACGTTGCGTGCCCTCCATCCCTACCCCCTCCATCACGGTCCTGTTTAGGTCGCACTCCTGTGTCCTCCACCCATACACCCTCGTGTCTACATCCCATATTACACGGTGACCCCTATGTGGTGACCCTGTGCCCCCTACGTGGTTTCCCAGTGGCCCCCTGTGACCCACGTGACCCTTTGCCCCATACCTCTTCGCTTGGCCCCTTGCCCACATTTCCTCTCCCCCCGTACCCACATTAATCCCTTGACCTCGTGTCTTCCCACGCTCCCTCCCGCCGTAGCCACCCCCCCCCCCCCCCCCCGTACGAGGTGTCCTCCATGGCCACGTGCGGGATGAGGAGCGGCGCCACGGGCCGCACGCGCTGCGTCTCCAGGATGGTCGCCGCGAGCTGTGGGAGCGCGGTGCGGTCCGAGGCGCGGGGGGCGCGCTCCGTCCCGACCACCACGTCCAGCTCCGCGTGAACTCGCGCCTGCACCTGCTCGGGAGTGCGTGGCACGGGGGGGGGGGGAGCGGTGGGAGCAAACATTTGCACCGGTCTTGGGCCTCCCCGAGGTCGACTCAACCAAATATAAGTACCTGCTGTAAATATCAATGGGGAGACAACAAGTGGGCGGGCGTGGTGCTGGCCACCCAGCCCCCAGTATACGGAGAATATTTGCCTTTGTATACAAATAAGTGTGCGGGTGTGCAGGTGAGTGTGCGTCACGGCACGCGCCTCGGGGTGGTGCACCAGGTAAGCGAGGAGCCATCGCAGTGACGTCACCGTGGTCTCCACGCCGGCACCGAAGACGTCGGCCACGGTCATCATCACGTGGTCGTCGGTGAGGCGGCGCGCGTGCTGCTGCAGGGCGCTCGGCTCGCCGCCTCCTGCACTCTCCCGTGCGCTCTCCCCTGCACTCTCCCCTGCACTCTCCTCGCCGCGCTCCGCCTCGCGCCGCGCTTCCAGCAGCAGCGAGAGCAGCGCGCGCGCTCCGTGCTCGGGTCCCGTGGCCTGGCACGAGCGCGCGCGATGATGAGCACGGTCCACGTGGGCAAGGTGATGATGAAGATGACGGTGATGAAGTTGACGATGGTGAGGAAGTTGATGGTGATGAGAAGTTGATGATGGTGATGAATTTGACGGTGATGATGAATTTGACGGTAATGAAGCTGATGGTGATGAAGTTGACGATGGTGATGAAGTTGACGGTGATGATGAAGTTGACGATGGTGATGAAGTTGACGGTGATGATGAAGTTGACGGTGATGATGAAGTTGACGGTGATGATGAAGTTGATGGTGATGAAGTTGATGATGGTGATGAAGTTGATGGTGATGAGGAAGTTGATGATGGTGATGAAGTTGATGGTGATGAAGTGGACGATGATGAAGTTGATGATGGTGATGAAGTTGACGGTGATGATGAAGTTGACGGTTACGATGAAGTTGACGGTGATGATGAAGTTGACGGTGACGATGAAGTTGACGGTGCTGGTGACGGTGATGATGAAGTTGACGGTGCTGGTGACGGTGCTGGTGACGGTGATGATGGTGATGAAGTTGACGATGGTGATGAAGTTGATGGTGATGAAGTTGACGGTGCTGGTGACGGTGATGATGAAGTTGACGGTGCTGGTGACGGTCACCTTGTGCTCGCTGAGTTTCTGCTGCAGGAAGTTGTCTCGCACGGCCACACACGCGCGCAGTCGTCTCAGGTGCGCGATGGGGAACACCTGAGAGTAGCGCAGCACACAGGCAAGGATTCTCCGGGTAGCCTACACAGGCGAATGGGCCAAGTGCTGTTAGCGAGCGCCTATTAAGGCCGGCACGGCACGCGATGACAATGGTGGTCAACACCACGCCTAATCGCGTTTGACCCCCCAATACCAGAGTCATTATTTGAGGCCGAATCGACTTAGGGGAGGCCCAGGACTGGTTAAAATATTCGGCACTCTCATTGGTCGTGAACGGGAATGCAACTCGGGTCGCCGAGTTCGTAGCGCAGTGCGCGACCCACTGCGCCCTCGCTCCCCACAAACGCACGCGTGCATACACACAGAGGTTCATCACATCCGCACGGTTCACAGCTCTTCCCTCCACACTCCTCCACACTCTCGACCTCTATCTCTCATTACCCCTCCCTTCTCTCTCCGGACCCCCCCCCCCCCTTGCTCTCCCGTCTCCGCTCACCTGGAGCCAGGGGAAGAGGTCCACGGGGTGGTTTCGGGCTGCGGTCTCCACGATACCGCGGTTGAAGCGCAGCACGCGCTCCACCTCGGCCTCGGGGGCCCCGGGGGCCCCGGGGCCCGCGGCGCCGAACACGAGCGCGAGCATCGCGGCCGTGACCGCGCGCGCCACCAACGGCTCCGGGTCCACGGCGCGCGCCCCGCCACGCCCCGCAGCTTCCAGGGAGTCCACGAGGCCCCGCGCCTCCCGGCTCACTGCACCGCAACACACGCGGCCACGCTCTGTCCACTGCGTGACGGCTAGACGCCAGGCAGCCGGGGTACCGCAGCCTGCCCTGCCCCGAGCGAACGCACTGCCCCGCGGGGCTCGACGAAGGGAGCCGCAAGCCGGTGAGCCAGTCGCTTAAGGGAGCCTCCTTGTTAACAGGCTGGCGCTCTAAACCCCCCCCCCTCCCGGGAGCCCTAACACCTACTCTCTTGGCCCATGCATCAGAACAGACGTCGGTACCACCTAAAGTAGCTCACCGTTAGCGGCACACGGGGCCTGGCGCTAATTTTACCGCGCGCCCTGTAATGATCACGCCACGAAACTGGGGATCCACGGAAGCGATACCACCACCCTGCGGTGTTTCCCACACGCGAGGTGCCCGGCCTGGGCTCCTGGACTGTTCACGCCCAGAGGGCGCCCTAACGCACAGAGCGCGTTACGCAGTCGGCACGTGAGAGTTTATTTTTGGTGAGAATTTTGGAAAAACCAGGCGCACGCATGGATTCCGAGGCCGTGTGTGTGGTCCCGTGCCTCCTCCTCTCTTAGTCCGCTGTGTGCCGAGTGGAACTGCGGGCACTGGGACCGCATGGTCCACAGAATCACGGTGCGAATGTTTGCATCGTGAATGTGGGGTGGACGTGGCGAATGTGGTGAGCGTGGGATGGTGAGCGCGGCGTGGTGAGCGCGGCGCCCACCGATGTCGTGGAGGGAGTCCTCCCCGGGCGGCCTGGCCCCGTACAATGCCGAGTGCACCACCTTGCGGTGGAAGCGCCATGCGGGGCTCGCGTCCGCGAAGGCGATGTCGCGTCCCCCGTGACTCACCAGGTCCGTGCTTACCTGCGGCCCGGCACACAACATCGAGACATTGGAGCGGCGGTGATGGATTTAGCGAGGGTAGAGGATGGTAGTGATGGTGGAGTTGGTGACGGTGGTCTGGGAGTTAGTGAGGATGGTGGTATTGGAGGGAGTGGTGGTGGTGGTGGTGGCGAGGATAAATGTTGGTGGTGGTGGTCACATTCGTGACGCCGCCGTTGCCGCTGTCGGCCTCACCATGCGAGCTCGCCCCGCGAACGCGCGGCCCTTGCGCAGCAGCACCTCCCGCGCGGGGCCCAGCGCGCACACCGCCAGCGCGCGGTGCGCTCCCAGGCGCAGCGCGAACACGGGGCCGTGTCTGGGGGGGGGAGGCGGGGCAGAACGCGGGTGAACGCAGAGCCCAGCGCTGCCGACCACCACTTCATTTTCATCCAGCAGGATTTGTTTGAGCAGGCAGTCTGTGAACCGGTTTAGACATTCTGGGTCTCATCAGCAGGGCCAGACTCGTTAAACAAATACTGCCGGTTTACCAGACGTCATTCGCAAGAGCGCCCGACTGAAGACCACAGTGTTGCGATCATTAAATGATGTCAGCTTTCAGGGCCACACAGAGGGGAAGATTTCCCCCGGGGGCCTCTCACAAAGGGCCCCAGAGCGACCTCCCTGTAGACGGTGGGATGAGGAGGCCGACCCCACGCGGCATTCTGCCCGGGCCTCCCCAGGCACCTCTGGGGGGCCCTGGCAGCCTTGGGTGACCGGGGGATCGAACCGAGGTGCGCTGGATCCGTGACTCCTACCGCTTGGCGAGCTCGTGCAGCGCCAGGTGTAGAGCGCCGTGCCCAGCAAGCACGTGCAGGCTGCCCAGCAAGGGCAGGCAGGCTAGGCAGGGCGGCGCCGTAAGGGCAGCAGCACCGGCAGGTCCTGCTGCCCTGTCACTGCCTCCAACTTCGCTGCCCTTCCCGGGGTCAGGGCGAGAGCGGGCGAAGAGGCGGGAAGATGCAACCAGAAGAGACACCACCACCACCACGAGCAGCAGCAGCAGCAGCGGCATCATCGCGGGGTCTCCCACACCCCCCTCTGTAATGGTTACAGACCCACGCGGTGAAGTATGGTCAAACTACGCCCATGACCGACACGGCGTTGGGAGGTTTCCGCTTAAGAGTGGAGAACAAAGCTGAACGTTACTCTTGAAGAGATGATCACGACGACGATGATGAATAAATGATCATCAAAGATTGAGTTCTCATCTCGATGTTGTCTGGGACGCTGGCTGGCTTGGAGTAAGGATTATCGGCGTAAGGCACTAACACTAGCACAAAAGTGAACAATACGCCGATCCATAATGCAAGTAATCCTATAGTACTGTACGCAATATTATACTGTACTCGGCCACGTGCCTCAGTGGCAGAACGAGCGGCTTTCAATCGCAAGGTTGCGAGTTCAAATCCTCGTCAGGGTGGGGGTTCACTCATTCCTATCATCCCTTCTCCGGGGTCGATAAAATAGCCACCATTTGTTCGGAAAGTCAGCAGCGGTTGTCCTATGCATAGACTCCACACCGCGCGTCATAGGAATGTGGAATTTACACCACTGGCTCAGCAAGGCATTTGAAAAGGAAATCACTCTGACTTTGTTACCTATTAAGGCGGGTACGGTACACGAGGAGGTGGGTGGCCAGCACAACGCCCGGCCGCCTTTGTCTTCCCAGTGGAGATGCTGACATCCCACCAGGAACCCATTTGTGGCTGAGTCGACCTAGGGGAGGCCCGGTACTTGTTCAAATATGTGTTGCTCGTGAGTGGGAATAGAATTTGGGTCGTCGGGTTCGTAGTGCAGCGCGCTAATCGCTACACTATCGCTCTCCGCAGTGGTACACACACAAGCACACACACAAGCACACACACAGACACACGTGTATAGTCACAACACACACACAGACACACGTATATAGTCACAACAACACAGACACAACTCAACAGCTCCACTTCACTCACCGCGCCTCCTCTCACCTGGACGCTCCGAATGACCGAGCCAACTTGGGATTGAGTGAGGATGTCGACTCGACACTCCACCCCAACGGGGGCCGCGCTGTGGCGCAAGAGGCCGGCGGTGAGTGAGGAGGGAGCTCCCGGCGCCGGCGATGCCGCAAGTGAGTGATGGTGGTGGTGGTGATGGTGGTGGTGATGCAGCATTGGATTGGGGGGGGGGGGGGGGGTAATTGATAGCACGTGGGGGGGGGGGGGGGCAGTCGCGTCACGGTCACGATTCACACGCGCACGGCGACCCCGCTCGCTGCCACCACTCCCAGCCCCTCACTCGCTCTCGTTGCTGCTGCGCTCTTGGTGTCGTCCGTCTCGTTCCTCGCCTCAGTGTCGCGTTGGCGTGGCGCCAGCTGCAGCCTCGCTCCATCTGCACGGGTGGTCGTCCTCTCGGGCACGTCCCACTCCTTTGGCTGCCATTCCGTCACCAGCCTCGTCCACCGCCGATGATCCCTTCTGCTCGCCACGACGAGTCCAGGCAAAGGCCAATTCACCGTCTCCGTTCTGAATGCCGAGCCTCTTTTCCGTGTGGTCTCCAATCCACGCATCCCTCCTCTTCCCTTCTCCCTTGGTGCTCGTCAGTGCTCCCCTCTGCTCCTCTCTGCGGTTCTCTGCTCCCCTCTGCTCCTCTCTGCGCCTCTCTGCTCCTCTCTGCGCCTCTCTGCTCCTCTCTGCGCTTCTCTGCTCCTCTCTGCGCTTCTCTGCTCCTCTCTGCTCCCCTCTGCTCCTCTCTGCTCCCCTCTGCTCCTCTCTGCGCCTCTCTGCTCCTCTCTGCGCCTCTCTGATCCTCTCTGCTCCCCTCTGCTCCTCTCTGCTCCCCTATGCTCCCCTCTGCTCCTCTCTGCTCTCTGCTCCTCTCTGCGCTTCTCTGCTCCTCTCTGCTCCTCTCTGCGCTTCTCTGCTCACTCACAGTCCGTGTTTCCCATCCATACTTCGCCGATTTACTACAACAACAAACTCCACATATTAATGACCAAAACTCTTGTACCGGTTTCGACCTTCAAGGCCTCATCAGCAGTTAAATGCACACAGACTCAGAATAACGATTCGTACACCCAGAGTTGCTTTTTGTGTGTAGTTTATTGTTGTGTAGTTTGTTGTTGTGTTTTTTGTTGTTGTGTAGTTTCTTGTTGTGTCGTTTGCTGTCCTTTCCTCGCATCTCCGATTAGCACGGTTGACTACGTACGATGCGAAATAAGTTCAACGTACACACAGAGCACACGGGATCTTCGCGTGTTCGAGTTATTGAGAATGTTTGATGACGAAACAACCAAGTCGGACTAAACTCTCGGCGAGAAAAAAGGCTTCACAGAGAAAGAGAGAGCTGAAGGCTGCGGAGTTGTGCTCGAGATGAATGAGCAGCGTGCGGCTCGGGTTACGAACTCGCCGCGTAAGACGTTCGTAAGTCGGGAATCTTCACCGCCACGAGAGAGAAATCGGCGCCTCCGTCACGAATTACAAAACACGTCACCTGAACGATAAGATGGTACAAGGTCTGTGTTTATGTGTATGTGTGTGTGTCTGTCTGTGTGTGTCTGTGTGTGTCTGTGTGTGTGTGTCTGTGTGTCTGTGTGTGTTTGTCTGTGTGTGTCTGTGTGTGTGTCTGTGTGTGTGTCTGTGTGTGTGTCTGTGTGTGTGTCTGTCTGTGTCTATGTGTGTGTCTATGTGTGTGTCTGTGTGTATGTCTGTGTGTGTGTCTGTGTGTGTTTGTCTGTGTGTGTTTCTGTCTGTGTGTGTGTCTGTCTGTGTCTGTCTGTGTGTGTGTCTGTCTGTGTGTGTGTCTGTGTGTGTGTCTGTGTGTGTTTCTGTCTGTGTGTGTCTGTCTGTGTCTGTCTTTGTCTGTCTGTGTGTGTGTCTGTGTGTGTCGTTTTGGGGAGCGGTAGTGCAGCGGTTAGCGCGCTGCGCTACGAACATGGCGACCCGGGTTCGATTCCCGCTCACGGCCAACATCAGTGACGATTATTTGAACCGGTCGTGGGCCTCCCCTAGGTCGACTCAACCTCAAATGAGTACCTGGTGCGGTGTGTAAATATCGCCACTAGGGAGACAAAGGCAGCCAGGCGTGGTGCTGGCCACCCACCCCCTCGTGTGCCGTGCCGGCCTTCATAGGTGCTCGCTAACAGCACTTGCTCCTACAGTCTGTTAAGGCTATACGGGGGATCTTTGTTTTTTATAGTTAGGCGATGTTTCGGACAATGGCCCTAATTGTTCAGCACGCAGAGACTTTATATAATCGATTATCATGAACAAAAAAACATCTTAAAGTGACTATGTCACTGTGCAAACAGAAAATCCAGGAAAAAACAGCAAAATATTCCTGAAAACGCACCGTACACCAACGCTGTGTGCAAAAATCCCAGTGGGATGCAAGTCAAACAACAACAACAACAACAACCACAAGAAAACTTAGATTAAGGCCATCAGTCTAACTCCGTACTACAATAAACAAAAAACATGGCCAAACCAAAAAACTTTTCGAAATCACCAAAATAAAGCCATAAATGCAACTTAACAGTGATCATTGGGACTGTGACCGAATTTTTTACAACAAACTACATAAATAACATGTAACACCATGAGTCACTCCACAACAACAGGAGCATCAGTCGGAGTATCACATTTTTCAATGGACCTTTAAGATCAGCACGCTAAATCAAAACACAGATAATACTTTGCAGCGGTCATCCGGAGCGAAACATTTTATTTTAGGCCACTGAATAGCAGTGTCAGCTAGGGGTGTACAACTCCTCTAGAGCAGTTTTGAGAGAAGATCTCATAAGTAGTGATTCAAGTTGCAGTGTATTGGCAATAGCGTTCCAGACCCTGGGGGCATCAATAGCAAAGGCCCTTCCTCCAGTTTTTGTACGGCAATAGGGAATGTGAAGCTGGTAAATGAGCAAAGACCTGAGGTCAAATTTGTTCTTTGAAACAGAGAGGAGATCCAGCAGGTAGTCTGCGGATTTTTTTGTAAGTACATCGTGAATAAATAAGATCTGGTGCACAAGCCGTCGAACATTAAGAGATGTTCGACACTCGCGCGATCGAGTAATCGGATTACTTGAATGATGACTCGAACGAGCCCCCCGATTGAGGGCGCAGCCCCGGGGTCTCTCACGGGGGGCGGTGGGGGGAGGCGGTGGGGGGGGGCGGTGGGGGGGCGGTGGGGGGGGCGGCGGTGGGGGGGGGGCGGCGGTGGGGGGGGGCGGCGGTGGGGGGGGCGGTGGGGGGGGCGGTGGGGGGGGGGCGGTAGGGGGGGCGGTGGGGGGGGGCGGTGGGGGGGGCGGGGGGGGGGGGGCGGTGGGGGGGGGGCGGTGGGGGGGGGGCGGTGGGGGGGGGGCGGTGGGGGGGGGGACTCCTCTGGCGAGGCGAGGCTGTTTGACGCGCTCCCCGCCCGTGGCTTACGGCGCAAATGGCCGCGGTCCCCGCGGTGTAGGCGAAGGAAGAGGGAAGAAGAAGAGGAGGAGGGGGAGAAGAGGGGGGGAGGAGGAGGACGAGGAAGAGGACGAGGAGGGGGAGAGGAGGAGGAGGATAGGATGGCGAGTGCGGCTCCCGGTCCGGGTCCCGGTCCGGGTCCCGGTCCGTTCGGCGTCACGGCCAAGGCGCTGCTGGGCGAGAAGGTCGCGTCCGGCACGTCGGACCTCGTCTCGCTCTCACGGCAGATCCTCAAAGGGTCCCGCAGCGCGGAGGTGACGGGGACACGGCACGGGGAGACACGGGGAGACGGGGAGACACGGGGAGACACAGGGAGACACGGCACGGGGAGACAGGGGGACACGGGGACACACGGCACGAGGAGACAGGGAGACACGGCACGAGGAGACAGGGAGACACGGCACGGGGAGACACGGGGAGTCAGGGGGACACGGCACGGGGAGACACGGGGAGACACGGGGAGACAGGGAGACACGGCACGGGGAGACACGGGGAGACAGGGGGACACGGCACGGGGAGACACAGGGAGATAGGGGGACACGGCACGGGGAGACACGGGGAGACAGGGGGACACGGCACGGGGAGACACGGGGAGTCATGTTCCTGTTGACATAGTCGGTGAACGTCATTGTACTGCAGTGAGATAGCGCGTCGCGTGAGTAGTGTTTGTGTTGTTTGTGCAGTATAACCAGTGTGGTGTTGTATTGTGTGGTGTGTGTGATGTGTGGTGTGTGTGATGTGTGGTGTTGTATTGTGTGGTGTGTGTGATGTGTGGTGTTGTATTGTGTGGTGTGTGTGATGTGGTGTGTGTGTGATGTGTGGTGTTGTATCGTGTGGTGTGTATGTGATGTATGGTGTATTGTGTGGTGTGTGTGATGTGTAGTGTTGTTGTATTGTGTGGTGTGTGTGATGTGTGGTGTGTGTGATGTGTGGTGTGTGTGATGTGTGGTGTGTGTGATGTGTGATGTGTGGTGTGTGTGATGTGTGGTGTGTGTGATGTGTGGTGTGTAACCAGTGTGTGTGATGTTGTATTGTGTGGTGTGTATGTGATGTGTGTGTTGTATTGTGTGGTGTGTATGTGATATGTGGGGTGTATTGTGTGGGGTGTATGTGATGTGTGGTGTTGTATTGTGTGGTGTGTGTGATGTGTGGTGTTGTATTGTGTGGTGTGTGTGTGATGTGTGGTGTGTGTGATGTGTGGTGTTGTATTGTGTGGTGTGTGTGATGAGGTGTGTGTGTGATGTGTGGTGTTGTATCGTGTGGTGTGTATGTGATGTATGTTGTATTGTGTGGTGTGTGTGATGTGTAGTGTTGTTGTATTGTGTGGTGTGTGTGATGTGTGGCGTGTGTGATGTGTGGTATGTGTGATGTGTGGTGTGTGTGATGTGTGGTGTGTGTGATGTGTGGTGTGTAACCAGTGTGTGTGATGTTGTATTGTGTGGTGTGTATGTGATGTGTGTGTTGTATTGTGTGGTGTGTATGTGATATGTGGGGTGTATTGTGTGGGGTGTATGTGATGTGTGGTGTTGTATTGTGTGGTGTGTGTGATGTGTGGTGTTGTATTGTGTGGTGTGTGTGATGTGTGGTGTATTGTGTGGTGTGTATGTGATGTGTGTGATGTGTGGTGTTGTATTGTGTGGTGTGTATGTGATGTATGGTGTATTGTGTGGTGTGTATGTGATGTGTGGTGTATTGTGTGGTGTGTATGTGATGTGTGGTGTATTGTGTGGTGTGTATGTGATGTGGTGTATTGTGTGGTGTGTATGTGATGAGTGGTGTCTTATGTGGTGTGTATGTGATGAGTGGTGTCTTATGTGGTGTGTATGTGATGTGTGGTGTATTGTGTGGTGTGTATGTGATGTGTGGTGTATTGTGTGGTGTGTATGTGATGTGTGGTGTATTGTGTGGTGTGTATGTGATGTGTGGTGTATTGTGTGGTGTGTGTGATGTGTGGTGTTGTATTGTGTGTGTGTGATGTGTGGTGTGTGTGATGTGTGGTGTTGTATTGTGTGGTGTGTGTGATGTGGTGTGTGTGTGATGTGTGGTGTTGTATCGTGTGGTGTGTATGTGATGTATGGTGTATTGTGTGGTGTGTGTGATGTGTAGTGTTGTTGTATTGTGTGGTGTGTGTGATGTGTGGTGTGTGTGATGTGTGGTGTGTGTGATGTGTGATGTGTGGTGTGTGTGATGTGTGGTGTGTGTGATGTGTGGTGTGTAACCAGTGTGTGTGATGTTGTATTGTGTGGTGTGTATGTGATGTGTGTGTGTTGTATTGTGTGGTGTGTATGTGATATGTGGGGTGTATTGTGTGGGGTGTATGTGATGTGTGGTGTTGTATTGTGTGGTGTGTGTGATGTTGTATTGTGTGGTGTGTGTGATGTGTGGTGTATTGTGTGGTGTGTATGTGATGTGTGTGATGTGTGGTGTTGTATTGTGTGGTGTGTATGTGATGTATGGTGTATTGTGTGGTGTGTATGTGATGTGTGGTGTATTGTGTGGTGTGTATGTGATGTGTGGTGTATTGTGTGGTGTGTATGTGATGTGGTGTATTGTGTGGTGTGTATGTGATGAGTGGTGTCTTATGTGGTGTGTATGTGATGAGTGGTGTCTTATGTGGTGTGTATGTGATGTGTGGTGTATTGTGTGGTGTGTATGTGATGTGTGGTGTATTGTGTGGTGTGTATGTGATGTGTGGTGTATTGTGTGGTGTGTATGTGATGTGTGGTGTATTGTGTGGTGTGTATGTGATGTGTGGTGTATTGTGTGGTGTGTATGTGATGTGTGGTGTATTGTGTGGTGTGTATGTGATGTGTGGTGTATTGTGTGGTGTGTATGTGATGAGTGGTGTATTGAGTGGTGTGTATGTGATGTGTGGTGTATTGTGTGGTGTGTATGTGATGTGTGGTGTATTGTGTGGTGTGTATGTGATGTGTGGTGTATTGTGTGGTGTGTATGTGATGAGTGGTGTATTGTGTGGTGTGTATGTGATGAGTGGTGTATTGTGTGGTGTGTATGTGATGAGTGGTGTATTGTGTGGTGTGTATGTGATGTGTGGTGTTGTATTGTGTGGTGTGTATGTGATGTATGGTGTTTTGTGTGGTGTGTATGTGATGTGTGGTGTATTGTGTGGTGTGTATGTGATGAGTGGTGTATTGTGTGGTGTGTATGTGATGTGTGGTGTATTGTGTGGTGTGTATGTGATGTGTGGTGTATTGTGTGGTGTGTATGTGATGTGTGGTGTATTGTGTCGTGTGTATGTGATGTGTGGTGTATTGTGTGGTGTGTATGTGATGTGTGGTGTATTGTGTGGTGTGTGATGTGTGGTGTTGTATTGTGTGGTGTGTGTGATGAGTGGTGTATTGTGTGGTGTATATGTGATGTGTGGTGTATTGTGTGGTGTGTGTCGCGTGTAGCTCCTGGGTCAGGCAGCACGCAACATGGCCGCCCAAGAGGATGCCCTCCTGAGATCTGAAGATGTGAGTCAGTGCGTCCCTGATCATTGCTTCCCTCATCACTGCTTCCCTCATCACTGCGTCCCTCATCACTGCGTCCCTCATCACTGATTCCCTCATTACTGCCTCGCCACAGCAACTCACCCCGCCACAACCACTCACTCGACCACAGCAACTCCACCCGGCCACAACAACTCAGTCGGCCAACTTCATTGGACGATGATACAATTTACAAATCCGCTCCGAGGTGGCCGAGTGTCTCAGGGGTCAGCGATGCTCAGCCGGCTGAGACGCTGGGTTCAAAGCCGGGTCTTAGCCGCTGCCTGTGATTGAACCGGGTTCTCAAGTGTCGAGAGTCTCCGCTCTCAGGTGAGCCTATAATTCACAATTGATTTTCTGGTCAGGCCACGAAATGATCTGACCAAATGTATTGCCTGGTAACTCTCCACCACCTGACGTAGCGAAACAAATTAAGCACTCGCGTTGAATGGGCCAATTACGATTGTTCCAGCTCGCTTACCGGGTGAGTGGGAGAACAGTTCTCGATTTAAACACGACCTTGTACAAATTAATGTCAGTCGAGTAGCCATCCGAAAAGTCCACGACAAGTGGAGATGCAGGCCGCGGGTCCCTGCAATGTGCGTGGAGGTGAGGCGGTGTTTGTGGGGCGGGGGCCGGACACGCGACCTTGCGTCCGCTGCCCTTGGGCTGTCGACGGCCGCCAAGCGAAACCTTGGCGTCGATATTGACGAGCGGAGAGCTTCCACCTGTCACGTGGAGATGGTGATGGTGGTGACGACGGTGACGATGTCGGTGACAGTGCACTCTCCGTGAGCACGACTCGTGTGCATGTGTTTTTTTTACAGAACATGAAAAAGATGCAGATAATAACGTCGCATCTCCAATACCAGTACGTGCTCGCGCGTGTGCTCGTGTCCATGCTTACATGTGCGTGTTTACGCGCGTATACGTGAGTGTACGTCGCTTACCAATGCTGACACTGTGACGCATACACGTGCACTGCTCGTGATGAGCAGCATCGCTAACATCGAGTCTCGTGTGTGTGTGTGTACGCGCGCACGTGTGTGTGTGTACGCGCGTGTGTGTGTGCTTGTCCACAGGCAGGAGTCCATACAGAAAAAGTGAGTAGCGTCAGCCATCTGTGCAGACACAAACGTCAAGGTGACAATTACCCGTGTAGCTGACACAGGCCGTGAGCGAGCAGCACCTCCTAAGGGCGCACAAGGGGGTGGTGTATAAAGCACCACGCCCGGCCACCTTTGTCTCTCCGGTGCTGATGTTTATACACACCATACCAGGTACTCATGTCAAGTTGAGTCGACCCCGGGAAGGCCCATGACGTGTTCAGGTATCACTGACCACGGATGTTAGACGTGGCTTGGATTAAAACTCAGTCTTAGGGTTTGTAATGCGGTGTGTGAACCACTGCCCACTGCTCCTGTGTACACCCACATGCACATTCACAAAACCACAGGGATTAATTTGAGGCTGAGTTGTTCTGGCATGCACACACACTAGTGGTGATGTGGCCCAGTGGTAGTACATTCACCACTTGTTGCAGAAGTTCATTGTTCGAATCCAGCAGCCACCCTGATTAATACTGCAGAGAAAGAATAAATAAGAATAACTACCACCCACCCACGCTCCAACTCACTCGCCGTGATGTCCCGTCTCTCCCCCCACCATCCCCCACCCCAGCGTTGAGATTTCCTCAAACGTCCTCGATCAACTCAACCACCTGCTCAAGTAGCGGCCGCCCCACCCAGACCACGGAACTATTCACCCTTCAGCGATTCCACGAATTGCCGGATTGGGGGCCGACAGGTTCCATTCTAAGAATTTATTAATTTCGTTTGGCTTCTCGAGTCCGTGTGTCTCGTGACCATCGGTGTCATACATTACCCTCTCTCTTGCACGGTCTCTCTCGTCCGCGCGGTTTGTTTGTATCGTTGTTTTCGTTCTAGCGACCTAAGAGAGGCGTTAACATTCTAGTTTCCTTAATTGTTTGTAAATACAGGCGTCACCTTGCTGTGACAAACCGCTCATTGGCCTGGGAGAGAGTTCGAGTATCATGACGATGTCAGCTGGAATTGAAGACTCATGGGAACACGAAGGCGTCATCGCCACGCATCCGTGTAAACTTGTAGGTGTAAAGCGTACGTGTAAAACTGTACATGTATATGCCACGCAGTCAGATGCAAAGTCAAAACACGTGCATGTACAGTAAAACTATGCAGTACACTGTAAAAAATAACAAGCAAATTGTACATTTGGCGGTGCGCACGATCGTTCCACGCGAGGTCGGCTCTCACTCACCTCCCAAGTCTCATTGTACAGAAAAACGCGACGCAATTAACGGAGTAGAATCTCTGGTGGTCACGTGTGTAAACCTTCGACACTCGTGCGACACGAGTGTCGAATTTCATTTGTGACTTTAAACCCAGAGTCCCGAGGAGCGCTGTAGGGATGAGTGTTGCGCTCGTTTACCCTTGTGACGTTTTTTGAGGAGGTTCCTGCCAAGTCTTTGCAGGAAGGGGGGCAATCATTGCCACGTAGATTCCCATCGAGTAATTTGCGGTTTAATTATTCAAACGTGGTTAATGTGATCCTTGACGTCGGCACACAACGGCCTACTCTTGGGAATGACGCCATGGGATCTTTGACGTGCACTGTTGAGCGGACGAAGTCGTTTTGGCTGTGTGACCGTTGGAATTTTTTTTAGCTGCTCGGCTCAATGGGCCTCAAAAAATAAACGGAATCGACAGACGCGTTGTATTTTCATGGTTTATACGCCCGCAGTATTAATCAGGGTGGGCGCTGCATTAGAACCGCAAACCTCTGCAACGAGCGGCCAACGCGCTACAGCGGGCGCCCGGTGTGACCCCCGTACGTTGCCTCGTGTCTCTGGGGGCTGTGGCCATCGTGGTCCGTGCCAAGCGGCTGCTCTGAGCCGCTTGTGATGCGAGCCTCCAGGTTTGTTCACAAACACCGTGATCCTCTCGGGCGTTCGTCAGCAACTGTCACGGGCAACTCGTTCACCGTGACTTGGTATGGCCATGGTAGAGTGACGGAGTGGAGTCTCCCCAGGGCCCACAGAGTTTACCGAAAAGATGAACTGTGATTGGTCAAGATTATACACGTCCTCGGGCAGTCATGTGATTTATGTGAGGGACAGCAGCTATGGGATTAGTTTTACAATGCAGAATAGTTCGGCAGCTTTTGTCAGTAATACTAATTGTCGGTAATAACTGCCATAAACTTTTACGAACCAGCTGGGCGACTTGGCGGTAGATTTAACCGCTCGCAATCGAAAGGTCGCGAGTTGGCTCAGCCCATTATCCCTTTCTCCGGGGTCATTAAAATAACTACCACTGTGGGGAAGTCAACAGTGGTTACCCTATGGGGATACTTGCCCCTGCCATAGGAATGTGGATTTACCACTGGCTCTGCAGGGCTCTAAACAGGAGCCGAGCACCGATGCCACAATGCTCATTGACTCTGCTGCTCTTTAGCTGCTCTTCTCAAAGGACCGGAACAGCAGACGAGGAGCCAGCGTTGAGCGTCACTCCTCGTCCGTCCTTGGCGACACCGCCAGCGCTGGCGACACGGCGAGGCCTTGGCTCCGTGGGCCCAAGGAGACGCCCGGCAGCTCAATGTCACGCCGGCATGGTTGTTTACGTTGCCCGGACGGGGTGTCGCGCGCAGCCGATGATGAATCCAAGCAGAGGAGACGGTATATGGCACGGGGTACGTTTATTGAACTTTGAGAAAAACCAGAGCTGTGTAAACAGATCTCAAACGCCACCCAGAGATGGGTCACGTCCACCGGTGCACCCACGTACCTACCCAACCATATACGGACCTGTCCACCCACCTACCCACTCCTCTACCTACCTACCAGGTATAAATAGAATGCATATTTGATTGACATCGATTATTGCAATTGTGATTCGTGCATCGGGGCGTGCGTGCGAGGGCATGCGAATCGATGCATGTACAACGAACGTGATCAGACTCCACAAGCGCAATTATTGTCATTATGAAAAAGATTATCCATTAAAATCAAATCACTTACTTACACCCACCTTATCACTTCTCTACCCACATGAGCCAAGCTACCCCTCCCACCTACCATCCACCGACCTACCTTACCCACCTCTCCGACTCAACCACACAACTAGGCTACCCCCCCACCCCACTCACCCACCCCCTACCCTACCCACCCACCTACCCTACTCACCCACACGACTAGGCTACCCACCCACCTACCCTGCTCTCAAGATTTCCAGGCTACCCACCCACTTGCCCGTATATCAGATTTATACCAAAAATAGAATGTGACCGCTGCGTTTTGATTTTTTTGTTGCATTTCAAAACCGCCGCTCTCGTTGGCCTAGGACCCTCGCTCGCAGCGGCCCTCGGGGTGAGGCCACACGACCCTCGGACGCCCCCCTTCCTCGGCCGGGGCCCGAAGCCCCAATCGCAGGTCACGACGACCCAGGTCGCACCGGCCCCGCGCCAGCGAGCCCGAGCGTGAGGAGAGAGTAGCGGTGGCGGTGCAGGGAGCGCGTCGCGGCGTCGTGGAATTTTTGCGACAACGCGGAGTTAAGGCACATTGCGCTCCCCACAGGGGGCCGCAGCCGATTCGCAAAGTTCACATCCGTGAGGGTGGGGTGGGGGGAGATCAGTGCATTTGCAAATATTCACAGCAGTGGCAGCGATGGCAGCGATGGCGACGACAGCAGCAGCAGCGCGTCCTTCCGCGCGTGCGACTCGGGGACGGTTCCACCTGACAGAGGGGTTGGCTCCCCGCCCCACAGCTGTGACTGCGGCCACCCAAGGGTTCCAGGAATCTCCGGGGCAGGGTGCTCCGTCGTGGAGCCCCCTTGTGCGACGTCCAGGGTGGAACGGCCCCCTCTGCTGCCCCCCTGCGGGCGGCGCTGCCCGCGGCTACGAGTCCCGTGCCACCTACCCCAGTCACGCGGCGAGCCAGGAAATATTCGGTGAGATAGGAATCCCCCGGCTGCGAAATTAAACGGGCGGCTCGTGAGGAGGGGGCACGGGGCGATGCGGACGGCACGAGCTGCCGCGTTGAGGTGGCGCCCGCGATCGCCAGCAAGACACCTCCCCACCACCGTCAACTTTGACCTCGCATGGGATTCACCGTTCGGTTTGTCGTTGGAAACGGTGCGAGCGGATTTGACAAGTCATGAAGGTGATGCAGCATCGCGTGTGTGAAGCTTTCGGACATATCCAGACCACTGGCTCAGAAGAGCTGAACTTGTGTGGCCATTGTCGTTTTGGAAGCGGCAGCCCGCAGAGTTGAGAGAACGTGGCCGTGCCGTGGTCTGAACAAAGTCGACGGTGTCTGGACACGCAAAGCAGCGCACCTCCATGTGCCATTAAATCTGTTTCCGGCTGCATCAATTGTTCTGTTGTGATGGGGTTTCCCATCATTTTACAGGTCTGAAAATGGACGGCGTCCGTGTTGTAGATGTGAACTCTGCAAAAACGGCAGCTCTGGGCGGGATGCGTGGACAGGCGGCCACCGAGACAGGCATGGGAGTGGTCTCCACGAGCCCGGCGAGCACGGGGGACGAGGAGACCTCAGGCTCGGTGGTGGGATGCTGTTCTGGCAGACCTATGGGTTTGTGTGCGTGTATAGGCCTCGATGTGAATCTCTGGGTCACTATGCCAGTCTATGGGTCTGTCTCTGAGAGTCTTAAGAGCAGAGAGTGGTGGACATGGTCTGGTCAGAACTTGGAGGTCGCAGTTTGCCATGCAGCAGCTGCGGGATCTGGAAGAGGACGGCACGGTGGGTGCACAGCGCACTATGCCACCACTCCACGTTACAACGACAAAACAAGAGGGGGGCCCAATGATTAACACGCAGACGCAGTCAGACTCGCTTCACGTCCACTTCAAGCGCCTCACCCCGACCATCGTGGCTTCCTAACCCTCCTCACCGCTCATTCGACAATATTTTTGCTCTGTGGAAACTTTTAAAGAAGTGAAAATAAATCAGTTAAACTGCCCCAACAGCTTAGGCCTAACCTCCCACAACAACCCACCTCACAGCCCCTCACAACACTCCCCCACTCAACCATCGCCCCCTCCCTCCACTCAATCGAACACTCGGCCAATCAGACGCAGCCAAAGTCATGGACCACTACGCTCTATCCCCCCCCCACCCCCAAGCCATATCCCTAAACCAGAACCCCGATCCAGATCCCCAATCCAGATCACCAAACCAAATCTCTAATCCAGATCCACAAATCAAATCAATGCAGTTCCCCAAACCATATCTTGGAAGCCAGATCCCATATCCAGGTCCCCAATTCAATGCAATTACTCACACCAGATCTCTAATCTAGATCCTAAATCCAGATCCTCAATCAGACCTCTAAAACCAGACCCGGAATCCAGATCCCCAATCCAAATAAATCGGAATCCAGAAACCAGAAGCCCACACCAGATCTTGGAGCCCTGCCCGGCGGTCTGGGGCAGTCGGCAGTATCGCTGCCAAGCGTGGTGATGAAGTCACCGAGCTGCCCTCCCCCCGCCGACCCCACGCTGACCCCCGACCCCCGGGGTCAGTAGAAGCGCTTGCGGCTCTGCTCCTGCCGCTTCTGCAGGACGATGACAGCGACGACGGCACAGATGACGATGCCGATGAGTCCGAAGAAGACAAGGAGGAACACCTTGATGCCGCTCAGCGGCTCGTTCCGGTAGCTGGGCTCGTCGGAGAGACCTGACGTGCACGCACAAAGACCTCTCATGTAGCCTTTTAACACTCTTAGGGTAAGTGCAGTTAGCAAGCACCTATTAAAGCCGGCACAGCGCACACCGCACCAAGTACTCATTTAAGGCTGGGTCGACCAAGCGAGGACCCAGGACCAGTTCAGATATTTGTCACCGATGTTTGCTTTGAGTGGGAATTAAACTCGGAATACCAAGCTCCTAGCCCAGAGCAAAAACCACTGCACCATCACCATCCGTGTACACATGTACGCAACGTACACACCACTGTACAATCGCAAACATATAAACACACGCACACACGTAATAGCCATCTAGTCTTTAACAGACTTTGTGTAAACAAAGACACAATCACGAGCCTCGTCCTCCCCGCCGCTACCCATCCCCACCGAGCCCCCCCTCCTCACGGGCGTGGTGCGGGAACTCGGCACTCGGCTCCACGGAGCTCCAGTCGAACTGCATCTCCTCGAGGGTGTGCTCCACACTCAACTCGTACACCTTCATCGACACGATGTCGTGGTTATCTGCGCGCGCGCACACACACACGCCATGCACAGGTAAGCGGGCAGGTGAGCGACCAGGTGAGCAAGCTGGTGATCAGGCAGGTGAATGAGATGGTAAGCAAGGTGGTGAGGAGGCAGGCAAGCAAGCATAAAGGTGAGGGAGGTGAGTAATCTTATCGAGTGAGCAAGATGAGCGATCAGTTTGGTGAGCTCGGGTGAGCCAGTGAGTGAGAACACAAGTGAGCGAGGCGGTGAGAAAGTGAGTGTGCGCACAGGTGAATGAACGATCGAGGGCGTGACCACAAGGATTAGCGAGTCGTGAGCGCGCGAGTGAGCGGCCGAGCGAACAAGCGGGCGAGTGCGTGGCTGAGTGGAACTCACCTGAGAGGTCTCCGGTGGCGGAGGAGGCGCCGAAGTAATAGCCGGTGGGGAGGCGGACGCCTGGCACGTCCACACAGTCGCGCCACTCGCCCTTATCGTCCACGTCGACCTTAATCTGAGTGAGCGACAAGGGGAGAGGGGACCGGGGTTAGGTGCACCGCCCAAACCTCGGCTAGCCGTGTAGCAATTCACCTGATCCCCCCCATCCCACCCCAATCATGTCATTCCACAGGGGACGCGATTGCATTCACGGGACGATTATCTGTCTCTTGTGTACCATGTATGTGCGTGCATGCGTGTACCGTGCGTGTATCTACCGTGCGTGTGTGCTTCCGTGTATGGCGGTGCAGTGGTAAGCACCACCGTGCTACGAACCCGGCGACCTGAGTTCGATTCCTGCTCGGGACCAATAACAGTGGCAGCAAATATTTGGACCAGTCCTGGGCCATACCCGAAGTCAACGCAGCCTTAAGTACTTGGTGCCGTGTATAAACATCAGCACTGGGGAGACAAAGGCGGCAGCATGTTAACGGCTATACGAGGGATCTTTGTGATGTGTGCGTGCGTGTGTGTAGCGTGTGTGTAGCGTGTGTGTACCGTGAGTCGCTGGGCAGAGTAGCGCACGGAGAGGAAGGTGTCGTGGTTGACATTGCGCAGCGCGGCAGCGCACCCCGCCACCTCCGTGCTGCTGCCGTCCTTCTCGTGCTCGTAGCGCAAGGAGCCGTTATTCACCATCACCGAGATGTAGGGGAACACACGCTGCCACGGGCACACACACACGGGGACACACAACCGAGATTCCCCGTGTAGCCCACACGTGCCACTACAAACCAGAATGAGAACAGACCAAGATACTGTAAGTCTCATTTGCAAGAGTGATCTGGGCCATTTGTCTGCCAGCAATAGGGGCAATGATTGCTATGTATAGTCTCAATTGCGTAAAAAAAGGGTTGTGGGGCAAGTGCTGTTAGCGAGCAACTATTAAGACCAGCATGGCGAAAATGGTCTTGGGTGGCCAGCACCACACCCAGCTGCCTTTGTCTCCCCAATGCTGATGCTAGCACACCGCACGAGCCACTCATTTAAGGCCGAATCGACCTAGGGGAGGCCCTGGATGGTTCAGATTTTCGATACCGATGACGACCTTGAGCGCAAATCCAACTGTTTGCCCGCGTCTGTCACGCAGTGCGCGAATCACTGCACCAGCGCTCCCCATCGGGTATACGCGCACACGGTGCACACGCGCACACGGTGCACACGCGCACACGGTGCACACGCGCACACGGTGCACACGCGCACACGGTGCACACGCGCACACGGTGCACACGCGCACACGGTGCACACGCGCACACGGTGCACACGCGCACACGGTGCACACGCGCACACGGTGCACACGCGCACACGGTGCACACGCGCACACGGTGCACACGCGCACACGGTGCACACGCGCACACGGTGCACACGCGCACACGGTGCACACGCGCACACGGTGCACACGCGCACACGGTGCACACGCGCACACGGTGCACACGCGCACACGGTGCACACGCGCACACACACAAAAACTATGATTAAATGCAGCCTTGAGTGTTGAACTGGTATTAGTGTTATTATTATTACGCAGCTAACAATAACTAGGACTTTTAATGTCTGCAGCTGCCTCCTCACTCAACAAGAGGACGATCCTGGGGAAACCAAGGACAGGTGGCAACCCGAAAGAATGCACACGCGCACACGCGTACACACACGCGCGCACGCGTACACACACACGCGCGCACATGCGTACACACACACGCGCACATGCGTACACACACGCGCGCACATGCGTACACACACACGCGCACATGCGTACACACACGCGCGCACATGCGTACACACACGCGCGCACATGCGTACACACACGCGCGCACATGCGTACACACACACGCGCACATGCGTACACACACGCGCGCACATGCGTACACACACACGCGCACATGCGTACACACACGCGCGCACATGCGTACACACGCGCACATGCGTACACACGCGCACATGCGTACACACACACGCGCACATGCGTACACACACACGCGCACATGCGTACACACACGCGCGCACATGCGTACACACACGGGCGCACACGCGTACACACACGGGCGCACACGCGTACACACACACGCGCACATGCGTACACACACACGCGCGCACATGCGTACACACACACGCGCGCACATGCACACCGCCGGATAAAGGTTTCGCTCACCAAGTCATCAAGCCACCAACCAAGAGCATCACCCACACACCCAGTTACACTGTCGGCGCTCTGTTAGCGCAAGCAGCTCACGCGGCACGCTCGCGCAGGGGCGGTTAGGCAAGCCGAGCGTTTCGTTACGAGAAAAACCGAAGGAGAAATTGACACCTTCCAGAGCTGAGGATGTTTCACCGAACCAAGCAGCGGGCAGGGAAAGGTGGTGCCAAACGGACAGGGGGGGAGCGTTGACAACAGCCGCAGCGGGGAGTGGCGGAGGGGGGGGGGGGCACTTACTGTGTCGTCCTTAAGGTTGTTGGCGTAGGTGTCAATAAAAATGCCTAACCCGCGAAAGAAATCTCGGCTGCCAAACACGCTGCCTGCGGTGGGGTGGGGGGGGGCAGAGGGGTCGAGGGGGGTTCGTGGGGGGGGGATGCGGAGGGTGTCGTGTGGGGGGAGGGGTGTGGAGAGGAGACAGGGCAACACGGACAGGAGCACGATGAGATGGGGGGAGGGAAGGGCACGAGGACAGCACTCACTTCGTGCTTCTTCCCCTCGTTATAGTACGTGTCCAAGAAAATCCCCAGCCCTCGGAAGTTCTCTTTGTTTCCAAACACGGATCCTGTGGGAAGCGCGGTCAGGTGGGAGATGGGTGAAGTGGTGGGCGGTGGGTTTTGTGGGCGATGGGCGAGGAGATGTCAGGAGGGTGATAGGTGGGTGGTGGGGTTTGAAGGGTGATGGTGTGGAAGAGGGATCAGGAAGGGCGATCAGGAAGGAGGATCCGGAAGGGGGATCAGGAAGGGGGATCAGAAAGGGGATCAGAAAGGGGATCAGGAAGGGGATCAGGTGATGCTTGAAATTTGGGGGGGGGGGGACAGGGGGGAGCAGTGGAGTGTGGAGAAGGTGGAGGTTTCGTGTTCGGGATGGATGATGTGATTGGAGGGAGGGGAGGAATCACAGAGACCGGTGGGTGATGCAGCGTGGAGGACATCGCACACATCAGCTTGACGAGGCTGTAAACAACAATAGGAGCAATGACGGCAACACCACCAAATACTGGCGCGGCTGGCGACGACGTTGAAACGCCCGGTGCGCAACGAGCACAGCACCTACCCAGCTGCATGCGGTCCATCGTGTACCACAGCGCTAGGCCGTCCCCATGCAGGTTCTTCTTGCCGTGCCCGTGCACCTTGAACTGCACGTGCAGCTCCCAGTCCAGCAGGTAGCACGGCTGGGGGTCGGGCGGCCGGAGAGGGCGGGGAAGCACAGGGGCCATAGGTTAGAGAGGTCGTGTGATTGTCATGGGCCCTGGTGTAAGGAATGAGATAGCTGGGTGCAGCTGAGTGCAGCTGTGTGCTGGGTACCGCACCACGCGGTTCCACAGCGCGCCCTGCTTGCTCTGCTGGTCGGGCGTGAGCCGCACGTACTGGCTGGTCACCATCGTGCTCCCGGCCATGTCCCACAGGGCCATGCTGCCCGAGCCAGCACCTACATGAAGGGCATCAACATCACGAATCACGTCTCACAGAGCCATGCTGCCTTCGTTAGCACCGACATCAACAGACACATCAAGAGCATCATGAAGGGGACCCATGTCGAGTCGTCAAGGGGACCCGTGTGGAGTCAAGGGGACCCGTGTGGAGGCGTCAAGGGGACCCGTGTGGAGGCGTCAAGGGGACCCGTGTGGAGGCGTCAAGGGGACCCGTGTGGAGGCGTCAAGGGGACCCGTGTGGAGGCGTCAAGGGGACCCGTGTGGAGGCGTCAAGGGGACCCGTGTGGAGGCGTCAAGGGGACCCGTGTGGAGGCGTCAAGGGGACCCGTGTGGAGGCGTCAAGGGGACCCGTGTGGAGGCGTCAAGGGGACCCGTGTGGAGGCGTCAAGGGGACCCGTGTGGAGGCGTCAAGGGGACCCGTGTGGAGTCGTCAAGGGGACCCGTGTGGAGTCGTCAAGGGGACCCGTGTGGAGGCGTCAAGGGGACCCGTGTGGAGTCAAGAGGACCCGTGTGGAGTCGTCAAGGGGACCCGTGTGGAGGCGTCAAGGGGACCCGTGTGGAGTCGTCAAGGGGACCCGTATAGAGTCAAGGGGACCTGTGTGGAGTCGTCAAGGGGACCCGTCTGGAGGCGTCAAGGGGACCCGTATGGAGTCAAGGGGACCCGTGTGGAGGCGTCAAGGGGACCCGTGTGGAGTGGTCAAGGGGACCCGTGTGGAGTCGTCAAGGGGACCCGTGTGGAGTCGTCAAGGGGACCCGTGTGGAGGCGTCAAGGGGACCCGTGTGGAGTCGTCAAGGGGACCCGTGTGGAGGCGTCAAGGGGACCCGTGTGGAGGCGTCAAGGGGACCCGTGTGGAGTCGTCAAGGGGACCCGTGTGGAGGCGTCAAGGGGACCCGTGTGGAGGCGTCAAGGGGACCCGTGTGGAGGCGTCAAGGGGACCCGTGTGGAGGCGTCAAGGGGACCCGTGTGGAGGCGTCAAGGGGACCCGTGTGGAGGCGTCAAGGGAACCCGTGTGGAGGCGTCAAGGGGACCCGTGTGGAGGCGTCAAGGGGACCCGTGTGGAGGCGTCAAGGGGACCCGTGTGGAGGCGTCAAGGGGACCCGTGTGGAGGCGTCAAGGGGACCCGTGTGGAGTCGTCAAGGGGACCCGTGTGGAGTCGTCAAGGGGACCCGTGTGGAGTCAAGGGGACCCGTGTGGAGTCGTCAAGGGGACCCGTGTGGAGGCGTCAAGGGGACCCGTGTGGAGTCGTCAAGGGGACCCGTATAGAGTCAAGGGGACCTGTGTGGAGTCGTCAAGGGGACCCGTCTGGAGGCGTCAAGGGGACCCGTGTGGAGTCAAGGGGACCCGTGTGGAGGAGTCAAGGGGACCCGTGTGGAGTGGTCAAGGGGACCCGTGTGGAGTCGTCAAGGGGACCCGTGTGGAGTCGTCAAGGGGACCCGTGTGGAGGCGTCAAGGGGACCCGTGTGGAGTCGTCAAGGGGACCCGTGTGGAGGCGTCAAGGGGACCCGTGTGGAGTCGTCAAGGGGACCCGTGTGGAGGCGTCAAGGGGACCCGTGTGGAGGCGTCAAGGGGACCCGTGTGGAGGCGTCAAGGGGACCCGTGTGGAGTCAAGGGGTACCCGTGTGGAGTCAAGGGGACCCGTGTGGAGGCGTCAAGGGGACCCATGTCGAGTCGCCAAGGGGACCCGTGTGGAGGCGTCACGGGGATCCGTGTGGAGGCGTCAAGGGGACGCGTGTGGAGTCGTCAAGGGGACCCGTGTGGAGTCGTCAAGGGGACCCGTGTGGAGGCGTCAAGGGGACCCGTGTGGAGGCGTCAAGGGGACCCGTGTGGAGGCGTCAAGGGGACCAGTGTGGAGTAGGCACGCACCCTGGTAGGGCTTGACAAGGCTGTGTTCCCGCTTGTAGTGCTCCCCCAGTTCGCCAGGGTCACCGGCGCACGGGCGGAGCAGAAGTAGCAGCAGCAGCTGCATGAGAGAGGGGCCCATGGCGAGACGAGGCTCAGGGATTGCAGGGATGCAGGGGTCCGGGGTTCAAGTCCTGGGGGTCCCTGCCGCCTCCTTCGCAGGGCCGCCTCGGAGAGGGAGGAGACGCGGGGGGACTCGAGGAGACGCGGGGAGACTCGAGGAGACGCGGGGGGACTCGAGGAGACGCGAGGAGAGTCGGGCTCCCTGCTCCGCCTTCCTCCCCACGGGGGACCCCTTGATCAGACCGGACCGCGTTCTCGCGCTGCCAACGCGGCCATCTTACGTGGGGGTCCGCGCCGCTTTGACGCCTCTGCGGGGTGACGTCGCGATGACGTCACGAACGACGTTACGCGCCGGTCCCGGGCACACGTCCCTGAACCAACATGGCGGCCGGAGAGCCCGCCTCGTGACGTCGAGGCCACTGCTCGTCGCTGAGGATCGCGATTGGGCCACGTACGTGACCACGTGCCCGTGATGAGCCAATCACGAGCGCACGAGTGCGAGTCGTTCTTAATTGGCATCGATCCCGACCGCAGGTAATGAAAGCAACAGGGGAGGGGGGGGACGAGGGGAGGGTTTGGGGGGAAGGGACGAGGGGAGGGTTTGGGGGGAAGGGACGAGGGGAGGGTTTTGCCTCTGTCTCCCGCCACAGGAATGTGGAGTGGACACACCAACACAGTCGAATGAGCGCGCAGCACCTATTAAGGTTAACACGACGCACGAGGAGGGTGCTGTGGGTCGGAACCACCATCCTTCCCGTCCGCCTTTGTCTCCCCAGTGCCGAAGTTGTACACACCGCACCAGATTACTCATTTAAGGCTGAGTCGCCATAGGGCAGACCCGGGCCGTGCGTGTTCGGGCACCACTCGCCACTGACGTTGGCCGTGGTCGGGAATCGAACTCGGCTTGTGGGGCTCGTACGCACAAGCATTGTACACACGCCAGTATTTGGGCGGTGGTGGTGGTGGTGGCTGCGCGCATGGCTGCTACCTGTGATCCAGCACTGGAGGTAGCAGCGAGGGTAGGTGGATCGCGCACGGACGTTGCGAATCTCCCTTCTCTCCGCGGGCGTCGAGGACGAGCCGTGCCCTGGCTCGCCAGGACAGGGCAGTACAGCAACAATGTGTAGTGAATCTAGTCGTAGGAGGCACTCTTGTTTATTGCAGCCATCACAGGCACAGGGGATAACTGTATACTTGGTCAGGACAGCCGGCACACTGCCTGACCAACAACGCCGAGGAGGTGAGGAGAAGTATGACGGGTTCCATTCCAGACGACAGCCTCGACCCAGAGTCGGGGCCTCCCTTTTATCCCCCCAGCATGGCCTGGCTCCGCTCTCGGCCACGCCCCCTTCTGGAACCTACCAGAAGGTTCTGGGCTTCACCTCACGTGTCCCCTCCGTCACCTTTGCCCTACATCCCTTCGGCCTTTCACGTTCCCTGCGAGCAGACCGGGCTGCTTCACTCTCAGACCCCCCCCCCCTCTCTGCCAGCAACCAGCACTACGCGCCCCCTAGTGACCCATTCTATGTCACTACAAATGTATGGGATAGAGTGTTACCCCCTCGCACGCGTGAGTTTTCTCCCGCATGTAAACACTCATTAATTGGTCGCTAACACCTTCGTATATAGAGGACCGCAGAGCTTGGGAATTTGTTGGTGCTGCTGCGTTCCCTCCTGGCGCCTCTGAGTCGCCCTCTCTGTGTCCCGACGAGAGCGTGGTGACGCTGCGGCAGCGCGTTACGAGTGAAGTTTTACTACTTTGATAAAGACAAAGATCAAAGTGCTGTTCACGAGTACCCATTAAGATCGGCGCAGCACACGAGCAGGTGGGTGCCCAACACCAATGGCGGAGCCAGGATTTTCAGGTGGGGGGGGAAACCCCTCCAGCAATGAAAAATGATTGGAGTTAGTAAGTAAGGAGTTCATATTCTTGGTTCTTTCGGTAAAGTTACGTAGAAGGGAAACAATAAAATAATAAAAATATAAAACAATAAAATTCCCTTCTACGTGACTTTACCGAAAGAACCAAGAATATGAATCCCTGCAGTCACGAAAGCTTTAAATCAAAATTTAACCGCCTCTACGGGGAGGGTTTTCACATAACTTTGAGATCCTTTAGCAAACTCCGGGATAAGACGGCTCAGCTGATCGAGTCTCTCACCTTTCTGAAGAGATGCCACGACTCTGAGGTAGTACCAATCGCATTTACACTGACCTCTGCTGCTGTAACTTCTTCTAATGCGAAACAAATTCTTTCCAGAACTAGCTTACCTCTTATCTCAGGGAAAATCAGACTTATACGCACCGAACTAGATAATTTAGACAAGACACTCTACAAATCACACTTATCATTGACGGCAACAATGTCCACATCGGATTGGGAACATGTAGACCATATGACTGCCTCTTCAGCTGCCACTATGTCGACCAAATGTAAGGACAACCTGATTTCCAAATTTAACCTCCTCTCCAACAAAAGACCGGACCCACACACCAAAAAGCTAGACGTTAACAAAGTCGTAATTAATCGCAGTAACAGTTCTATTTCCGATGGTCCGAAATCCGTTTTAGCTAAAGGGCTAAACTTTGCAGTCACACCTAAACACATACCAGTTAAATTTTGATTTAAAGCTTTCGTGACTGCAGTAATTCATATTCTTAGTTTTTTCGGTAAAGTCACGTTGAAGAGAAACAACAAAATAATAAAATATATATAAAACAATAAAAATTCTCACGACGTTTCGACCATAACTCAAACGGTCATCTTCAGGTGTGTTGGTTTGCATAAATTTATTTTTAAACGGCGCATTTATTTATTTATAAAAACGTTAGCGTCACGCGCAGCGATTTGGCAGTTTACTCAGGACTAGTCCATCTATATTTTGAAAAGAGGAGGGGGGAGACGAAATTTTTTATAATGTATGCTGTCTGAAAGCCACTGTAAGCGTGAACAATCAATTAAGAACTGAAATGGTTTATCAAATCTTTCCAATGATTGCTAAGATAGAATCCATCTTCTCGGTTGAAATTGTCTCTGTGCTTGTATATGTGGATAGCCTCATGAACGAATCTCTCATGGAAGCCAGATGGCTTACAAAGAACCTCTGTCTTGGAAAAGTCAATGGCATGTGAGCCTACTGAATTAGAACAATGATCTGCTACGGCCGAGGTGTTGGTCCTACCGTGTTTAAGGTCTGCTTTGTGTTCACGAATGCGGTCCGAGACATGGCGTTTGGTTTCTCCAATGTAACTACTACCACAGAGGTAACTTAGTTTGTAGACACCAGGGTATTGTATGTCCGGAATCACATCTTTTACAGACGGAACCAGATCACGGATTTTATGTAATGTGTTGAAACGGACCTGGATCTTGTGTTTATTCAAGATTTTGGAGATCTGGTTCCGTCTGTAAAAGATGTGATTCCGGACATACAATACCCTGGTGTCTACAAACTAAGTTGCCTCTGTGGTAGTAGTTACATTGGAGAAACCAAACGCCATGTCTCGGACCGCATTCGTGAACACAAAGCAGACCTTAAACACGGTAGGACCAACACCTCGGCCGTAGCAGATCATTGTTCTAATTCAGTAGGCTCACATGCCATTGACTTTTCCAAGACAGAGGTTCTTTGTAAGCCATCTGGCTTCCATGAGAGATTCGTTCATGAGGCTATCCACATATACAAGCACAGAGACAATTTCAACCGAGAAGATGGATTCTATCTTAGCAATCATTGGAAAGATTTGATAAACCATTTCAGTTCTTAATTGATTGTTCACGCTTACAGTGGCTTTCAGACAGCATACATTATAAAAAATTTCGTCTCCCCCCTCCTCTTTTCAAAATATAGATGGACTAGTCCTGAGTAAACTGCCAAATCGCTGCGCGTGACGCTAACGTTTTTATAAATAAATAAATGCGCCGTTTAAAAATAAATTTATGCAAACCAACACACCTGAAGATGACCGTTTGAGTTATGGTCGAAACGTCGTGAGAATTTTTATTGTTTTATATATATTTTATTATTTTGTTGTTTCTCTTCAACGTGACTTTACCGAAAAAACTAAAAATATGACATACCAGTTAATGATATCATTGCCCAAGTAGACGTGGCTCTCAAGGGCCTGGGTCACATCGCTGCAGACGTAGCAAGATCTGAAATCGCTGCAACCCTCAAAAACGCTAAGATGCCAGCTAGCAACCTCAGCAAAGATGAGCGTTTTGAATTATATAAATTAAAAAAGAGGGATGACATTGTCATCCTCTCAGCCGACAAGGGCAATGCCACTGTCATCATTAATAAAATAGAATATAACAAGAAAATTCAAGAATTACTCAACCATGGCAGCTATACAAAATAAAAAGGGATCCCACCAACAGCCTCGTCATACAAACCAACAAAATCATTTCTGATTCAACCGCATTAATTGATCAAACCAAACAGTTATCATTGAAACCTTCTGCTGCCAGGCCACCAAGATTATACGGCTTACCAAAAATACATAAAGTAGATACACCCCTTCGTCCCATCGTCTCTACTATGAACTCCCCCACCTACAAACTGGCTCGTTTTCTGTCTGAAATTCTGCGGCCTTTCACTGGAAAAAAACACCTCTGCGGTACAAAATTCTACTCACCTGGTATCGACAATCACGGGTATTTCCCTGTCCCCAGACGACCTGCTTGTCAGTTTTGATGTAGTTTCCTTATTCACCAAAGTTCGTGTACCTGACAGCATCGCAATCATTGAAGATTTGGTTCATCAAGGACTAAACACTGAGGTACCCCCCCCTGATGAGACACTGCTTAACCAATACATACTTCACTTGGAATGGAACTTTCTACAAACAAACTGAGGGCACCCCAATGGGCTCCCACCTATCTCCGGTTGTAGCCAACATTTTCATGGAGAAATTTGAGACTGATGCCATCCAGACTGCCACTCTGCGCCCAAACTTATGGAAGAGGTACGTGGATGACCTTTTGTCATCTGGCCACATGGCCGGCCTGCTCTAGACCAATTCCTCGACCACATCAATTCCATACACCCAGCCATCAGATTTGCCATGGAAGTCGAAAAAGATGGCAAGCTACCTTTTTTGGATGCCCTAATAAAAAAGAGACCTGATGGTTCAATGAGCCACTCTGTCTACAGGAAAGCTACCCATACGGATGCTTACCTGAAACCGGATTCCCACCATCATCCATCCCAGAAGAATTCCCTCATCAAGACTCTGCACCATAGAGCCCAATGCATATCCGACCAGGAACACATAGCCAGTGAACTCAAGCACGTACACCAAGCTCTTAAGGCTAATGGTTACTCCGACTACACAATCCGCAAAGCTATCACTCCAACCATGAAGAAGCACCCTCTTGAGGAGCCTTTCAAAACCATCACTTTACCCTACATTGCGGGGAATCACAAAAAAAGATCTCCAAAATCTTGAATAAACACAAGATCCAGGTCCGATTCAACACATTACATAAAATCCGTGATCTGGTTCCGTCTGTAAAATATGTGATTCCGGACATACAGTACCCTGGCGTCTACAAACTAAGTTGCCTCTGTGGTAGTAGTTACATTGGAGAAACCAAATGACATGTCTCGGACCGCATTCATGAACACAAAGCAGACCTTAAACACGGTAGGACCAACACCTCGGCCGTGACAGATTACTGTTATAATTCAGTAGGCTCACATGACATTGACTTCTCCAAGACAGAGGTTCTTTGCAAGCCATCTGGCTACCATGAGAGATTCGTTCATGAGGCTATCCACATATACAAACACAGAGACAATTTCAACCGAGAAGATGGATTCTGGCTTAGCAATCATTGGAAGGATTTGATAAACCATTTCGGGTATTAATTGATTGTTCACGCTTACGGTGGCTTTCAGACCGCATCCATTATTTTCGTCTCCCCCCTCTTTTCCGAACAAAGATGGACTCGTCCATCTGAATAACTGCCAAATCGCTCTCCGTGGTGCTAACGTTAAAAACCGCCACTTTTTTCAAATTTTCTTGCTGTGGTTTTCACACCTGATGATGATTGCTTGTGTTGCAGTCGAAACGTCAAAAAGTGAGAATTGTATTGTTTTATATTTTTATTATTTAATTGTATCCCTTCAACGTGACTTTACCAAAAGAACCAAGAATATGAATCCTTGCATTCACGAAAGCTTTAAATCAAAAAGTAAGGAGTTGTTAGTAAGTAAGGAGTTGTTAGCAAGTAAGCACTTGTCCCTTGATTTTTATTCGACGCATGTGCGGCGATGGCACAGCCATCGATCGAGGGTCGAATTCGAACCGCGTTGTGTGATCGGCATCGCGCTCGCTGAAGGTGTCGATGCCTTCAGGGAAGTCGTGTGCTGTGTACGCAGCTGCGCACAATTCTGTGAGTCACTTGTATCTGCTTTACCGTTACTGATTGCCAATTATGGACTCAGACTATTATCCTAGGGGCAGTCCATAAATGACGTCACGCGATTTTGGCCGATTTTTTTACCCCCCCTCCCCCCCTCGTCACACGGCGTCACAAAAAGTCACCGCCGCGTCCACTGTGCAGGAGCCCGCGCGATATGGCGACCCCCAGCGAGGCAGCCACGCTGGGAGATGTTCACGAGGACGTGAAGGTGAGAGGCAGCCTCCTCCTCCTCTACCACGTACCACCCCTCACCTACTTGCCCGCTCCGCCTGCCCACCCGCTCACCTACGCACAGAGTCACCTACCCACCCGCTCACCTACCCACATGCAGGCAGCTACTTACCTGCACGCCTACCCATTCACTTACCTACTCAGCCGCTCACCCGTCCGCTCGCCGTTCCACCTACCCAACTGTTCATCTTCCAACTCGCTCGTGCTTAACCATCTGCTCACATAGCTACCGGTCACCCATTCACCCCCTCACCTATGTATCAACCCACCTGCCTACTCACTCACCTACCCACCAACTATTCTACCCACCCGCATTTAACTGCACACCTGCACACTTACCCACATGCTCACCCACCGGCTCGCCTATTCACCCACTTAGCTGCCCACCTGCTGCTAACCTGGGGCCTGAGCGTACCGACCGACTCAATTACGGGAGGAACAATTGGACCTTTCAGTCGCAGGATTTTCTGTTTCCGAGGGGTGAATAATCGATGGATCGCTACTTCACAAGTTTATATTTGTTATTCTGTGCATGTTTTGTCTTGTAATCTGTCTCACTGTTTCTCCATGCCTCCACGTGTCTCTGTTTCTATCTCTGTCTTTCTGTATATCTCCATATCAATCTGTCTCCGTGTGTCTCCGTATCTTACTGTGCCTCTCCACGTGTCTCCGCGTGTCTCACCACTACTATGGGGAGTGGCTGTGTCTCACTGTGTCCACGCGTGTCTCACCACTACTATGGGGAGTGGCTGTGTCTCACTGTGTCCACACGTGTCTCACCACTACTATGGGGAGTGGCTGTGTCTCACTGTGTCCACGCGTGTCTCACCACTACTATGGGGAGTGGCTGTGTCTCACTCTGTCCACGCGTGTCTCACCGCTACTATGGGGAGTGGCTGTGTCTCACTGTGTCCACGCGTGTCCCACCACTACTATGGGGAGTGGCTGTGTCTCACTGTGTCCACGCGTGTCTCACCACTACTATGGGGAGTGACTGTGTCTTTCCACGTGTCTCCGCGTGTCTCACCACTGCTATGGGGAGTGGCTGTGTCTCACTGTCTCCACGCGTGTCTCACCACTACTATGGGGAGTGGCTGTGTCTCACTGTGTCTGCGCGTGTCTCACCACTACTATGGGGAGTGGCTGTGTCTCACTGTGTCCACGCGTGTCTCACCACTACTATGGGGAGTGGCTGTGTCTCACTGTGTCCACGCGTGTCTCACCACTACTATGGGGAGTGGCTGTGTCTCACTGTGTCCACGCGTGTCTCACCACTACTATGGGGAGTGGCTGTGTCTCACTGTGTCCACGCGTGTCCCACCACTACTATGGGGAGTGGCTGTGTCTCACTGTGTCCACGCGTGTCTCACCACTACTATGGGGAGTGACTGTGTCTTTCCACGTGTCTCCGCGTGTCTCACCACTGCTATGGGGAGTGGCTGTGTCTCACTGTCTCCACGCGTGTCTCACCACTACTATGGGGAGTGGCTGTGTCTCACTGTGTCTGCGCGTGTCTCACCACTACTATGGGGAGTGGCTGTGTCTCACTGTGTCCACGCGTGTCTCACCACTACTATGGGGAGTGGCTGTGTCTCACTGTGTCCACGCGTGTCTCCGCGTGTCTCAGCACTACTACGGCAAGCGGCTGCAGAGCCAGGGCGACCTGCAGACGAAGGCGTGCGTCACGCCGGCCACGGCGCTGCCGCCCGCCGTGCGTGCCGCCTTGGCCAACGTTCACCACGAGGTCGTGTCCCGGTCAGCATCGCAAGCAGCAGCAGTGTCCAGCTGAAGTTTGTTTTGTGTATCCAGGGGGGATGAGATAAAATACTGCAATGAAGCAAACAACTTAAATTACAAAAGAGCTGCGTCATCACATGAGAACTCGAAAATATGTTAAATTAAATTCCCTGTCTCGCGAGTCGGCTCAGGCAGACCACTTTGAAACTTACACAGACGAGGGCGAGATGAGCGGGGAAAGGGAAGAGAAACCGGAACAGAAGTCCCCAAGACGGACAAAGAGGAGGGCAAGGCTCAAGATGAGGAGCAGAGAGTAAGGAGGAGGAGCGCCGGGAAGGAAGGGGAGGGAGAAGGAGATGGGATAACCGGGCCAAGATGTTGGGGGGGTGAGGGCGAGGGGAGGTAAGAGGAGGAGGAACGAGCAGAGGTGAGCTGCAGGGGGCGGCGGGGAGAGCGGAGGGGTTCAGAGCGGGAGTTGCCACACAGAAGTCACGTGATTGACAGGAGGCTTGAGCTGGTTTAGATAAGAAGCCTCGTGTGAAGCAGCAGCTGTTGTTGGTGACGCGTTGTTGTTGTTGTTGTTGAAGCTACTATGGCTGTGGCCTGGTGGTGCCTGAGGAGCTGTCCGGCTGCCGGGTGCTGGACCTGGGAAGCGGCAGCGGCAGGGATTGCTTCGCGCTGAGTCAGCTGGTCGGGGAGGATGGTCACGTGACCGGCATCGACATGACCCCCGAGCAGGTTCACCATTCGGCCACGTGACTCCCCCTCTCCAACCCCCGATCTACCCCGACACCTCCCCAGCGATTCCGTATAATTTTGAATAATAGTTTGATTTGTAATGCCGCTGGCTTCAATGCCTCAGCAACGCAAAGCGCCTTTGGTCGCATCTCATCCTAAACATTTTAAAGGCGTCCCCAGTGGCAGCTGTCCCTGCGCGTCACAAGGTGACTTAGCGCCCGGCCTGCAAGCGGGCATTAGTCTGCTGCCAGCAGGGTGGTGGTGCACGATTTTCTGTGTGGTCGCAATTGAGCGATCTGCGGTGTAACTTTTCAGATTTGTCCATTTTAGAATGGCGTCACGTGATCTTTAACGTCCACTTCACACGAAGCAGACGGCGCGTAGTATTTTTACGGTTAATACGCACGGCGGTATTAACCAGGGTAGGCCTGCTAGAGTCGAACCGCAAACCTTTGCAACGAGCAGCAAACGCGCTACTGCTAGGCCACGTCACCGCCCCCTCCCACCCCTCCCAAGCACCGTGCTGGCCTTAATAGGCCCTCGCTGACAGCGCTCGCTCCAACAGCCTGTTGGAGGCGATGCGGGGGATCTTTGTATTTGTAGTTGGAGGTGGCGCGGCGCCACGTGGAGTACCACACCAAGCTGTTTGGCTTCTCTCGGCCCAACGTGGAGTTCCTGGAGGGGTACATCGAGCGCCTCGGAGACGTGGGGCTGCAGGACCAGTCCTACGACGTCATCGTGTGAGCCTCCCACAAATACGAAGGTCCCCCGTGTAGCCTTCAAAAGACTGTCTGGGCAAGTGCTGTTAGCGAGCAACCTATCGAGGCCGGAACAAGCTGGTGGGGTGGGCAGAACCACGACCGACCGCTTTTGTCTCCCTAATGGTGAAAAAAGGTATTCAATTAATGTTGAGTTGACCTAGGGAGGCCCAGGACCAGTACAGGATATTCATCACCAATGTTGGCTGTGAGTGCAGTGCACTCACCACTGCACCACTGCTCCCCATTACTTATGTACATACATTTACACCACCCCCTCGTGTGCCGTGCTGGACTTAATAGGTGCTCCCGAACAACACTGGGGGGTCTTTGTCTTTGCTGCCCGTGGTAGATCGAACTGCGTTGTGAACCTGGCTCCAGACAAGGGCCCAGTGCTGCGCGAAGCCTTCCGGGTTCTCAAGGTGCGATCGCTCACGCACACACTTGCCTACTCACTCACCCGGCCACTCACCCACCCACCCAGTCACTCACACTAACTCACTCCACTTACAACTTTGATAAGAGTGCTGTTTGTTGCTGGCGGTTTATGTTTTGGGCTTTTGTGCTGGTACTCAGCAACTTAGAATGGTGATATGACCTTTGCAGGGGTTTGCAGTTCGAATCTAGCAGGCGGCCCTGGTACCACTGCAGCTGTTCTAACCACATGGCACTCGGACTGTGCGTCGTCTGGCAAGCGGTCAACGTCAAGGACCCCGTGGTGTGACGCGAAGAGTAGTCAGCGTCACGGGCTCCAAATTTTAATAATCACACCGTGGATTTACTCCGTCACTCCCGCCTGTGGAATTTTAGCAGAGCCCTTGTGAGAAAAGAATTTACCCAGACCTTCCTGGGTAAATAATCAGAACAATAATAATAAATAAATATCGATTTAAAGCTTTCGTGACTGCAAGGATTCATCTTCTTTGGTTCTTTCGGTAAAGTCACGTAGAATGAGAATAAAATAATAAATTAATAAAATAAAATAACACAATAAAATTCTCACGATGTTTCGGCCACAACACAAGTGAGAATTTTTATTTGTGTTATTTTATTATTTTATTCTCATTCTACGTGACTTTGCCGAAAGAACCAAATAAAATAAATAAATAATATGGCTATTTGTTACAAAACTGACGTAAATGCTTTGGCGGTGTCACCCACCGGCGTGCGTGGCCAGGATGGCGGGGAGCTCTACTTCAGCGACATCTACGCTGACCGAGCGCTGCCCGAGGACGTCCGCAGGGACAAGGAGCTGTGGGGTGAGACATCGGCCGAGACCCAGACGATGGCACGGACACAGGGACAGGCCGAAACGCCGACACGCACCGCCCCCTCGTGCGCCGCGCCGGCCTTCACGGTGCGTGCTTGCGTGCAGGTGAGTGTCTGGGCGGCGCTCTCCACTGGCGCGACCTCCTGACCTTGGCGGCCGCCGCCGGGTTCCTGCGCCCACGGCTCGTGAGCGCCACCCTCACGGAGTTGTCCCCCGACCTGCAGGCGCACCTGGGTGAGCGTCCCACCCCCTCCCGACACCCCACCCGGCACCCCCTCTCGGTACCCCCTCCCGGAACTTGAGCGGATCGGTGGGCAGCTCACACGCAGCAAGATGGCACGGTGAGGAGCACAGGTCGTGCCTCTGCCAGCCTTCCCCGTCTGTCAGCCCACGGCACCTGGGTCTCTCCCGTGACCTCCTGCCAGCAACGAGAGTCATCCACACTTCGCGTGACCTCAAAGTGTACCTGGCCTGGCACAAGCACCATGGTTATGTTACCACCACTTAGTGACAAATGACGACTGTTGTTTGTTGTTATTATTGTTGTTGTTGTGCCCCGCCTGCCACCACGCTGCGCCTGGTTGCAGGCGGGGTGCGGTTCGTCTCGGCGACCTACCGGCTGTTCCGCGTGCCGCCGGGCGCGGTGGCGGCCGGGGGGGCGGAGGTCGTGTACAACGGCGGCATCGAGGGCAGCCTGCACGAGCTCACCTTCGATGCCCACACCACATTCCCCGTGAGTCCTCCTCTCCCTCCTCGCCCTCTTCTCCCACCACCTCCCCTTCCTAAATTCCTGCCTCTTTCCTCCCTCCCCACCCCCTCACGCCCCCTCCCTGCTCTCACCCTGTCCCACCCCCTGCCCCGGCTCCCACCGTGTTTATCCGGCGCAGTTCCCCGCGCGCCATCGGCAGGGAGTGAGATGGCACCGGTGGCACCGACGCCCGTGATGGCGGTGGTTGATGGTGGTTGATGGTGGTTGATTGTGGTTGATGGTAGGTGATGGTGGATCGTGGTTGATGGTGGTTGATGGTGGATCGTGATTGATGGTGGTTGATGGTGGATCGTGGTTGATGGTGGTTGATGGTGGATCGTGGTTGATGGAGGTTGATGGTGGATCGTGGTTGATGGTGGATCGTGGTTGATGGTGGATCGTGGTTGATGGTGGATCGTGGTTGATGGTGGTTGATTGTGGTTGATGGTAGGTGATGGTGGATCGTGGTTGATGGTGGATCGTGGTTGATGGTGGATTGTGGTTGATGGTGGTTGATGGTGGATCGTGGTTGATTGTCGTTTGAGGGCGGGCGGCCCGTGACGGTGGACGCTGAGCTGGCCGCCATCCTGCGCTCGTCACGCCTCGCCGACGCGTTCATGATCCGCCCGGCGACGAAGCAGCAGGGAGGAGACCTCGTGCAGGTGCTCGCTCATCAATCGCTCATCACTCGCTTGCTCGCTCATCGCTCGCTCGCTGATCACTCGCTCGCTCGTCGCTCGCTCATCGCTCGTTCGCTGATCACTCGCTCATCACTCGCTTGCTTTTGTGTACCCCCCCCCCACCACCACCCTCTCCCGTCGCCCTGTCTCTGCAGGAGGAGACCGTGGACCCCTTCGCTCTGCTCCAGAGAGAGGGAGCAAAGGGGGCGGCTGCGCAGGGCTGCTGTGCGGGGGGAGGGGGAGGAGTGGCCAGGAGCTGCTGCTGAGCGGCACGGCCCCTGGCTCTGGGCCCCCACGACCCCCGAGCCTCCGCGTGCATCCCTGCGTGGTCCACCTGGGACTTCTCGTCACCGTCACGCTCTGCTGATGGTCGCGGCCCCAGCAGGGTTCACAGACGAGCTGCATGCACGCAGCAGCAGTCGCTCCCCTTGAGGGTTCGTCTAGCGGACAAACCTTGCAGCAGCCGCAGCAGCAGTGGCAGCGTTAACTCAACGTTATATCAACCACGATTGCAAATAACGCACTGCAATATTAATACATAAACTAAAAATTATGCGAATGATTCACTTGATATCTTATCGGCCAATCCAAAGAACTTACCGCAATTGGAGGGAAAACTACTGCGTTTTAGTGAAAAGAAATGGGAGAAACTGCGACACTTCCACATAACTGCTTCACCTGCTCAATCACCCTCTCACCCGTTCACTCACCGGCTCATCCACCTATCCTCTCATCCACTCACTCACCCACCCACGCACTCACCCGCTCGCTCACCCACCCATCCACTCACCCGCTCACTCACCCACCCATCCACTTACCTGCTCACTCACCCACCCATTCACTCACCCGCTCATTTACCCACCCATGCACTCACCCGCTCACTCACCCACCCATCACTCACCCGCTCACTCACCCACCCATCACTCACCCGCTCACTCACCCACCCATCCACTCACCCACTGACTCACCCACCCATCCACTCACCTGCTCACTCACCCACCCATTCACTCACCCGCTCACTCACCCACCCATCCACTCACCTGCTCACTCACCCATACGTTATGAGCCAGGCAAACACAGCTCCGCTGCGACGCAATTACTGTTACTCTGAGCACGCGTGAGCGGCTGTGTTTGTCGTCCAGTCGTAAATCTTGTTCCAGAGCAACGTGACCCCCCCCCACCAGCGGCCGAGTGGATCCTTCCACTGAGCCGCTTGTGGCTTACCCAGCGTGACCAGGAGCCGGGAGGCTGGGCGAGTCCACGTTCGCTTATTGTTGGAGGAGGGCGTTGGGGGGGTCGTGGACGTGACGGGCCACAGGTGGAGTCTGTGTGGCTGTGGGACCAGGGATGTAGCGGTGAAGTGGACACAGCCATAAATTAAACAACAACCGAGCAAACTCGAGCGATCTGAGTTTCATTTCCGACTCGCGTGGTGGCAGACGACGGCCCCCTCGCCCGACACCTGGCACAGAGGGGTCCCCCCTGGGTCCCCTTCGCCAGATGGGGGCGCTTTCACAGGGGTCCGCGGTGGACGCGGGTTGCTGCTCTTCCCTGGCCGCTGCCCTCGTACCCCCCCCCCCCCCCCACATCTCTGGACTCGTCTTCCCCACGTCCCTCGAGTCGTCCGCATCTCCCCACATCACCTCGTCCCCCCCCCCACTCCATGTCACTCCCCCCCTGCTCCCTTCTCTCTCCTCGTCTCAAATCCTCCCACCGTGCCTCCGTGTCTCCACCTCGTCTCCCCCACCTTAGGAATCCTCTCCCCTACCTCGTATCGCCTTCATCATCGCATCTAACCACCTCGTCCCCCCCCTCCGCCGCATCTCTCCCTCATCTCCACACCTCCTCCTCGTCGCCTCCTCCTCTTCACCTGCCGCCCGCTCTGTACGAGCGCTTCGTGTTTGCCCTCGCGCGTATGTGTACACGTGTATGTACACGTGTGTGTGTACACGTGTATGTACACGTGTGTGTGTGTGTACACGTGTATGTACACGTGTGTGTGTACACGTGTATGTACACGTGTGTGTGTGTACACGTGAGTGAGTGCGTGTGTTTGAGGAGCGGTGGCGCAGCGCTTAGCGAGCCCAGCTCCATTCCCGCTCACAGCCACCAACAGCGGTGGCGAACATCTGAACCGTCCTCGGCCTCCTCCTAGGTCGGCTCAGACTTAAATGGGCACGTTGACGCGTTGTGTACGAATCGCCACTGGTGAGACAAAGGCGGCCGGGCGTGGTGCAGGTCACCCGTTCGTGCGCCCTTCCAGCCTTCATCGCTCGGGTCCCACTCGCTAACGGCACTTGCCCCAACAGCTGGTGTGGCCTACACGGGGGACTTTTGTCTTTGCGCGTGGCTATCGCGCGCGCTCTGAGCGAGGTGACTAACGAAAGCTCTTGGGGGAACGAATCGATTGATGACGTGGCAGATGAAGGATTGAAGGAACAATGGATTGAAGTAGCAGGAGAATGAACTCGGGAATGAAAGAGCTAGGGACCTTAGGGACAACGGCGAGCAAAGCAGCAGTAGAATCGAATGACTGATGACCGTGGTAAATGCAGAACATGCGTTATATAATGCATTCAGGAATGAAACAGCGAAGGAATTGGTGAACGAATAGATCCGATCCGTGAAGCAGTGAAGAACCTGAGAGTGAATTATCGAAGGACATCACCTTGGTAGTGAAGGAACGAACGGAGCAGCGAATGAGCTGGGTGATGAACGAGTGAAGGACCTGATACGCGAAGGCACGGCCGAGGTGGCCCTCGGCGCCGCGATGCCGCCGCTGCCGCCGCTGCTGCTGCCAGACGAAGTGACCCTCAACCCGGGGTCGAGCCCAGACCCTGGGACCCCGAGCCCCCCCTCTGCTTCCTCCCCGGAGACGTCTTCAGCAGGGGGGGGCTCCCTGTTGCTGTACCCCGGCTTCCCCTGGGCCGGGCCGGGCGAGACGGCGGCCAAGGTGCTGGCTTACCTCGTCATCTTCATGCTGTCCCTGGGAGGGAACCTCCTCATTCTCCTCATCCTCAGCCGCGGCCCCGCGAACTTCGGAATGAGGTGAGGATGAATAACTTAGTCCGCGCGCTCGCTCATCCACTCACACACTCACCCACTCACTCACCCGCTCATCCACTCACTCACCCACTCACTCACCCACCCGCTCATCCACTCACTCACCCACTCACTCACCCACTTGCTCATCCATTCACTCACCCACTTGCTCATCGCTCACCCACTCACTCACCCACCCGCTCATCCACTCACTCACCCACTCACTCACCCACTTGCTCATCGCTCACCCACTCACCCACCCGCTCACCACACCACAGGTCACCTCACTTCTCTCTGCCTCTTCCCTCGCACTGCTCCACTCTGGCATTCCCTCCTCCCATCATCGTCGTCTCACTCCCCCCCCCCCCCGAGCTCTCATTCCAGTAACCTTGCTCAATGGGAGAGACGCGTTCGTTACTCGCACCCATTACAACGTCGACAATCGTGCTGTTTGTTGCTGGCCGCGTAACGCGTTGTGGCCTGAGCTCAGAAACTGTAAAATAAATTGAGCTGGAAATGAAAACTCCACCCCGCCCCCCCCCCTCTTGATCCATTGTGCCCCCCCCCACCCCGCCCCCTCGTCCCCTACTCGGACCCCCCCACGAGGCCTTACATCGCGAACCTGGCCGCCTCGGACCTGCTGAGCGCAGTGTTCGGGATGTGGTTCGCGTGCGTCAACCACCTGCTGCCCACGTGGGTGTTCGGCGACTTCTTGTGCCACCTCACCACGCTCGTGCAGGGTGCGTGCCACACCACCACGCCACGATAACAGCGGTGGTCTTGATGGTGGCGAGGGTGGTGGTGCTGCAGATGGTGGTGGTGGGGGTGGGGGTGATGACGAGGATTGTGGTGTTTGTGATGATTGCTGGTGGTGATTGTGATGACTGGCGATGGGGATTGTGGTGGTAATGATTGCCATTGTGATGATTATGATGAAGATGGTAATAGTCATTATGGTAGCGGTGGAGGTTGTGGTGATGATGGAGGTGTTTGTGATGGTTGTGGTCATGGTGATGGTGGTAATGATGGTCATAATGGTGATGGGGGTGGTGGTTGTGGTGGCACTGACAGCCACGACGGTGATTGTGGCCTTAATAGGTGCTCGCTAACTATCTCCCACAGGCGTGACGTTCATGAGCAGCGTGTTCACGCTGGTGGCCGTGGCCCTAGACCGGCTCCGCGCCGTCACGAGGCCCCTGAGCCCGCGGCCCCCGCGGCGTCTCATCGCGGGGGCCCTCGCCTCCATGTGGCTCCTGGCAGTGGCGCTCAACCTCCCCGCCGCCCTCTTCACCGACCAGGAGTGAGTGACATCCGGCGCTGGGGGGCAGGGGGCTGGTCGACCTGGTGGCGAGTGACAGGGAGAGAAGACACGTGGTGGTGGTGGTAGGGCTGGTGGCGAGTGACAGTGAGAGGAGACACGTGGTGGTGGTGGCGAGTGACAGGGAGAGAAGACACGTGGTGGTGGTAGTGCTGGTGGCGAGTGACAGGGAGAGAAGACACGTGGTGGTGGTGGTGGTAGGGCTGGTGGCGAGTGACAGTGAGAGGAGACACGTGGTGGTGGTGGCGAGTGACAGTGAGAGAAGACACGTGGTGGTGGTAGTGGTGGTAGTGCTGGTGGCGAGTGACAGGGAGAGAAGACACGTGGTAGTGCTGGTGGTAGTGCTGATGGCAAGTGACAGAGAAAGGAAACACGTGGTGGTGGTGGTGAGTGACAGTGAGAGAAGACACGTGGTGGTGGTGGTAGGGCTGGTGGCGAGTGACAGGGAGAGAAGACACGTAGTGGTGGTGGTGGTGGTAGTGCTGGTGGCGAGTGACAGTGAGAGGAGACACGTAGTGGTGGTGGTGGTGGCGAGTGACAGTGAGAGAAGACACGTGGTGGTGGTGGTGGTAGGGCTGGTGGCGAGTGACAGGGAGAGGAGACACGTGGTGGTGGTGGTGGTAGTGCTGGTGGCGAGTGACAGTGAGAGAAGACACGTGGTAGTGCTGGTGGTAGTGCTGGTGGCAAGTGACAGAGAAAGGAAACACGTGGTGGTTGATGGTGGTTGATGGTGGTGATGATTGAGGGAGAGGGGAACCATAATGGTGGTGGTGGCAGGGGGAGCGGTGGCGCCGTGAATATTTGAAGCCGGTCCTGGGCCTCCCCCTAGGTCGACTCAGCCTTATGTATGTTTGTATGTTGAACTTCTTTCGCACCGTACGTAGCCAACCGTGCTAATCGGAGGTGCGGGGATGAGTATGTTGGGGTGGTGTGTAAACAACATCGGAATCTGGGTAGACAAAGGCTGGCCACCCGCCCCATTTGTGCTCCGTGCAGGTCTTCATAGGTGTGGTCGCTAACAGAACTTGCTCCAACGGCATGTGCGGACTACACGGGGGAGCTTTGTCTTTGTGGTGATGGTTATAGTGGTAGAGATGATGCTGACGATGGGCACGAGCTGATGGCTGTGATTGCATTTCTACCAGTGACAGCAGTAGTGGTCGTAGTATTATTATTGTAATAATTTATTGATTTACCCAGGACAGCCACAGGAGCGTCCTGCCGCTACGTCGGCGTTTTGTTTGAAGAAGTTTGAAGCCGATTAACGCTGAAGGGGCGTCCTGTTTATTATTCACCTGGAGACAAACCACGCCTTGCGCGAGGTGGCAACAACACTCCATCCCCGTACAGATAGAAACAGATAGCGATTAGTCCCCACTCTGCTGTGCCGCCCTCTCCTGGCGAGTCAGGGTCACGGCTCTTGCTCGACGCCCACCCAAGGGTAGGAGGGAGTTTCACAACAACATCTGTCGAGGTGATCCACCAACCCCTCGCTGCTGCCTCCACAGCGCTGGGGCTACGGGCAGCAGCCACGTGCACAGCAACCACCGCCCCCTCCTATCTCCCCCTCCCCCCCGCCGTCCAGCCAGTTCGAGTGGGATGACTTCGTGGAGGTTTGGTGCGGAGAGCAGTGGCCGCAGCCCGACACGAAGCTGCATTACGACGCCTCGCTGCTGCTCCTCACCTACGTGGCGCCGCTCCTCGCCATGAGCCTCGCGTACGCGGCGATCGCGCGCGCCCTGTGGGGGGCGCGCCGCCCCGGGGAGCCCAGCGGACTGCACGGGCAAGCGCAGCAGCAGCAGCGCAGGACCAAGTGGCAGGCGCGTGGGGGGGGGGGCAGAGTGGAGGGGTGGGGTAGAGTGGGGGCAGGGGGTGGGGGGCAGAGTGGAGGGGTGGGGTAGAGTGGGGATGGACGGGCAGAGTGGGGGGCGCAGTGGGATGGAGGGGAGCTGGGGCATCACAGTTACACAGAGAGGGCGTTTGTTAAAGTGCAATTCCATCGCGGGACAATTCGATAGTGGGGGGGGGGGGGGGGGGGGGGGGGGTATGCTACAGGGGCATTAAATAGGGGGGCATGTGATAGGTGCATTTAATAGGGGCATTTGACAAGGAGGGCATTTTAATAGAGGGTGATTCCATAGGGGATTTATCATCAAGGGTGTTTGATAAGAGATGACTCCACAGGGAGTTTGAGATAAGGGGCATTCATGAGGGGCATTTGTTCGAGGGCAGACCCCACAGGAGATGATCGTAGTAATGATGATGGTGATTATGGTGGTGAAGCCATGGCAATGGTGGCTGTGATGAAGATGCCCAATGACCATCATCGCCTGGCCACGGTGGTGACGCACAGCCTCATGAGGGCGCGATCACTGCTCGGTGTAGAGGTTCGCGGTTCGATTTCCAGCGGCCGCCCCAATTAATACTGCGGGTGGGTTAGCCGAAGTGCAAGCACTCCGCGCCGTCTGCTTCATTCACGGTGGACGTTAAAGATCTCGTGACGTCATTCGCAAGAAGAGTTTGCCATTGCGTGCCAGCTTCACGGTCCCAAATGTGAAACATGACACCGCTGATGACTCATTGGGGATCAAGCACAGCAGCGTTCATCGCCCTCCTACTGGGGAAACTTGGCAGGACCCTCCTGAAAAACTCTTGGGGCTCAGCGATTATCTCCCGGGTGTATACCCAAAGTGATAGTCACGCTGTGATGACGGAGACGTCATTGATTATTGATCCTAAGAATGATGTTTAATGAAAGTGAATATCATGAATATGATTGTGGTGGTGGTGATGATGATGATGATAGCGATGGTGGTGACGGTGATGATCATGGTGGTGGTGGTGGCGGTGCAGGTGGTGCGCATGATGCTGTGCGTGGTGGCGGCGTTCCTCGTCTGCTGGACCCCGTACCAAGCGACGGTGCTACTCGCCGACGCACACGCCATTCCCGTGCGTCACACACACACTCCTCACACACACACTCCTCACACACACACACTCCTCCACCCACACACTCCTCCACCCACACACTCCTCCACAAGCACACTCCTCCACCCACACACTCCTCCACCCACACACTCCTCTCACCCACACACCCCTCCACCCACACACTCCTCCACCCACACTCCTCCACCCACACACTCCTCTCACCCTCACACCCCTCCACCCACACACTCCTCTCACCCACACACACCTCCACCCACACACTCCTCCACCCACACACTCCAACCACACACTCTTCCACCCACACACTCCTCCACCCACACACTCCACCCACACACTCCTCTCACCCACACACCCCACCACCCACACACTCCTCCACCCACACACTCCTCCACCCACACACCCCTCCACCCACACACTCCACCCACACACTCCACACACACACTCCTCCACCCACACACTCCTCCACCCACACACTATTCCACCCACACACCCCTCCACCCACACACCCCTCCACCCACACACTCCTCCACCCACACACTATTCCACCCACACACTATTCCACCCACACACTCCACACACACACTCCTCCACCCACACACTCCTCCACCCACACACTCCTCCACCCACACACACCACACCCCCAACATTGGCCTAGCACTCTACCCCTGACACTGCCCCACATCGGCCTCCTGTGAGTGGTGAACTCTCAACCCTTGGAGCCCTACCCCGCCCCCCAGGGCCCCGTGTCGATGCAGAGGAACCTTCACTTCTCCACGCGCTTCCTGAGCTACGCCAACGGAGCCGTCAACCCCTTCATCTACAGCCTCATGCACGCGGGCATCCGCAAAGAGCTCCAGGCAGGGCCCCTCTCTCCAGCTCCCTCCTCATCTCCCCATCATCAAGTCTCTCCCTTATCTCTGTCTCTCATATCTCCCGACACTCCCTTTGACTGGAAACTCATCTCTCATACCAGACCAGAACTTTCCCATCTCGATCTGTCTCATCTGTCACGACTAAGTTAATTTCTATCGAATCTCTCCATAAACTCTCACTGAACACTCTCCACACCCTCCTTAAACGCTCCCCAACCTGCAGATATTGACGTGTGATGATGATGATGGCAATGATCGTCACGATGATTACGATTAATTTGTATTTAATTGTTTAAAATGAAGCTAATCAATTACGATGGTTAATTGGTGACGATGATGAAGATGATGAACACTCAAAGACAACGACGACGAATGAGCAGTCGCGATTGACGGTGACCTCTCTCTCCCCCAGGCTCTGTGGCGGCGATGCAGGGGGAGGGGGGGGGCGCGCGTCCACCCGGCCCCGCCCCCCACCGTCGTGTGCTGCTCCGACGGGACCCCATCGGGGCCACGGGGGTTCAGGGAGGCCGCTGCCTCGGTGGGACCCCAAGGGTCTGGAGGATCAATTGGCAATGTTGGGTCTGGAGGGTCAGTGGGGCCCAAAGGGCCCTTTGGAGGGTCCTTGGAACCCGGGAGGTCATTGAGTCAAGGAGGATTCCTGGGACCCAGAGGAGCGGTTGGCCCTGGGGGGTCGTTGGGTCATGAACGGTCAGAGGGATCTGGAGGAGGGACGCGACAGTCATTGGGTCCCGGGGGGGCAGCGGAGTCCAGAGGATCCGAGGAGTCAGGTAGGTCACCGGGCCACGTGGGTCGCGTCACGTGGTGCCAGGAGCCGAGTGTGGATGTGTAGAGGTCAGAGGTGAATGTATACAATGAACAGGTCGATTAATGTATTATTTATCAGGTTTATTACCCAGTTTAATTTGCGCAAACATGAGTGTGACGCTTCAATAATTTGAATCAGAAAAACAACCTCTAAAGTGAGTCAGTTGCACTGTGGTGACGTCGTTGGAGTGACTGTTTCAACCCACAGTGAATGACAGTGGCATCACTCAAGTCCCGTATCTCACGAGGCCTCTCTGCTCGTGTTTCTGAATCGGCTCCCAGTTCAAACCCGCATTGAGTTCAGATTCTCATTCTATGACAATCACTTATTCTCCATTCATTAATTCCATTCATAATTTACTGTCTTCAGTTTCGCTTTCACCGAATTTACGCATCACAAGTTTGCCCCAATTG